ACGTCAGTTTGTTACCTGGGTTGCGAAAAAAAATATGATGTCATTAAACGTCAATTAATGACGTCACTTTGCTATTTTGGCTCCGAAAAGAAATATAACGCCATTCAATATTCGCGGGTCGAAGCGAAGAGAAATGACGTTATTTCGACGTTTACTAACGTCAGTTTGCTACCTGGGTTAGGAAAAGAAATATGATGTCCAAATATTTTGACGTTTAATGACGTCAGTTTGCTACCTGGGTTCCGAAAAGAAATGTAACGTCGTCCAAATTCGCGGATCCAAGCGAAGAGAAATGACGTCATTTTGACGTTTACAACGTCATTAAACGTCAAAATGGCGTCATTTTAATGACGTCAGTTTGCTACTTGGGAATTATACCGTTGATCTCCTCGTGATCTCTATAACACGGTTTAATGCTTTTTAGAGGGAATGATGTATTATTTTATTTTTAGATTTTATCGTCATTAATCAAATTTACTTACATTTTTTAAATCGACTCTTTCAAACAAGATATTATATCGTGTTTATTGTATAAATCATAGGATAAAACCTCGGTTTACGAAATATATCTTAAATTAAGTTTCTGACAAAATCACGTTACAAGACTGACAATAAAAATAAAAATAAGAACGAGAAGTTATGAGAGCACTTTGACAGTCTTAGCTCCTACTATATAGTGGAATTATAAGTTTAGAGTAGCGTCAAAATTTCGACTCGGGAGAGATATGCGATTATGGATTATAATTTATCAAATGAAGATATGATATACTAGAAAATGTTTACGAATTTTCTTCTAAAAATTTGATACGAATTGATTAAACAACTAACGTGTTCACAAATATAAACTTTGAACAAACATTAATTAAGTGGACAAAATTCATATCAGATAGCTCTGATAAGATTTATAATTGCGAAATATATAAGAATATATATTGTTTTAGATCTACATATTTTTCTTCTATCATTTTGAACATAAAGCCTACCTTTTTTTTACACGCGATAATATTATAGATCCAACGCATTTAATTAACAAAAGAATACAATTTTTAAATTTTCAATTTTGATGAGATATATTCAACAAAATTCCTTGTATTAAAAAAAAAGGAACCTTCTTTTCTGTCCTTCACCGATTCCTATCATCAAACAGCTATCTTGGAGGCTCCGATTTCCTTAATGCAAGTCATATCAAATTATCACGTCCGAAGCTCGTACAAAGTTCATTCTTGATAGTGCTAAATGTAGTTTAATTTTTTTTCGCGTACCATCATTTACGTGTTCACGATAATATGAAAGTATCGAAGTATTTCTTTCTATTATTTCATGTTAACAATGCAGATAATAAATTAATCTGTATCTGTTATATTACACTTGCAACGAAAATAAATTTTACAATTGATCAAGATTGATACCTATTTATTAATTCAGAATTAAAAGGAAGCTTTTGCTAAATTTTATCAATCTATACTTATATTTTCGAGAGAAAAATCTGAACGAGCTTTCGTATAATTTCATAATTCATGCAATCTCTAACTGTAAGGTAATAAAGAACCACATAAAATTCGAATCATTTCATAAATTAATACACTTCCAAGACATTTTTACGTACACTGAAAAAAATTTGTTAACTTGGTTAAACTAAATATGATTTTGTTACTTAAACATATACAAATATTTATTAAATTAAATGTAACACATTAAATCTAACAAAACGTATATTTGACTTAAATGCTAATAAATGTTTAATCGACAAAATAGTAATTTAGTTGAAAGGTTTAGTCAAGTTAACCAATTTCTTCAGTTATACTTATTCAATTTTACCATATCTTTTACATAGTACGCAATTTTAATTCTAAGATTTGTGTGTGTTGAACGCACTGCTTAAACGTCATTTTCTTATGTACGTATTGTTATGTAATAACTTTTGATTCTCTCTACGTTCTTATACATATAAATATCTTTCATTGTCAGTCAGAGTAACGTTGACATTGCATCGATATTAACATTATTATAACAAATTTAAGATGATCATATAATATAGGTATACATACATGTATATGTAACGTACCATATCAAAATTCTCATACGCACACTTACATACATATTACATTCGACTCTTTCGATCTAGAAAAAAAAAAACGTTTAAAATCGTCATTGTGTTCTAACACGCGAAATATAAAAATAGCCCCCTTTTCTTGAGCTTACACGGATTTTAGGTAGCCTGGCACCGAGATTACAGAACTATCCCAGCAAACACCGATATATAATTGTTACATTGCTATAATAAAACGGAATATAACAGGTAATATAACGTGTACGTTACATGTAACATCCATGTTAGTTGTAATTTCCCACTCATAGATGTAACATTTTAATATAACATATATTACATTGTAGTTATATTGTAATTATATACCAAATAGCACATTGGTGTATTGATAAGTCAGTGCTATCTTAGGATATGACAATATAACTACAATGTAATATATGTAATATTAAAAATGTTACATCCATAAGTGGGAAATTACAACTAACATGGATGTTACATGTAACGTACACGTTATATTACCTGTTATATTCCGTGTTAGTTGTAATTTCCCACTCATAGATGTAACATTTTAATATAACATATATTACATTGTAGTTATATTGTAATTATATACCAAATAGCACATTGATGTATTGATAAGTCAGTGCTATCTTGGGATATAATGACAATATAACTAAAATGTAATATATGTAATATTAAAATTGTTGCATCTATGATTGGGAAATTACAACTAACATGGATGTTACATGTAACGTACACGTTATATTACCTGTTATATTTCGTGTTAGTTGTAATTTCCCACTCATAGATGTAACATTTTAATATAACATATATTACATTGTAGTTATATTGTAATTATATACCAAATAGCACATTAGTGTATTGATAAGTCAGTGCTATCTTGGGATATAATGACAATACAACTACAATGTAATATATGTAATATTAAAAATGTTACATCTATGATTGGGAAATTACAACATGGATGTTACATGTAACGTACACGTTATATTACCTGTTATATTCCGTGTTAGTTGTAATTTCCCACTCATAGATGTAACATTTTAATATAACATATATTACATTGTAGTTATATTGTAATTATATACCAAATAGCACATTGGTGTATTGATAAGTCAGTGCTATATTGGGATATAATGACAATACAACTACAATGTAATATATGTAATATTAAAAATGTTACATCTATGATTGGGAAATTACAACATGGATGTTACATGTAACGTACACGTTACATTACCTGTTATATTCCGTGTTAGTTGTAATTTCCCACTCATAGATGTAACATTTTAATATAACATATATTACATTGTAGTTATATTGTAATTATATACCAAATAGCACATTGGTGTATTGATAAGTCAGTGCTATCTTGGGATATAATGACAATACAACTACAATGTAATATATGTAATATTAAAAATGTTACATCTACGATTGGGAAATTACAACTAACATATACGTTACATGTAACATGCTTAAGTATATAACATTTATATACTATGTTTGCTGCGACAGAACCGCGATCCGAAGAAGAGGAACGATCGCACAGAGGTTTCCCGCTACATCTATCAAGAACGAGAAGGTAGTGAAGGTCGCGGAGGAGGGGAGGAGCAGGGAGACGGAAAGAAGGGAGGAAGAAGAGATTACGATGGCAAGAAAAGGGAAGAGGAGAGGAGGAAACGATTATCGCTTCTCGGTCGGTTGAAACCGAGCGGCGAACGAGAGCGCAAAGAAAGCGGCGAGAGAAGAGAAAGAGAGAAGGGGACGAGCTTCTTTCACAGAGTGAGAAAAAATAACGAGAGAGAGAGAGAGAGGGCGACGACGCGAACAAGGGAAGGGACGCTCCTGGTGCGAAGGGAAAAACGTATAGAACAAAATGGGGAGAGAAGGGCGGCCGGAGTTGGGAGATAAAACATGATTGAGGGGCCACGTAGGTTATAGAGGGACAGGGGAGTAAAAGTGTAGTAGAAAGAGGGAGGGGGGGGGGGTAAAGAGGGGGGGGGGATTCGTACGCGGAAACGAAGAAGGTAGAAAGAAAGGAGGAGATACACAAGGGCTCTACCTCCTCGCTCTCTCAACCAGCCGTAAACGGTGGAAAAGGAAAGAGAGAGAGAGAGAAGGAGAGAGAACCCGGTGGGTGGGAGGGAGGGGGCTAGGGACGAGGGGGAAACTGGTAGTCGTAAACCCAGCTGGTAGCGACACGCGGGAAGGGGACACAATGCGAGAGGGGCAATTCGAGGTTGCTGTGTGTCGGTAGAGTGACGTATGTACGTGTGTACTACCCAACCGAAGGGAGGAGGAGAGGCGCGGCGAGAGGGGAAGGTACAAGCGAGGGGGTACAATCGTATATCTATAGGAGTGGTGGGAGAAAGAGAGAGAGAGAGAGTACGTGCACGACGACGATGAGGACAGCTAAACGAACCGGCAGTTTGGTTGCGTCTAGGGATAGCGTAATAGCACATATGTATCAAAAATTGCTTTTAAGCATTAATTTTAATATAGTTATGCATAGTACACACTTAATATTATATTAAATTAAATATTTAATATTCCCTATAACGCAACATATCCGAAAGATATCAGAGGATATCCAGAGGACATTCGAACATCCTCAGGATGTTCTCCGAACGTCTTCGGAATATGTGTGCTGTTAGGGACTTTATATTATATTAAACAATTTTTGACACATTATGCATTTCGCTCAAAGCATAAAGTGCCTATCCCTAGTTGCATCTGAAGGACAAAAGAGAGAGAGAGAGAGAGAGAAAGAAAGACGAATGATGTCGACGACGAGGAGGCAGAGAGGGAGAAGCGCTGCGAAGGGACCGAGAGGAAGGGGCAAAAAGAGAGAGAGAGAGAAAGAGAGAGCGACGGGGGAAAGGGCATATCCCGTTTTCTCTACGTTTCTACGTTTAGTTCGGCATGGGACGTCGCCGTCGGTGGTACGTGATCGTTGCGCGCGCGTTCTCCGTCCTCGGTCATATCCGTGTCCCGCGTCGGGAGGCTTCGCCGTGCGTATAGTTCGCGAGTGCGCCACGCGGCGCTGCTCGCCGGCACCCGTGTAATTCTGTGACCGCCCTGCTCCGTAGTTTCTCGTCCTCGCGAAACCTTTTTCCACGAAAAAAGAAAGAGTCCCTTCGAGATTTTCCTCGCCCTCGTTTCTCCACGAGGCTCGATCAAGGCGAACATGGAGGAGAATCGTCCTGATCGGGAATGACGCGCGATCGCGCCATACCACGCGACATCATCGCCATAGTAGTAGTTAGTAGTAGTAGTAATAACAGGAATAATAATACTAGTAGTAGTAGTAGTAATAATAGTAGTACTAGAAGACGACTGGCTGCCCCGCACAAAGACAGAACTCGGGCGGAGAAGGGCGAGGGAGAGAGGGAACGTGAAGTCTCGAGACGACGACGACGAGGTCGTCGTCGTTTTAGGACCCCCCTGTAGGAGGCCAAGAGTGGCAGGCACCTCGTCGCCACTGTACGCGTGTGTCTGTCGCGCGAAAGACGCGTCGCCGCTGTGTGATCTACGCGCGCGCGCGCGCGCGTAGACTCCGCTCTCTTGCTCCGAAATCCTCGACCGGGGAATACGTCGCGTTGCTCGTCGTCACCGCGGCTCGCATGCCCGCACGTAAGTATATACACACACACACACACACATATATATATATATATATATATGTATATATATATTTAAGCGTATACATACATACATGTACAAAATAAATCCTATATACACACATATACAGAGAAAGTTTGCATTTGTATCCGTGAGATGGAGCGACGAGGTGGACGGACGGTTCTCTCTTTCTCCCCTTTCTTCCCTCCCTCGCCTTCCAGGAGGGGAGAGGGGGTTGTCTCACTCTCTCTCTCTCTCTCTCTCTGTCCCCCCCCTTTTCTCTGTCTTTCTCTCTCGTATATTTCTCCTTTCAACACACATACTTGCATTTATGCGTTTTCTCGTTCCGCACTCGGTTCCGTCCTCGGAATCGCATGGGATTCGTCCGTCGGTAGGCAAATATATTGGAATAAGCATCGGGATGCCTGCATTTAACAGTCCGAACTGTCGATTACGACATTTGAGATATAAATGCGTTTGCGATGCATATATTGCGGTTTCATATTTATTTACTGCGCGAACAGAAGTATTTCTGGAAAAAATTAGAGGAAAATCGAATTAATTCCCTTTACTCTTTTACTATTATTATACTGATGCAAGGAGAAATATAGATAATTGCAGAAATATGTGTGTATATGTACATTATTTAATAATTCATTATTATTATTATTATTATTATTAATTATTAATTAATATTATTTAATGATTAATAACATTAATCGAAGTTATGCTTTACTCTTCATGCAATTGCAATATATTGATCACATTTTCTCTCTTGCAAATATTTGAAACTTTCTAAATTAAAATATACATACAGTTTAAATATCAGCTGTTTTTCGAAAAATTTAAAATATTCTATATTCTATTATTACAAATAAAAATATATATAAAAAAACAAAATTTAAAATTTAGATTTAAAATATCAATAGAATTTGTCTTATTACCTTACAATTAGATAATCTAAAAAATAAATGACAATTGTATATTTAATGCGTTATGTCGAGGCTGGACACTAGATAGTTTCTCAAAAGTTTATATGCATGCAAAGTGATAAGAGAAATGTGTATTTAAATTTATCACTTACAGAGAAGCCTTAAATCTTTCAGATTTTGTGCGTTACATCTTCAAACAAATCATGTTTTCCTTGTCAAAATATCTAAATTATTTTCTTTTTTGTAAATAAAACAATTTCTTAATATATATATATATTCTTTCTATTTATGAATCTTTTATATACAGATGCAAAATAAAGAAAAAGATTGTAAAAAGTTTAAAATTTTTAGAATCTGTTAAAAAAGATTTTTCTGTTTTGGAATTCAGATGTCTTTTTTATAGTATATGAAACCGCAAATTGCATGCAAATTGCAAAAGACAAAATTGTTGAAAATGCTAGATATATTACACTGTAAATTTGAAAAAAAGATTGCAGAAGATTTGCCGTCAAAAATTGAAAGTTGTCATAGTATTCTGTATGATCTGAATCTGAGCCGCGTTTGCATGTTTTGAATGTGACGTTTGAATAAAAGGAAAAATAATGCATGAATGCTTCTTTCACGGAGGAGCTTTTCGTTACAGACAGATAAAAATATCAATTTCCTTAACAATGTAATCACACACGGAGTGCATTTTCTCTTAGAAATTACCCTGAAAATCGTGGTAATCGTAATACAATATCAAAGAATTTTATAAGAGTTTCTCTGATTAATATTTACCACAATAAAAAAATATTAATATGTACATAATAAAGTTTACTAAAATTTATCGAATAAGTATTATATATCTTTATTGTGGAAGATATTCATTTTTTATTGTGGTAAATATTTTAATAAAAGAAAAATCTTATAATATTGTCCCACATAATTTTCCATCATAATTTTCAGGATAAATCAGAGAAAAGTCTCTCTGTGAAGAGGAGGAAAAAAATATGCTTTTTATTATATACATATATACGAGGCAAAACGCATTTGCGATACTGGGAGACTTGAAAAAGTTTTCGTCAAGATTTCTCGCCGTCTTACAAGCAGTCTCCCTTACTTAATTACAATTACTAAATTGCTACATTCGGCGCTATGCAATGTCCTTTCATTAGCGAGAGCGACGGCTTAGCTCGATCCTTGAAACCCGCGTAGTCGACTTTCGATCTCCCGTTTATGTGATCGCGTATTGAACGGCAGAAGAAAGGGAGTTTCTTACAAAAAGCCAATCGTTCTTTCCTGCTCACCCTTAATAACGGAAAAGCCAGGTCGCTCCCTCGATGTCCGTCCGCTTCTCGCGGTCTCTCTGTGTCTCTCCTCTGGTCGCTAAGTGACTGCGAACGACGGTCTGGCAGGGTCGCCCTTTGCTTTTCGCAAGTGTTAGGCGTCGTCTAATGTCGTGACGATATTTCACGAGCAGTCTGCGATGTCGTTTTCCTTTTTTTATTTTTCCATTACGAGAATTGAAATTGAAGATTACTTATTATACCATAGCGTTGTGCTATGATTTTAAAATCAGCTAGATAAGATGAGATAAAAATATGTAAATTCTTCTTAGATATAAGATGAAGATGATTTTGTTTTAAATATATCTAGATAAAAGAGAAAATTATATGGCGATTTATCTAGATAATTTTTAGACTGCTTATGTAAACACAGTAATAAAAAATTATTTATAAATTTTTATCGCTTACTGCTTAAGTTCTACTATTTAATTTTTATGTGCTATGATTCTAAATCAAAATTATCTGAAAATTATTCTAGATAATTTAGTAAATATAATACTTTTTTCATGTAAGATACAGATATAGATACATATATATATATATATATATATATATATATTTTTTTATATCTATATAAAAAATAAATGACGCCAAAGTTTTATCTAGATGATCATCTATATAATTTTATTTAGATAACAGTAAACATTGCTTATTACGGTTGTCTGCACAGTAGGAAAATTTGTGTTTACTTAAAAACAGGGTCCCCGTGGAAATTTGTATTAAATATTTAACACATTCGTGTGTTAATTTAACATATTGCTGTTGTGTTAATTGAACTTAAATTATTAAAACAACTGAAAAAGATGTAAAAATAACACACTGCATCTATGTTTAATTTTACACAATAAATATGTTCTGTTTTATTAGTGACAAGATTTATCTGTTAAAATTGACAGGCAAAAATGTTCATTTTTTATTTATAAATAAGTGGAAATGATAAAATCTAAAATTAACATATTTTTAGTTAATTTGTACATGAAAACTATGTTAATTTTACACAAAATTTATTTTAAATTACTTGAAGTTTTGCACTTATTTTGCGTTAAAATATAATATTAACACAGTATTTGTGTTTCCATTTAACATATCTATATTATGTTAAATTAACACAAAAATTTCTGTGGACCATTTGTAACATGTGATATTTATTTTTAACTAAAATTTTCAATTGTATGCGACCGTTTTCCTTTTTTTATTTTTTATTTTTCCATTTCGAGAATTGAAATTGAGATTTACTTATTACGGTCGTTTGCGTGTGTCTGACACATCGTATATAGTTGCACTGAAAAGAAAAAACTATCGAATTCGAATAAATATTTATTTAAATAGTTCCATTTAATACACGTTTGTTTGAAACAATATTTATCTGTTTTGAAAAAAGATTTCTTATGTCATAAATGTTTTTTTTACGGCAAATCTATATTATTGGTTTCAAATAAATGATGTATAAAAAGGTATTGAAATAAATATTTATTTGAGTAAGTAAATAATTTTTGTTCAGTGAATCAAAACATTATACGTATACACAGTTTCTTTTTTTTCTTTGTCGTAATTAAATTGATTGAAAATATTGTCATAGGAATATTTGACATGATAAAATCCACTTGCAAAGTATGAAAACTTAAATGTTACCTCCGAATCTCACAAATTATCATGTTATAATATAAAAAAATAATTCTTGATGCCTTTAGACAAATATTATATATTTTCAATAAATAAAAATGTTAATTCGAGAAATATTCAATGAATACAAGAAAAAATGTGCAAAGTATATTATAAATATAATTTTTCTATAAAAAAAAATAATAAAAATATGTACATAATTTTTTGTATAAAGAAGAATATCTCTGAACGAACTATAATCTACATCTTGCTTACATAGACATGGAATTCCGATAAAAGTGTGAGAAATCTCACGGGAAATAAAGAGGAAGCTGCGACACACGCATGCATTGTCCGAGACTTCCGAAAGGAATTCTCTCTTCACTGAAAGACCGCCTTAGGCATTAAATTTTGTGCGACTTTTTATACGAAGTGTACACAGTTGAAAAATTGATGTTAAATTTAACAGATATCACAAACGGATGTCCCAAATGGTACACAGAAATTTTTTTATTGTATTAATTTAACATAATATGGATATGTTAAATGGAGATACAAATATTGTGTTAATATTTTAACGCAAAATAAGTGCAAAACTTCAAGTAATTTAAAATGAATTTTGTGTAAAATTAACATAGTTTTCATGTACAAATTAACTAAAAATATGTTAATTTTAGATTTTATCATTCTCACTTATATTATAAAATAAAAAATAAACATTTTTGTCTGTAAATTTTAACAAATAAATCTTGTCACTAATCAAACAACATATTTATTGTGTAAAATAAAAAATAGATGCAGTGTGTTATTTTTACATCTTTTTTCAGTTGTTTTAATAATTTAACATTTAAGTTCAATTAACACAAATAGCAATATGTTAAATTAACACACAAATGTATAAATATATAACACAAACATTTTAACGAGGACCTTTCTTAACAGTAAAACAAATTTTCTTATTGTGTAATGACACTATGCGTGAGGAATATCTTGTATCGCGTGCTAATTTCCGTGTCAAAACACATGTCGATGATAATCTCGATTGACGACGTCAATCAGGCTCGCGTCTTTAATCCGCAAACTTTGCTCCCTCCTTCAACAACCGTCTATAAATTAATTGAGTAATAGATTCTATAAGATATCGTTGTTTTGTTGATTTACAGTTCTCAGTTAATTGATATTAAGTATCAAAAAAATTTTCTGTTATATTATTGTCATTTATATGATTTTAATCAGTTGCATTAATCAAATAATATATTTCAGATTAAAATATAGGTATTAAGATTTAATCAGTTATTTTTATGTACATATATTAATATAACTGTTGAACAAAATAAATGACATAATTATTATTAAAATGAATTATTAATGAAATTATTTTAATGATATTAATTAAACTAAATCATCAAATTAAATTAAATTATAATCAAATTGCATTAATTTAAAATATATTATGTGTAGGACAAGATTTGAAGAGATCTTTCGAGATCCGTGCGCCGAGAATTTCATCTTCGCTTTCTCGGAGCAAAGTCCGATATAAATAGACATAATACGCTAGACATCACAGAACGCGGTACCTAAGGAACGCGTTTCGCAGATTAAATAATTCGAGTAGATAACGAGATGGAGATAGAAACACGCCGCGCAAAGCTAATGATCGTGAGTGGATTATTCCCAATATCTTCATTCGCATAGTATACATCGTCGTTGCTCCGCAGATGTATAATCTATTATCTGTGATTTATTTCGAGTTTGATAAGAGAAACATGGTGTGGCGATTGTCGGTCGCGGTTACCGCTGATTGAATTCGAAAGATTACTTTTCGCCTATTTTCCTCTCATGTATATATGAAAAAAATATATGTTTTTCCGTAGCAATACCGTTTAATTGAAATCAGTAATGGAATGGGTAAAAGTCAATTCAAATTATTTTTAGAGAATTTTGTAGATTTTATATATATATATATATATGTACGCGTATATACAAAGAATCGTTTCAGGTGGTTGCATCAGAGATAAAAAAAAGTACGTCTATAATACAAATATTAAATCTAGTTGTAAATGCAAAAACTAAACTAATAAACAATTTCTTTTAAGTGAATCTTTTACTCTTTTTCGAGTCTTGTTAAACTCTTGATATATACGAACATTTAATTGCATACACAAATATATATTTAATATCAAAATGAAAAGTGACAGTCTTATGGAGAATTTGACAATTTCATAATTCGACATGTACACAGTAAAAAAAATTGTGTTAAATTTAACACATTTTACATGTCCCAATTTATCCACTCTAATTTTAATGTTAATTTAACAGAAAACAATTATGTAATTAAATAACACACGTAATATGTGAAAAAATAACACAAAAAAATATAATATAAGCAAAAATTCGTACATTTTCATTTAATTGTGTTGTTTTAACACTTAAAAATAGTGAATATTAACTCAACAGACAAATGTCAAAATAACATAACGACAATATGTTATATTAACATAAGAGTATGTTAAAATTTTAACACAAAATTTCTACACAAGATAATTTCAACAGAAATACGAAATGTTTTTTACCGTGTAAGAAAAATATAAATATTCTTGAAAAATTTGCATCTATCTTTGCGACACGTGTTGCGCAGCAACAGAGTTAAATAATCGAAAATATTGAATCGAATTTATAGGAGAGACAATTTTTATTATAAAATAAAAATATCGCGCTGTAAAAAGTATATGAAATATTAAAACAATTTCCTACTTATAATTATTGTTTATCAATGGAATATCTCGGCCTTATTTGCAACAAATTCTATATGAATCATATCATTTTGCCAAAAATTTTCTTTCATCGCGGTTCCTATATTATCTCAGAAAATTAAGTAATAAAATCAAAGATACATCATCTTGTTGAAATAATCAAGAATAAATTAAACGCTTCAAATCTATATAATCATACGAGAGAGAGAAATGAACAGAAAAATAACATTTCTATTATATATTTAAAATTTTTATTCATATTATATATATTTTTGAATAAAATATCCCGTAAAAAGCATCGCGCTTTTTCGTTTCCACCCTATATGACATTTCTTTTTTTAGCCCAATTCATTCTCTCTCTCTCTCTCTCTCTCTCTCTCTCCTCGGAAGAGGGAGGAGAGGCTCGGCAAAACTTTTTCATCCCCATCCTCCCGGGATTTTCTTTTCAAGATTAATTCGGAACGGAAAAAATGGGAGTCGCATTAGCAACGTTTTTTCCCTACGCAGAGAAAAAGGATACGCGAATACCATATATAAATGGCGGAATCTAATGGCCGAAAACACGTGTTACACGTACGTTTATGACGGTGCACAGCGTGCATCCTGTTCAAAGTTCCGGTCAGTTTTGTGGTGCTCCCAAACTGTGTACATGTGAGACTGAGAAAAGCAAAGAAATTGGAGTAAAAAACCGTTTTTTCTCCGTAAAAACATAAATAACGAGGCGACTCCAGAACTTATCTCTCGTCGGGCCGTAAAATACTGCGATATTCGATCAATACCGGCAGGTATATATTCGAGAGCGTGCACACACGCAAAATATATACACCACGTTGCAAGGGACGTTTGGCGGTTTAACCGCACCGCCGGGCGAGCGGAAAAACGGAAAGGACGATTCTCTCTAAACAGAGACGGGGAATGTACCCGTATACCTACAGGCGGGCTTTTGAGCCCGTATGGAGGGGATACAACAACGGGTGTAACGGAGGATCGCAGGCAGAGAGAGCTACCTGAGAAACCTACGAAAAGTTCAACTATATACGTACATATGACACATGTCATCATTTTTTTGGTATCGGTCAAATATTATAATTGTTGCTAAAATACGGACAATTTGTGTTAAAGGACACCTAAAAAATACTGTCTTTTTACGAGAAACTATATATATATATATATACTGTATAATTGCATATTTTTTGTAAATACACTTTTATTTAAAGTCACACCGTCTCAAAAAACTATTTTTATGTATTTCGTATTTATTTATTTTTTTTTTTTTAATTTTGCAATTATGTATAATATAATACTTTGTATCGACAGTTCGATACAATAGTTTCTTTTATACACACGATGTTTGCAAAATATGAGACGAAACCTTTATGATAAATTTAAATTAAATGGAAAAAAATAATATAAATATATTTTATTAAAACCTATTAAAAATTATAATAAATATTTGAAATTTCTTGTGTGTTTGTGTGTCTGTGTGTGAAAATGTTAACGTTTCTCTTCATCAAACTATTGATTATACAAAATATTTTTTTCAATTATAAATTTTTAAAAACTGTTTTTTACACTTTGAGATTCGTGGTTTCATTGTTATTTTATTAGCGAAATAATATTTTTCTATAAATAATTTTTATGGTATACTTTTAACATGAGATATTCAAGACATTTTATATTATATATAATTCATTCAAAATATATATTAGATAGCATATAAAATTTATTTATATACATATAATAGTACATGGAAAAAGCCATATAGCTAAATTTTAGTTGTCCATATATTACAATCTAAAATTTAATTATCATATCTAAATTTTAACTATGGTAATTAATATTTTTTAGCTATAGTTTAACGGGGAATACTATAGCTAAAAATCTAAAAAACATTAGCTATCATATCTAAAATTTAGACATGATAACTAAATTTCATGTGTAATATAGGGACAATTAAACTTTATTAGTTATAGTAGCTAATTTTTTCTTCATAATTGCATTATTGTAGCATTTTTGAGAATCGAAAAGTACCGTAAAATTTTTTATGGTTGTCTTCAATTACTTAAAAGTTGATAATAGTAATCGATAATAGTAATTGATAATTGAATCCTAAAGTCTAGAATTGATAACTTGAAAATGACTGTACTTCTCTTTACAGACTTAGTATTGTGCAATTCACGACGAAGAAATGGCTTGCAACGGCAAAAGGATGCTCTTACGTGATATTAATCAACATCTGATCTGTCTACTGTGCCGAGGCTACCTCATAGATGCCACAACTGTGGTGGAGTGTTTGCACTCATGTGAGTAAAAGTCAGAATTTGTGTGATTTAGATTTTTTATCGGTCGTTCAATACACACCGGTAAACTAATGTGTTGCATTTTTTGCTATTCAGTTTGCAGAAGTTGCATTTTAAAACACCTCAACACTTCAGCGCAGTGCCCGTCGTGCAAACATGTGCTCAATAAAGCGAAGCCAAATATCAAGTATGTAATCGCAGTTGTTCGAGTCATTTATGCAGCAATTTACATCGTTCATTTTTCCCCACTTTTACAGTAATAATAAACTGATTGATTGGAAAAAAATAAATTTTTAATCTCTGTTAAGAGATATTCGGTTATAAGATTGAAAAATAATAAATAAATAATAAAATAAAAAATTGTAATTATGTAATATTTAAAAAATATATAATTTTTTTATATTTAAGAAAATGAAATATTGATTTCAAAATGGTGAAATGAATATTCCTATGCGATGCATTCTACATAGAAAAGCATATACATCTTTTATTATTTCGATGATTATTGTTTTCTAGATTATTTATGATTGTAATTGTTTTGCAGAGCCGATAAGACGTTACAAGAGATCGTGTATAAGCTGGTACCCGGATTATATCATAGAGAAATGTTAAAAAGAAGAGATTTTTACAAGAAGCATCCTGAGCACGGTAATTGATCAATTTATCTCATAGATTTTTGACTCTTAGAGCCTTTCTCTTATTAAATATAATATTATAAACAAGAAAAATTATGTGATTTTTTTTCATATAGAAAAACTGATTCATTTCTACATATATCAAGAAAAGAACTCGTACAATTTTTCTCTGATGTCGTTTCATTGTCAGTTCAATATAGTTTATAATAGTAGATCTTAGAGTCTTAAACGATATTTGAATATTACACCTGAATTTTATAATAATTAGCAAATCTAACAACGCCGGAACAACGCGGTGAAGATGTGAGCGGACGATTGATATTCAATCCGGAGGATGTAGTGAGCTTGAGCTTAGAATACTTACCGCCAGAAGCGGATCCGCTGGATATACTGACAAGTACCAATGACGTGGACACGAACAACTCCAATAACATTAACAGCGGTGACAATACCAATAACAGTAATCACAACGGCAGCAGCAGAAGATACTTGCAGTGTCCGGCTCTCGTGACTATCGCGCACCTGAAAAAGTTTATATCAATGAAATACAGCGTCGACGTAACAAGATACAACATCGAGATCTGTCATCGACGCGCGACCCTCCCCGAAAACTGGACCCTCATGGACGTCGCTTATATTTACGCGTGGAAAAGAGTACGTATTATCTCTTGTTCCCTTTATTTTATCTCTTGCTTCGCGATATAATTATTAAATTATATGTAATTTAGTCGTGGAAGCGAAATTGCAATCAAATTTGTGATTTGTAAGTGTTATTTTTTATTCTATATATAAATATTATATATATACAGGGTTTGTTGTTACCTAAATAAACTTATATAGATGATCATCTAATAAAATTTTGACGTCATCTTATATCTTTATATAAATAATATAATCTAAATATATATATATATATATATATATTAATATAAGAAGACCCTTGTGTGTGTGACTTAAATTAGTGTCTTTCTTGCAGATTGCACCGATGAGATTTTTCTATTTAGTGGCGCAGGAGCAGAGACTCGAGGCACCGCTGCACCAAAGACCCTCGACTCCAGGACTGGGAGCTCGGGACTGTGTGCCACCGAATGACATTCCGAATAGCAGCGATATAAACAGTAATCCCATTGATCAGATTCAGGAATCCTCTAAATCAGAGGCTAAATCTGTGAACGATAGCGATAGGACGACGTCTCTGGCGAAAAATTCGGATAGCATTGCAAATAATAAGATAACTACAGCCGTAGATCGCAAGCCAACAGTGATAGAGAAGAAAAACGAGGCAAACAAAACCATGACGACGTCCACGACGCCCACGTCGTCGACGTTAACAACGACGAGCGCGACGACGACGATATTGACCACGTCGAATGTGTCTTCGCTGACGACGATGACGACATCAACGGCGATGACGTCAACGGCGATGACCACGTCAACGGCGATGACCACGTCAACGGCGATGACCACGTCAACGGCGATGACGACGTCAACGACGATGACGACGTCAACGATAATGACGACGACGACGACAACGACGACGACGTGTAATGACTCGAGTAAGCAGATAAAGAGTCCGATTAAGATAATGAAGCATCCGGACGGAAAATACGAAGTATTGAAGAACCCGTCCACTCCTTCTACCGTGACAGACGTCAAGAGTCCAACTAGTCCTGAATTTAGCGTCGTGAATTCCAACGGTGTCAAGATAACTCTGAAGCAATGCTCGCCGCCGCAAAATAATGGCAGTTCGAAGAAACCGAAAGTCATCAGCGACGTTCTGTTGCGTTGCGGCCAAATAGAGAAAGACGGGCCGCCGTCTTCGAGCGCATTGATTCAGCAACTGCAGCAGCAACAACAACAAAAACAACAACAACGAGACAAAGAAAAATTTAGCTCGACGTCGACGAGTCCGGTATTGCCAGACAAGTTGGAGAAACACCGACGTAAAGTAACCTTCTCGGTAGACCGATCTTCGACGTCCGAGAGCCCAAAGACCTCTCCCACTAGTGCCAGTGGTGCAGTGCCAAAAACAGCGTTAAAGAAACCGGCGGAGCAGCAGGACAAGAAGCAATTCCTTCAGGGTTTTCAATTAACTGCCCGGGAACCATCGATGCCAAACGATAGCAAGCTGATACCTATTACTCGAGACATTTGTACCACGATGAACGCGCTCAAGGCTCTTCAGAAAAATAAGCTGGAGGAATCCTCGAAGAAAGATACCAATGAAGTCAAGAAGAAGAGTAACACCGAAAATGGCAATAGTATCGCAACAAACACAGTCGCGATAAGCACAGTCGCAAAACGAAATCTCTCCGGAACGCCTGCAAATAATGCGCGAGCGTACACGAAGATGAGCGACGCAAACGGGCGTGCATTTAATTCGGGAATCGGTCCCAATAGCGCGAATATCGCGAGCGGTAATCATGCTAAGATGGACGTGTACACCTTCTCTAGCGATCCGCCGCCGCCGATCGTTCCTGCCGGAGCAGTGAAGAGAAAGTGCCCTCCGGGTCTGCCGATCGCTGAACTGAAGCGTCGGAAGTCGCCGCAGATCGCGCAGAGACAGGAATCTAACAAGAGGCAAAACGTTTCGCCGCACAATTCCCCGAATAAGCTGCCGCGTACTTCTTCAGCGGAGCACGTGATACCCACGAGCAGAGCGACTAGCAATATAACGGGAGATTACGGCAGTTCGAGCCGTACATCCAACACGAAGGCGTCCACCAGTCCGTTGCTGTCGAACGATACTAGGGATTTTCTAGTAGACGGCTATGGACTGAATATTCCGGCGAGTTTAAGCATAACGCTGACGTCACCCAAGTCAGCGGGAGTTTCCGGGCCATTTGTCGAGTCCAAAGATCCCGGTGAGAACAATCGCGGGAAGGTCGCGCTAGGCAAGGTGAATCCTAGTATCACGTTGAACGATCGATCGGTAGATCCGCGCGTGTTGAAGGCTCTAAAGACTGGACAGATGAAAATGCCGAGCAATCCAGCGAAGATGGACAAATCAACAGCGACAACAGTTGGAGCGACGACAAAACAAACTTCGATGACGATGGATCGTAACGAGGCAACGACGAATCAGCAACGAACAACGACGTTTACCGCCAAACGGAAGAAGGAACACGAAATGAATAGGGACATTCTAGATTTAAGCGGAGGTAAAAAGAATATGGATCTACATCCTCTGAGAATTCCTCAGCCGGTGACGAAGCTTAATCAGAACAAGGCTAGTAAGATCATAGGCAGGGATAGTATGCAACCAGGTAGCATCTCCGATCAGGGCCAAGTGGTGACGTTGATGGGCGGTCACAGGTATTATCGTGCACCTCCAGGCTCCCTGACACCCGCTGCTCACCGTGTCACCGATTTTCTACCACCGTCGCGTCCACCAGTTTACGCCCCGTGTCTCAGTGTCATGAGCCGATCAAATTCTGACATCGCATCGGTCTTTCCGAGTCTGTCGAGTCTGTCGAGTCTTTACGCGCTTAATCAGGCGCCGAATCTCCAGCAGTTTCAGATGGACACGGCGCGGCTGAAATTGTCGCCGCGTTCCGTTACGGAAAGCAACGCGATCTCGACGACGCCCGGAGGTGGCGACAACCTGGCTAACCCGGCATCAGTGGCGTACCGCCGGGGAAGAGTCATTTAGCCGCTCAGTGTGCCCCGGTGAAACCTGCGAGGTCTTCCGTGGCGCCTTTGGCGGTTCCCATCAACAAGCAACAACCTTCGGACAAATCCGCGAATGCGAATACCAACCGGACGATCCTAGGCGACTCTAGCAAATCTGCAACCTTTCGCAGCAACGAAGGCCACGTCTCGGACGAAGCTCTTCGTTTGAACGCTCAGAAGAGATTCTCCTTGGGTGTCGAAAGTACAAATAACAGGCTTCTGTCGCGGAACGAAGACGCAAAGAGCACTAGCCAGGTCACGAACGAGACTCCTAGAGACACCAATGCCGAGTCGAAGAAAGAAACGCTCAATCCTGACAATTCGCAGCGGCAACAGAATCGCGAAGCAGCGAGTCCTAACATCGTTTCGTCGACAGCTTCGCCATCGCCACCTCCTGGCAACAGTAATGTGAAGAACGAGGGTAGTACTAATCACAGTAATGTTAGTTCGCACGGAGACAATAACGCGACGTCGTCGAGTCCAACGAAGACAACGAAGGCAACGTCCGAGGCGACCTGCAACAAATCGCCAGATAGTCCGGACTCCAGCTCGATCACGGTGGAGTGTACCTCGGGCACGAGCTCGGTCAAGACGGATCGAGAAACATCGACGGACGTATCCAAGACGACTCCGGACGCGAATCCGTCCGTCGACGGTTCGATCGTGTCTGAGGACAAGAACAAATTCGCCATGAAGTCGGAGGCGGCCGACATCGCGAAGCAGTTGAATACCATGCACAAGTTGCTGGCGGTTTTTCCTTCGAACAAGTGGAAGAACAATCCCGTCGCCGCCCAACATCTGGGGAACTTTCTGAAGAGTCTGAACGCCAATATAAGCGAGGACCCCGACGAATCCAAGGAGGAGAAAACCGAGCGGAAGACCGAAAGTAACGAGACTCGGTAATGAAACTTCCATCGATTCGAGGAAGATGAAGACACGGTGGTTTCAAGAGTCATCGATGCGACAGTTTTATATAGAATTTTATAACTTTGAAGAAGAGAAGAAAGACAGTTTTCAGTTTCCTTTTCCGCAATCTGTGGTTGTTTAATACAGACCGAAAGTCTCACAATCTAAAAATTCACATTGTACATCTGATTATTGTACAGTGTACAAAACATGATGATATATAAGGAACAGAAATCTAGGGTACACGCGAACAGATAAACTATAAAACACTGCCATATGAATGGAAAGATGCGTGGAATCATTTTTTACAGGGATGCAAACAAACAGTTATTATAACTCACATACAAAGTGGGAAAGGAGAATCTCACGAAGAATTACACTACATATATTATAGAATACACAAAGTATACAGAATAGTATATAAAGAGCAGTGTAAACCGAGAATCTTATTTTTTCAAGTTTCTTAAAAAGAATCTTTCATATGCTCTGGAATATACGATCTTTAGATTACATCATTGATCTTGTCAAATTATAAAGCTTGTAACATTCCGGAAGAAAGAATCCATATCGTCTTTCTCTGAGAATCTTCTTCGTTGATATATACATATATCAAGAATGTAATTTTCAATCAATAATTGATAACGACAGCTTATTTTCATGAATATCTTGTATATTTTACAGTCACCGTTTTCAACATTTGAAATTGGATTGTGTAAGAGAATTGTGTTTATATAATATATAATTTCAATTAATAAGTAGCAAATGTTATAGTTGCATTGACAGCTATAACAAAGAAGGGTAACGAGAAGCCAAAAGTGGTCCAAGTAAAAACAAAGCTGTGTAAACTGTATTTGTGTGTGTATATCATATATTTTGCATTAATTCTTTTAATACAAATTTAATATATTTTTTTCACACAATGCAATTTTGTTCAAAACTTATTAATGCATAATCAAATTAATTTTTAGTTTCAAATTTTTTTAATTAAAATAATTGATTGAATTATTAAGATGTTAAAACATTATCCATATTTTTTATTTAATTATATTGTATGTATGTATATATATTTTGTTATAATTTTTTTATTACGTATAACTCAGATACAAAAGTTATTAAATATATACAATGCGCAAATACAGTTTCACATATATCAGATACTGTAATATTAAAGATGTGCAATGTTGTATGCATAGCATATTCTTGGAAAATGGAAAAAAAGAACGTTTAAGTGTACTATTCTCTTACTTTTACTTTTTTATGTTATGTTTTCTATGTACTAGTTACATGCATAATGTCTATATGTTGTATAATCATTGTTACGTTATGCCACTGCACATAATGCATTTGTATTATATTAATTATATTTTATTTAGGGTTTGTACATATACTTATGATTATTATTATACATAAAAAATAATGAGTGGGCATAATATGGAGTATAATGCCCTTAAAATTTCTGTTATTTGATAAATTGAAAGTTAACTGAGTGCAGTTTCTTGTGTTTTACATATTACATAAGGATATGTGTATCGTAATAAGAGAATATGTTTCTATATTTGACACGCAGTCAAAATGTCCGTACTGTAAAGTCATCTTAAACGATTTAAACAATGTATCTTTTTGACAAAACATTTCTTGTAAAATATTTTTGTCAGTTCCTATTTTCATTCCAACCCAGCAAACACCGATATATAATTGTTACATTGCCATAATAAAACGCAATATAACAGGTAATATAACGTGTACGTTACATGTAACATCCATGTTAGTTGTAATTTCCCACTCATAGATGTAACATTTTAATATAACATATATTACATTGTAGTTATATTATATACCAAATAGCACATTGATGTATTAATAAGTCAGTGCTATCTTGGGATATAATGACAATATAACTACAATGCAATATATGTAATATTAAAAATGTTACATCTATGAGTGGGAAATTACTCTAGAAACTAACATATACATTACATGTAACATGCTTAAGTATATAACATTTATATACTGTGTTTGCTGGGAATAATATTGAAACTATGAGTAATGAAAATGTTTGTTGTGAGCTCTGTTATTTTTGCTTTCTCATATATCTATGTGGTCACATGGTATATATATTCATAAAGCAGAACAGGAGAAAAAATTCATCTTACGGACATACGATTGTATATTATAATTTGTACAATTATTGTGTTATATATCTTTATAATAAATTTCTTTTTAATGTAAATTTTAGAAAAATATATATTCCCTCTTTGTATCTTTATTTTATTATGTATCTCTATAATATCTCTTTATTACGTATCTCCAATATTTAAATGTATATAATGTATTGTAAATTATATTTATTTATCTCAACTTTTTCTTTCGTTCTTAAATTTTTTGTCTGCATTACTGCTTCATTACATCACATTTGTTACTTGCATTTGTAGAATGAAAGTGGCAAATGGACATATATGATTAAATATTTTTATTATATAAGGATTTATAGGCGTTCACAGGATTTTTTCCAGGGAGGGGCATGATTAAAACTTTTTTGTTTCTTATATATTTTTATTATTCTTTCATAATTTTTTAAATTTAATTTTTTTATTATTTTGTTATTTTAATATTTTAATATTAAATAAAATTGTAAATAAATTCTAGTGTTTATTCACAAGGAGAGTAAATGCTTAATTTTTTTACTGATTTCAATTAGGGGGAGAGCAAATGCCCCCTCTTGCCACCCTCCCCCTGCAGACGCCCATGCGAGGATTAAAAAAAGAATAAAAATAAATCGAATTTTCTCTGAAATGCCACATATTTTTCTACTAAAATATTGGAACGTCGTTGTTGCGAAAATACAACTTTTTCAACAATTATTATTCATTCCTATTCTTCGTTATCGCGTAGTCGAAAATTGAACGTAAAATTCAAAGTTATAAATATGAGATACATTATAAAAAAATATCTGATTCGCTTACCACGCGAAGAATTTTGTAACCAACCTCGATATTAAACACTTGATTCGTTTGGAAGTGCGTCGTCGCGTTTTTCACTTCAATAAAACCACCACTTGTATCTCATTCCTTCCTCTTCCACAGGTTCCTTCACTAACAATAAGCATTGTCTCACTGTGATTGGCTGATTTGTTCGATTCCTTTTCTCTGCGCTCCAAAATTTCGAATCGACCAATCGGAACGAAGGGCGCCAAGACTCCCAGCTCTGATTGGTCGCTCGAAACTCTCGAAGCGGCGCAGTCGAACGTATTCGACTTGAAGGTAGCCGTTTGTGCTTGGAGGAAAGTCCGCCATTTTTTTTTCTCGTCGTGTTCGTGTTTCGCCGCGTTGAGGTTACGTCGCGTCTCGATGCGAGTTTTGCACGTTATTAATATACATTAATAATAATAATATTTTTGTCCTCATCTCGCGAGGCGTTTCGACTCGCCGTCTTCTCGAAATCCACTCGAGATGAACGCGAAGGAGAATTCCACGGCGCCGACAAAGAACGCGAACGCATCGAACGCGAAGCTCTACGGCAAGATCGTGTTGACTTTGCAGAATTGTCTCCTGCCGGAGGAGAAGCTCAACTCGACCCCCTCGTACCTGGACGGTCTTGACGCCGAGACCGAGACGGATCTGCGAATACTGGGATGCGAACTCATACAGACGGCCGGTATCCTGTTGAAATTACCCCAGGTAATTTTTCTACTTCCGCCTAAGATTTTCAGCCAAGTTCAGGACCCTAAAATGTACTCTCTTCATTTTATCTCTTGACTTGTCTTGCTCGTTTTCATACGATTCTTTATATATTTTTATACAATTATTTTATATATGTGTATTAAGTATAAAATTATATACTTGTGTATTTCATTGTATTATTCGTTTATTTTATAGATCTAGATATGCTCTTTTTAAAATAAAATTTAATTATATCGAAGCAATAAAATAGTGAAAAGAATATTTAAATTTTATAATAAATTTAATTCATTACACATACGCAATAATTGTTTTTCTAATAAAATGTTTGAAAATGGAGACAGGTAGAGAGAAAGAGATTACTTTACTTTAAATTTTGAATGTATACAAATATACTACAATATATTACTTTAACCCTTTGCGGACAGAACCTTATGTATATTGTTGATTTTAAAACTGATAAACTGACAAAAATAGCTCAAAATGTATGTACTTTCCAGAATCTCGGTGGCTAATGTAAACAAATGAGTGGCGACGTGTACGCTGGATTGTCGACACAGCAAAATAGAAGTGTAACGATGGGAATATCTCTGCTCATGTCCCCGAAGGGTTAACATTGTTAAAATGCATCAAGATGCATAAAAATAATGTTATCTAATCATTCTGTTCTTTTTTCGTTGTAGGTTGCAATGGCTACAGGGCAAGTAATATTCCAACGATTTTATTATAGCAAATCTCTAGTTAGACACAATATGGAGACAACTGCAATGGGTTGTATATGCTTAGCTAGCAAAATCGAGGAAGCACCCAGGCGCATCAGGGATGTCATTAATGTTTTCAATCATGTAAAACAGGTTTCCAGTCAAAAGTAAGTTTCTTTTGATCTTATAATACATCAAAATATAAATTATTAATTAAGATTCTTTATTGCCAGTTAAAGAATTAAAGGAATAAATATTTCTTAATTAATACTGGCTATTGACTTTTATTTAATTAATTTTCAAAACTGTTCAGTTTAATATAAACAAGTGACAGTGTCATATCGACTCAATGGTGGTCTTTTTTTTTTTTTTTTTTTTTTTTTTTTTCAAACAGTACACTTGAAAAGGACTAAAATTATGGTCAAAACGTTGTGTAAGATTTATTAAATGTCAGTATTGGTCGAGAAATATTTATTCCATGAAATATAAATAAAAATTATAAAATATATGACAAATAGACAAAACAATTAAAATAATCTATTTGAATGATTTGTTTTAGAGCGATTCAACCTGTGATTCTCGATCAGAATTACGTAGCTCTAAAGAATCAGGTCATCAAATCAGAGAGAAGAGTGTTGAAGGAACTGGGCTTTTGCGTTCATGTGAAGCATCCACATAAGATCATTGTCATGTATTTGCAAGTGCTGGGATATGAGAAGAATCGCTCGCTGATGCAACAGAGCTGGAATTACATGAACGACTCGTTACGTTCCGACGTCTTTTTGCGCTATCAACCGGAGACCGTGGCATGCGCGTGCATTTATCTCGCTGCTCGACAATTGCAACTGCCGCTGCCCACAACACCCACTTGGTTTTCGCTCTTCACAGTCAACGAGTCGTCGATCAGGGACGTTTGTCGACGTATCCTGCGCCTTTATTCGCGACCGCGCGTGAGGCCCGAGCAGTTGGAGAAAACGTGTCGAGGAGCTGCGACGTCAGTACGAAGAAGCTAGAACCAAAGCGCGCGGTGGAGATGTCGACGGACACACACCGAGTCCACCACTGCCGAAACATCACAACGCCTGGGGTGGATTCATCAGCCGCAGCGGCACTCACGCCGCTCCCGAAAGAACGAAATCACCTAGGTATAATAAAAAAATACGGAGAAAAAACAATTTTAGAGAAAGGTCGTCAAACCATCAGATTTTTCTTTCTACTAATGAATATTTATCTTATAAAAATATTGTTTAATTATATTTAATCGAAGGTACAGCACGCGTTAGGATAAATATTGTTATACGTTTTTAAGTATTTGCACTTTCATAGTAATATCGCGTTTAAAAGGTAAAAAAATTGCTCAATTTGTAAAAATATATTTATAAATATGGGGTCTCGATATTTTTCAGGCGTTCGAAATCTCCAAGTACTTCTCCATCGCGAGGCGAAGGGACAAAGCATTCCAAACGAAAAAGACACAGCAGGAGTAGATCCCGCAGTCACAGTCACGGTAGATCCAGCAAATCTAAAAAGACCCAGCGAAGACGATCAGGCAGCCATAAATCATCACGAAGATCGCGAAGTTACAGATCGCGAAGTCGATCCCGAGATAGAGACTTGGAGAAATCGAGCAAACATCGCAGTAAACGCAGTAGACGTCACTGAAGATTTACTATATAGATGGAAATTTCGCATTATTTTACAAAATATCAGAGTAAGACTTTAAACATTTGTAATCAATTTGTAATAGAAGGTGAATTTTGTATAGTCCTCTATCACAATTCTTTTATTTCGAACAAATGGACATACGTTCAGTTTCTAGATTATCTTGAATTTCATTAGTTTCAACAACATTGAAAGACACTGTTTCATTATGAAACAGATTATTTCCAATAATATATATTATATATTGTATTTTCGTCAACAGCATTTTCATCGTTCACGGGTACATGATTTATGTTAAAAATTGTTATGAGAAAGTGAGATAATGTAACTTTTGTAAAATATCAAATAATGTAAATTGTTTTTTAAATTTTATGTAAGTTCATAGAAACTAATCAGAACAAAAAGAAATATTGCAGATACGTACATGTTATCACGTTTGTATGTTTATGTTGATTAACAGACTCAAATTAAAAAATGGTTAATGAAATGAAATTATCGCAAATAGGAATTGCACATATAATGCAATGTTTATGATTCATATATAATTTGCAAATATTTTTTATTCGTAAATATAATTTCTAAACAAATATTCACAACTGACAGATTAGATTTCATCAAGTGAAACAAAAGAATTAAAAAAAATGTTTCAAACATTTTATGAATCTGTTAATATGAAAAATCTATGTCAAAATTTACAACTATAATTAATGATATTGAACTTCTATTTTTTTTTCATCCTGACAAATTTCTATGAACTTGTACAAAGCATAGAAAATCTACATAATTCTCGAAAAATTAATATATTAATTTGTAGTTTTTACAAGTCTGCTGAGCTATACCTCAACCGATGTACGATGCAATAAAGATATGAAAATAGAAAGAGATGTTATAAAAAAGGCATGTAACAACAAATAAAAATAAAATTTTATATTCATACTCCAGGTTGTATCATCTTAAAGAATCCTACGGGTAATGCCTTTTTCTCAGCTGCTATCACTGGTGAAAAGTCTAGAACAAGTAGCTGTGGGAGAAGATGTACGATGTAACTCCTGTAGCAGGGAACGTCCTCGATTGGATTACCGTGCAATGTTAACGATCTGAGATTCTGTAGTTTTCTCAATCTCATAGTATCCGCGATATTTGAAACTTTATTGCCATGTAAATAAAGTATCTTTAAGTTTATAAACTTTTCAATGTCTTCTCCGATCTCGCTAATCTCGTTAAAGGACAGATCCAACCAGCTGAGATACACCGGATCATCGAGAACTCTACTCGCCAGACTTTCAAGACCTTCCATCGAGCTCAATTGATTGTTACTCAACCATAATGTACTGGTTACATAACGATCCTTAGAAGTTCTTACTGGTGCTTTTCCTGTGCGTATTGTCTGTGCACGTTTCTTCATCAATCCTGGAAGGAAAATATCGTTAAAAATATATTTTTTAATATAATATATACATTTTTATATACATATATATAGTTTATATATTTTTAAATATAATTTATATATATATATATATTTCATATATATTTTTATTATATATATATATATAATAATTTTATATAAATATATAAATATATATATATATATCTATATATATATATATATATATATATATAATTTATATAAAATTTTCAATACATAATTTATATATATATATATTTATATAATATTTTATATAATTCAGAATTTAAAATAACAAAAGTTTATTAAAATGCATGTCTTCGATACGATGTATTGATTAAACAAAAACATAAAATGACAATCCCTGCTAATTTATTTATATACCATCCATCGTGGTGGCCTTCTTGAACGACAAATCTAACGGTGGGGCAATCAACATCTCCTGCCGTTCATCTCGTCTGTAATCGGAGGTATGATTTTCCGAGGAATAATGATCATGAACACTCATCGCGAAAAATTCGAGCTCGATTCGGTAACCTCGTTAGATCCTGAAGAAAACATTCGAAGCTCATATTTCGCGGTTTATTGCCATAAACCATCGAACAATTATGGCGGTCTTTCTTCACATGTTATTTCCATTTATTATAATTATTTATTACTATCATTATCATTAATATTATTATTTCTTATTATTATTTCTTTATTTATTTTTATTTATTATATTATCTTTATTTCTAGGGACTCTAGTTTGTACTATATATAAACTCTAGAAATTCGATGATCCAATTCGGACCAATCGGAGGAAAGAAATTTCAGTTCCTTCCTCTCCGATTGGTCCAATTCCAAACTGCAATAATTTCTCATGTTCATGTTTGCAGTATGGCGTCTATTTCCCGTTGCTCGTCACGTGACCGATTTTAAATCTCTCTACAATTGAATCCGTATACCGGAATCGCACGCCGGGCGAGGGAATTTGATAGATCCGGTGATCGACGCTGTGTCGAAAATGCCGCGAACCAAGTATGCGCGAAACAAGAGGAAGACTTCGGGGACCGAGTCTACAAAGGAGTACGATATAATGGCTCAGACCTTTGACAGACATGTGCAATTACGTATTACAAAATTGGAACGCGATGCCCAGGCTGACGTCAAAAGCTTCGAGACCTTCATAGACGTTATATGTTCCCGTCTACCATCGGAGATACGTTTTGGGATGACATTGGGTGAGATACTTGGTTATAATAATAATCATCGTAGCGACAACAAGCAGAAAAAGGAGAATGTCAACGATGAGGTGAGCTCGTCGGTCCAGGATTCTATGCAGCCACCAGCTACTGTATCCAAGTCTAAGCTAAAGACGGAGTACAAAACCGCCAAACGTACCACGACCACCACCGATGATGGATACGGGACTGAGAGGAACACCAGTGTGGGTAGCACCAGGTCGAGGAAGATGAAAGTGGAGGCCCAACCGCAGACAACAAGGAGGACACGTAGTTCTAGCAGAAATAACAGGACTCAACTCAGCGAGATCTCTCAGATGACTGTAACTAAGCCCAGGGCCAAAAAGATGATCGATACCTTCAAGACACCAGCACCATTAAAGCCCCACAGCACCGTCTACGATGTGGTTACGCCGAAAATCGTGCCAAATACACCGTTGAATGTACTGAGACGTCCTCGTCAGGGAGAGATGGTTCTCAGTATGCAAGGCAGTCCTCTACTGGTTTCTGCTATTGTCGAGGAAAAAATTGCTAATATTAATGTACCTCTGGGTAATGGTAATGTGATGTCCTTGTTGCCTCAGGAGGGATTGCGTATGTCTACTATTCCCCAATTGGATCCTGAAACGATGGAACAATTGGAGACCCTCAAAAAACATATTGAGAAAGTTATTGCATTCAAGTAACAATACAAATGTTAGTAGATTATATAATATAATAATTATACCATAAAATAGTTTTGCATTTTTTTATATTTAATTATATAAAAAGAAAAATAATGTAAAATCCTTTCTCGTTTTCCTGCTTCTTGTATCTTTGACAAACATTGTTTAGACATCAAGAGCGTTTCAAACAATTATTCAATATTAATATTTTTTGCAGATATATTTCTTTACTGAATAGATAACTCTTTTTATTATAGAAAGGATTTATTTCAATTTGAAATATTAGGACACAAGCAATCCTGAAGCTGTAATATAGGATATATGCTTACGTCAAAGATCAAGCCCAGCGTTGAATATATTGAAGTGTTTCAAGATGAAATGTTCCTCAGCATGTGGGTCACAATTTTGGCCTCTACTGTCGAAAATTGCTAGTATTAATATACTTTTGTATAACGCTATAATGTGATGTCCTTTGTTGCATCGAGAAGGATTGTGTATATCGCATATACTTCCATTGGATCTTGAAACAATGCAGCAATTGGAAACTCTTAAGATTCACATTAAGATAGTTATTATATATTAAAGTAGATATAATGTCAATATATATATAAATATCAAAATAAGTTATTATGTGGTGTAATATAACAATTCATGAAATATTTTTATACTTTTTTATATTTACATATGTATAAAAAAAAAGTAATGTGTAATTTCTTTCCTCTTTCTCTTGCTCTCTCTCTCCCTCTCTCTCTTTCCTTGTTTTGTAATTTTTAATAAATATCTTTAAACACATAAAAAAGTGTTTTCCTTCCAAAAAATTTAATACTAATATTTTTTATAGATATAGACTTCTTGGCTGAATAAAAATAGTTCTTTTTATTTTTTTATTATAATTTTGTACTAATATATATATATATATATATATATATATTACAATATATATTTATTGAGAAAACATCAAGTTACACAAAATAAAATTAAAAGACACATCATATCAAAATATTCCAAAAGTAAAATACTGTATATATTAATAAAGAAAGAAAAGATAGAAAAGATAAAAGTATAAAGAAAACAGGTAAGACAGAAAAATAAAATATTAAATTATTAGTTAATAAAATATAAATAAAACAAGCAAAAATTAGCAATAACTATATATTGATAAAAATAATGAATTTCTTAATATGAAAATTAGATTCTATGAACGTTTAGCATATCAGTTATTGTAAAATATATGCAATTAATTATAAAAGAAAATTTTACAATAAATTTTTATAAATATAATATAGATAATTTTTTTACATATACTATATATAAAATATATATATATATATATATATGTGTGTGTGTGTGTATGGATATATATATATATATATATATATATATATATATATATATATATATATATATATTAATAATATATAATTATTCATTTAAAAATTTTTTTATGATGGTCAATTATGGGCGAATTTTCATGATTATTGTATCAGAGAGAATACAGAGAGTGGCCACCGGAATTCAGCGGCAGCGTGTACTAGTGCGCCCCCTGACAAAGTGGACATAAACTACGTCGTGACGCTCGGTAAAAAGCACGGTAAATGGTTCGATTACGCGATATGGTTCATGTCCAAACTATTCAGCTAAAAACCAAATTGAGAACCGAACAGCTGAGTCAGACAAGGATCCATCGCTCTGGCTATAATTTTTATGACATTAATTTTGGACCATATATCAAAAAATTATGCACATACTTTTTTAATTTGCTTTTTATTAAAATATTTTATATATTATTTTCCAGCTCAAAAGTCATTATATAGAGATAACTTGCCAAATATTTAAATAAAAATATTTTACCAGTAAAGAGATAGGGCGTAAAGCTTACAATTACATATTTTCAAGAAAAATTAATTTAAACAATATGACGTTTTTACATTCGGCTCGGTTAGATTGATTTTCGAAAATGCGGCATAGTACATACATATATATATATATATATATGTATATGTATATTGCGGTGGCCGCTCTCAGGTTTCTCTCTGATTGTATGAGGTCGTCCCTGAAGATAATGAAGAGCGCTACTATACCCTCATCGATGACAAGCAACTATATGGGGATGGGACTATGGGACTTGAGATGCTTGATTTTTACATGCAGATGTTATATATGTATATCGGGTTGTCCGTGGTCAAGATGGTGTTGATAGGAGAGATTTCGTCATCGTCCAAGAATCTGGAAAGATTTCAACTACTTGGTGCTGTTGTCGATTAATTTGACAAGTTCTCCTTGCCGCGTGGACGCTTAGGATTCGGCTGCTCAATTGTCAGTGTTGCTCAGGCTTAGGTAGATTACGGAGCTGTCTGACACATTGTCTCTCACTGCCTTTTACTGCCTTCTTGACAATGGAGCAAAGAGATCGCGAGCGAATAACTTTCTGCTGCGACAGTGTCGTGTCAAAAATTGATATGACCAAACTTTTGCCAAAATTGTTGGAAAACAAGGTGTACAACAGAGACGACACGAACATGGTTCGCTGGAAGGTGAGTTCTTTTTATGTTCCTATTGTCAGAAACGTCACTCGAGTGCATTCTCTCTCTTTTTATACCACTTTTCTCTTAGTGAGATAGAAAGACAGGGAATACATTCGGGTGACGTTCAGAGAACGCAGCTTATATATATATATATATAAATTAATAGCAAACCTTTTTTAATGTCAGATTCCTGGAATCGTTTGGAGATGATTTTTCCTCATCATTTTTTGCATGTTCCTAATTTTTGCCATCATGTATCTTCGTAATTAAGCCTTAAATTAAAATTCTATTAAAGTAAACTCTACATAAAATTATTAAAAGAATGTAATTTTAAAATTAATTGAATGTAATTTTGTTAATATTTTATTTTCACATGACCTAGTTTACGAAAAACCCCTTATTTTCTATCGCTTATAATTCGAAAATTATTGATGTCTCGACATTTTCGTTGATGAAAAATCGTCAAATTATTCCAGGAATCTGCTATTAACAGGTGTACTACTAGTTCTCGGACACCCTGTATTTATGTATATATATATGTAATAGAAGATATATCAATTGGAGTTATACAATAAGACAAAAAATAAAATAAAATATTAGTTAATAAAGTAAAAAAACTTTCAAGCAAAAATTAGCAATAACTACTCTGATGTGTTTTTAAACAAAGAAACCATTTGTTAGCAAAAAAGCAATAGAATATCAATTGTGTTATTAAATGCTAAATTTTTTTTATATCATTCTCTTCTTTCAATTTTCTTAAAAGATTTATGCAAGAATAGTATATACATATATATCTTTGTAATAAAATAATGACTTGGAAGACAAAATCGTAAATTTTTTTATATTTAGTAAATTTAGTAAATTAAAACCATTATTATTTTTTCCTAAAAATATTGAACAATATATGCCGAGCAAATAATTTTTACTTTACGAGTCTTTGTTTTCACAAAACAGCATAAAGGCATTTTATTTCTATAAAAAAGCAGTTCTAGTGAAAAGATTTATAACAAAGAGATCATGAGTCATATTTGTTATCTCTTTTACATACCCTTACACATTTAGGTGAAATAGATAAGAAAGATATAGATAAAGAGGAGAGAAAAGTAATTCTAAAATATTATATAATATAGTGTAAAAGAGAATAAATGCAAATTAATTGATATTATATGGAAATTATATATTATATATCATAAATGTATTATATTATATATCATTATATGTAATATCTTTTATTTTTAGGACACCATTATGACACTAGATACAGTTAGAGAAATATATTTGACGATAAAAACACGAGGACCTTATGCATTTAACAGCTTACTTCTTAGTCTAAGACAGTCCGATCATGGAGATGTAGCAGATATATTGCAAGGAAAAACTAGTGCAAATAATAAAATAAGGTATATATTTTATTACTAATCATTAATTTTTTTAATATAAATGTTAAATATTATATAATGTATCTATATTAAAAAAATATTAAAAATATATATATATATATATATATATATAGCTTATATATATAGATGTATATTTAAAAACTTTTAATTTTAGTTTTTCTTTTAAATTTTTTTTCTTTTGTAGTATAATGTATTATAATTGTAAAGGAGAAAATGTTTCTAAGTGCACATGAATATATTATTTTTTGTTAAATAAATGTCAATTTTTGTTATATTCATTTTTTATATTTAAATACTTCTTCAGTCTCTCACAGTTCTAAGATATTTGATTACAATTTATTATTAATTAATTAAGAATATTAGATAAATAAATTTCTGTGATTACCTAATATTTATACAAAAATGTTGAAATTGTGTATAATTTAATAGTTAAAATTGTGAAAATTAAATTTTCTATTTTGTAAATCCTCTTATTATATTTTTTTTTATTTCAGCTTGAATCAAGTATATAATATTAATGGACCGATTTGGTCAGAGAAGCCTTTAATAGTAAAGCTTTGTAAAGCAACGCAATTTTTAGATAGAGAATATGAAATCATTGAGCGTTATCCTATGCGAAGTAAACCTCGAGGATTGGTTTTGATAATCGCAAATATTAATTATGATTTATCAGAGGAACCAAGATTTGCGGCAGAACATGACATAACAAATTTAAAAATACTATTTGAAGAAATGGGCTTTAAAGTAATTGTTCATATAAATTTAAAAGGATCGGTAAGTAAATAACTCAAGAGTTCAATACAATATAAAATTTGTTAAAAATTTAAAAAAAAATCTATTAATAATTATATGGTATAACTCATGTTTTAAAACACTTAATATTTAAAAGCATTGACAAATTCTTTTTGTAAATATTATGTGATTAAAGAGATTGAGCTCAAAAAGTTTAAAAATTTTTAAACTAAATTATGTGATATGTAAACTATGTAAAACTAAACGATGTGATTTATATAAAAGTATTAAATTCGTATTATTATAAAACTTGTGTGCAAATATAGAATCAGAAACATTTAGAGCATTATAAATTATTTTTTTATTTACAATATTTTTTCTCTATTAAAATATTAGATAAAATTAAAAATTATATTGACTTTTTAATATAATATATAATTGGATTATGATATATTTATATTATATTGACTTATATCTTACTTTTTTAGGAAATAAATGAAGTGGTAAAAAATTTTCAAAAATGATGATTTGGATAAGGTCGATTCTTGTTTCGTAATAATAACCAGTCATGGTACAGAAGATCAAGATGCCGAAGATAAAGAAAATAACACAGAAATCCAGGGAATTGATTATCATAGTGCAAGCAGACAACCAAATGAAAAAGTTCTATGTACAAATCTTTGCGATTATTTTACTGCAGAAGCTTGTCCACAACTTGCAGAAAAGCCAAAGATATTTATTTTTCAACTGTGCAGGTATGTTGTATAATAATATTTTTTCTCTCGCAATCTTATTATATTCTGAACTTTATAAGTAGAAATGAGATCTCTGTGTTATCTCATGGAACTGCGGATTAATAAAAATTTGATAAGCACTAAATTCCCGAAAATATTAAAAAATAAGGAAGTCTTGATTATGTTTTTACAACTATTCTTATCTTTAAAACTGTTCAAGTAAATATAAGTATCAATGTAACATCATAAAAGTATATTAGAGTTGTGCCTTTCATGCAATTTGGTGTATTCTACTTTTATTTGCATATGTGCAAAAATGTATAAAAAGCACAATTTTTTTTCTTCTGAACTTAGTTATTAATCTATATTTATCTTTTTTCTTTTTGTTTTAGAGGAAAAAGAAAACAGATAGCTGTAGCTCACAGTAGGACTACCACTGATACCAGTCTTATTCCAAATACGAATTATGAACAAAAAGCACCTTGCAATAGATCTCACGTTTTAACAACAAGGAATTATTCAGACATGCTTATAGTTTATTCTACCTTACCTGGGCATGTATCATATCGAGATAAAGTAACTGGTAGTTGGTTTATACATATCCTGTGCATTGTATTTATGCAGTATGCTTGCACGACTCATATTCTGGATTTATTTATTATGGTGAATATTATGAGATATTTAAAAAATACAAAATAATAGTGATTCTACAAAAATCTATAATTTTAATGCAATTTACAGATTGATTCAATTTTGAAACAAATCAGAATAGGAAAAGACGTGCCTGAGTGCCAGACGTCATCTATTGAAGTACGGGGATTCAACAAGCATCTTTTTTTGAATCCTGGCCTTTTCGAAACACAACAATAAATGAAGAAAAAAAAACACTTTTATCGCATTAGCAATATTTAATATCAATATGCAATATTTTATGCAATGTAAATAATTACAAATTTTAGTATATAAACTTTTATATGAATTTTTTATGAAAAAGATATAATCTTTTACCATTTTTTATTCTTTTATCTCGTATATTTTTACTATATTATGTACGAAATTATTTTGTTAAGAAACGTAATTATGTTTTTATGTTTCTTTTCTCCATTGACTTAATTTTGTTTTATTTTGTATTTATTTTATATATTTACTGCTATTTATAATTCTTTTCTACATTATATTTATCATTGGAAATATAATTTTATAGTTATTATGTACCCTATATAGTTTTTTTTAGTCTAAATCTTTTTCCTTATCCAATTACTGTCATATTTATTCCTGTATTACAATCAAAATTTATATATATATATATATAGACACAATATTCAGAATTTCATGTTGATGTAGAAAGTTTAGTATCTTTTTTTTATTTAGTTCTTCATCTATTTTTTGAAAGTTCTATGTCAAATGCAATAGTAAATTAATCATTTTTAATCGCGAATACATTTATTTCAATTTTAATGTACGCCCAGAATATCTCTTATTATGTACTCTCCTCCCTCCTACCCTACATCTAAATATATATATATATATATTGTATATAAATACACACACATATATATATATATCTCATTTTTGCATGTATAAAATACTTGACAGAAAGAAAGGATTTATATCTCACAAGTTTAAAGAGAAAATTTATTTCGAGCATAAACTAATACTATATTCCATGTAATCTCGTGTTTTATCCTATTTAGAGTTTATTGCGCGACAATGCATTAACATTTACAGAAAAAGAATACTATTTAATCCATATTATTTAATAGCTCGTGACTTGGGTTTCTTCTTATAAATATAAATTACAAAAAATGATTCTCTAAATACACACTATTCTAAATTTAATCTTAATTGTTTGCTGCCTTCGTAAGCGCTTCGATTATATAATCGGCAAAATTACATGCAAGCTTGCTACATATAATTTTGTAACGAAAATTATATAGATATTATGCTCAATATTTAGTATAGTAAGTAAAGTATGCTCGATATGAAATTTTATGAAATATTAAATTACCAATGAAATTTAAAGAGTAAAATATGATTTAAGATTTTTATTGAAAAAATTAGAAGGAAAAATTATTTCTTTAATTTTTAAGATTTGAGATATTTCTTTTATGCATTAATAATGAAAAAAAGTTTATATGTATATATATATATAAACTTAAATATATGAATAAGTTAAGTATATTTTATATAATATACAATTTCGAAGAGTTTAAGTGTAGCTATCGATTTTATTTATATAGTGCCATAATCGATAGAACAAATGATGGACTAATGTCAAGGCAGTTAAATTATGTTGATGAGATGAGTTTTATTTTATATTATTATATTTTACGAATTTTTACGTTCATATTGAATTATTCCGCAAGTAGATACAGCGCGTTGTACGAGCATGCTTAGTACAGTGATTGCGCGTTGGAGGAACGTGGCCGTTTGATCTTTTCAATGTTCTTGATCACGAGATCGTGCAGCGAACAGTAGCGATTGCGGACCTCGCACATCACCAGCCACAAGCTCACGTACTCCTTTTCGTCTAGTTCTTGAATCGCTCTTCTATAATCGATGATGTGTGGATATTTCGCGACTTTACTAACGATCTTTCCTCTAGAGATGAAATACCTGAATAGAAATAAGAGATAAATATGATTCTTTTCTCTTGTTATGCTAAAGTAAGTATTAATCTAAGAGTGTTGAATATATATATATATATATGTATATACAGATCATTTACCTAGAGATTTGATCGAAGAACGCGGCTGCTTCACTTTCAACTGATTGAATCTCAGATAACGTATCTTCTTGTATTGATACACCAAAGTTATTTCCATCTTCGATTTTTGGAATCAGGAAAGAAATCCACATTTTTAACTAGAAAATTAAAAACTGTATTATTAACGATTCGAAAAGTACTTATTTTTCCAAATTATTTCAATTTTATTTAATAAATCGTGAAAATATCTCCTTATTTTTGTAGAGATTAAAAAAAAAGCGGATTAATTACTAAAATATTAAAAAAAATAAAATCTTATAGTATACGTGTGCATTTAACACTTACTAAATTAGAATCCTCCAAAAGTTGTCTAATGTACGGTTTAACTATGTAAATCAGATCACATAGTTTTTTGTTGCAAGGTACTGGACCGTTTGGTAGTACCATGACTTTGGTTCCGCTGGTTTCCTCTGCATTATTGTCCAACTTAAGCTTCTTTGTAGCAGGGGCATCTTCGGAATGATTAAGAACTATTGGGTCTGGAATGGGTACGTTTAATTCTTGATGTACATCCGACAACTTCCGGTTGCAGAATCCAGGTGTCTCCAGCAATTCATTTAATTTAACTATTTTCTCAGGGAATCCCTTTATCAACAATTCCTCCGCCTAAATAACGCACACATAAAAACAATAAGTATATCATTTGTCACAATTTATAATTTTGATAATTATAATCAATTTGATAAACTATATATATAATTATATAATATAATATATATATATTATATAATAATAAAATTTTGATAAATAAATTTAATAAATATATGAAGTAATATTTGTTGAATGTGAATTCATTTATCACAAAAGAAGATGAAAAAATCAAATATGGTAAAGAATTTGAAAAAAATTATAAATGTTTAAAAGAGAAAGAGAGAGTACAAATTACCTTAGTCTTAAGAGAGTCCTTGTATTCTTGAACCTGTAAGATAAACTCAAAAAATACATCACTTTGATAAGATTGTGCAGGAGAAATGATTTAAAGCAAAGTCATAAGAATAAGCAAAGTCATAAGTTTTTAGCAATGATTTTAAAAATTATATTCTTGTGACTCTAAAAACTGAATGTTTATAATTAAACAGCACGAGCAAATGTAATTTTCTTAGTAATATTTTGCTATTATTAAAACTAAGTTAAAATATTTTTGCTCGTTACTTCAGTTTTAATTGTATAATTTATTTTACACAGTATATAATATAATAATGATTTTTTGTTTTAAAAATTAAAAACTTGTAATAATTTGTTGAAATAATACAAAGATTTGAGAAAATGTTACAAATTTCAATTTGAAGTGTGTGTGTGTATATATATAAATAAAATGATTAGAATTTACTTATTTAGAACATATTATACAATAAGTTAAGTCAAAGCTATCAATAAACATGAATAAGTGATTTGAAAATATATAAATAATAAAAGTGAATAAATAATATAAAAGTGTATCTTAGTATTTTCATTGATCTTCAGTGATGGTATTATAAGATACAAATTGCGTTCAACATATATTTATGTATAGCTACCTCATTTTCTGTATAATCTTCCAATAACACATTACTTGGCTCATTAGTTGAATTATTAGCAAATGTAGAAAACATTTACACAAAAAAAGGAAGCTGATAAAAAATAATAAAAGTAATGTGTATATGTGAAGTTGCTTTAAACAGTTTTGGATAATATCCCTGATAATTTTTAAGCAAGAATTTAGTTCTGTAAAATTTAACTTGTACTTTTATGATGACAGAGTATTTTGATTTTGACAGGTTATAACAGATTGTTCAATTGTTTAGATTACAAAAAAAAATACAAAAAAATTACAGAAAAATTGTTATCAGAAATATGCTTTTTCTGTGTATCATTTAATAAAGTTAATAACAAAATTGATAATTACTTAAAAAGTAATTCATAAATCGATGAAATTTCATTCTTTCTATGTACATAACAAATTCAATATGCTTATTCCTAAGTTCTTATTACATAAAATTATTTCAACGATAATTATATAATTCACAATTGTTCCATCATTTTTACATCTTCCAAAAATGACAGATAAGTATGTTTTATTATTGTCAATAATAGCTACAAAATTTAAAGAGTAAAATTTCATCGCTACTACATTCATAACTTTTACAAACTACAATTTGCCACAATTTTGACAAATCACTATCGCACATCAACAGTTCTCTACTGACAACCTACACAAAATTTAAGAAAAGCTCATTAATATATACCATAATTCATAATCAAGACCAACATTACGTCATTTCTTCTTGCGTAATGTTTGAAAAAGAGGGTTTAATGTCTGTCAAATGTAAATTCATCAGAAGTGACCTTTGTCATAATTTTCTTTTTGCACCCTGCTGTGAAAATAACTTAGTTTGTTGTTGAGAAATAAATTTCAGGAAAAAGAGGGAGGTTTTGAAACTGCTTGGCACAAGAAAGACGTCGAAGCAACGTTTATCAAACGACGTTGGACAGAATTTTATTTTCGCATCCTGCTGTTAAAACGACTATCAATTTGTTGTTGATAAAGGAACTTCGGGGGAGAAGGGAGGTTTTGGAACTTTACTTGGCGCAAGAAAAGAAAGACGTTGAAGCAACGTTTTTCGAACGTTGGACAGAGGTTGAAGTCTCTCCCCGAAAAATATTCGTCAAAATACCCGAAATCGAAGTTCAACGAAAATGAGGGAAAAATCGCGGAGAAATCAAGTGACGCGGCAACACAAACATGACTGCTCACGGAGGATGGTTAACCTAAACCCGGTGGTCGTCGAGTTAATAAATCGTCGTCCGGGAAAGCGTTTCCATGTCTCGTCGTCGTCGTTCCGGATGACAGGAGAGATCGCCGCGACCCGGAGGGGCGTTGTTTTACCTTTTCCACTGTAGCATCCTCCATCATATAGATTCCGTGGGAAATAAACTTCTTCCGAGCCGCGTAGCCACTGTGTGTATGTGTGTTCCTTTGTTGAAAAACGTGCACCTCCAACAGGAAGTCGCGCCGCTAGCGACCACTGCTGTCAAGCGAGGATCCCGGACTCGTAGGGAAAGCCGGGCTCTCCTTTTCGCCTCCACGACGCACCTTCGACGCGATCCAAATCGAGCAAAAGGTGTATTTACGTTTCGGGAAAGGAGGGAGAATGGAGATAAATGTGGTTGAAAGTGGACAGATTTTAGCCCCCATTTCGCCCGCTTTTTGATATCGCGCATGATCGCGGAACCGCGATCGATCTTTCAAACGTGAATCACAATGGGAAATATATCGATTAAAAAGATGATTCTACATTTTTCACCAAATTTCATCAGAAAAATATTGGATATTAATATTGATTTGATGTATTATTTTGGAAGTAAAAGGAAATATCGATTAAACAAATATTATTCAATAATTTTAATGAAATTTGGTAATCAAAATTTTTAAATCAAGATTTAATATTAATAGAGTTCGTATTTCGTACATATTTGATAGTAAGAGTAAAAACGATAGGAAATATAAAAAAATGATTCAATTTCGATTAAATTTGATAATAAAAATATTAGATATATAATAATATATATATATAATAAAAGTAAAATATTGATTTAAAAATTGATACAACACAATTTCTTGATAAAATTTGGCAATACAAATATTAAATTAAGATTTGATATTTTATTAAAATTCGTATTTCATCCGTATTTAATAGTGAAAGTGAAAAAAAGGATTCACGCGATGACAGATCAATATCGAAAAAAAGATTCGTATAAATATAGCAGTCTCTTGCACGATTCTGGAATCTTTGTGACATCATTTTTATTCTTGTCCTCTTCTTGCTTTCTCTCTACCTATATATATATATATTCTATATTTAGAAAATACAATAATATTTGTACGCTTGCTTGCGTTTTACATGCTTTTTCTATATTCAAGTTTTTTTAACTTTCTCCTTCTCATTTCAAAATTACAAAAAATTTTAGAAATACTATAAGTAAAATGAACAATCTCATTTTTTTGTATAGAGCATAAGTATTGATTTTAATTATCATTGAAAACGTATGGAATCATTTTTCTTTACTTATACTGAGATAATTTTATTTTAAATGATTTTAAGTTTGATTTATATAGATTTTAAATCAACGATTATATATATTTAATAATTTTAAATGCTTCAAACATTCATAAAATTTAAACATTTGAAAATTTGCCATTATCTTTTAAGTTGCAATACAAAAATTTAAATTACTAAATATATTTCCATTTCCATTCTTTAATTACTGATATTGATTCTTTTATGAAATATATTAAGTATCACTTACGTTGAGGGTGCAAGTGAATAAATATAAAGAATAACTTTTTTACCTTTTTTATATTTTTATAGTTTTTCGATATTATGACATTTTTCTTTTCACTCCTTCTTGAAGAGCATTTACGAAAAATAATTCCAAAAAACACGTGTTAAAAGGGTACGTTGATTAGATCTCAAGCAAATTAATTTTATGTATATATAATTTCATATTTATCATCTTTTTTAAATAAAATTTCTACTATTAATAAAAGCGGTTCTATATAAACGTATCGTAAATGAGCACTTTTTGTCACGACGCTTCTCTGTCGTCCACATTAATTACGAGAAAAATACAGTTAATCGATAGTATTTAATGAGAGTAACTAATTATTAATGGTTATAATAATTGCGATAAATTTTTTCTTGTATAAATACATATTAAATAGGGCTAGGTGAGTTTCTTGGCTTTCTGGTAAAGTGTATCGACGACTTTTCCCATGCTGTGTATTGTGTCTAGTGCAATTTCGTAAGTTTTGTCGCGAGGTGTATCTTCGAAAACAATTAAAACGCCTTCTCCTTGATCGAGAACTCCTCGGAGCTTCTTGTCCAGGATCATTTGCGATAATTTCTTTTCTACTTGCGCCAATGGCAGAGATATGCACGAGGCAATATGACTCACCTATAAACAAATATTAATATGTAAATAAAAAAAAATAATTATTTTATTTTATATTGCTACTATAAAAAATTTAATTCATTAAATAATTTTCCAGAATAGCAAGTGTACATCGTTTTGATGTTTAATGACGACAGTTTGCTACCTGGGTTATAGTTGAAAAGAAATGTAAGACTGTATTATTTATAAAATATTTCTATCCATGTATTGGAAGAAAAATATCATGTATAAGTACCTGAACTCGTGAATAAGGTTCGACTAAACGACATAAATTTTGCTCCAACATAGCATCGTAGAGAGAACCGAGGTGTGCACGTACGATTACGTCGTCTTCCAATTCCTGCCGATATTGCTTAACTGCTTTCTGAAAATCAGCTAAAGATCGTCGGTGGCTGGCCTCAGCCACAGCGCGCATCGCATCCAGATCTAATCCTGCATATTTCACCGCCAGCTTGCCAGACATAATAGCCTGAACGTCTTCCGGCGTGCGCAGCATGATTTTAGACAGCAACATGTATTTGAGCGCAGTCAGTGCCTTGGGACTTTCAACGCTATCGTATCTAAAATGTAAGAAAACAGAAATAATAAACACCATTGTAAAATTATAGTAATCGATTAAATGAAGAGGAAATCGATCAATTTATTAATTATAATAAATATAATATATATAAGAAAATAAATATATATAATAAAATTAAAATAATGAAAATTAAAATTATTGTAGTAAAATTATGAAAAAAGATTGTTATATCATAAACTGGGGAATTAGAATTTTATAGGGATAAAGAATTCAAGTATTAATTTTTAATAAAAGAAAAAATGAAATAGATTATTTAAATAAAATTATTATTTAATAATTTAAAGGAAATTAACATTGCAGAAATTCCAGTGATATTGAGCTAACGATTATAGTTACCCTTCAAAGGCTTCATAAAAATAAGAGTAAGCAGTCTTGAAGTCTCGTTCGTCCGCAGCATGTAGTATTCCCGATTGTAGATCTAGAGCCGCTTGCATTTTAGGTGGACAGTAAATAGCGTTGGCAGTTGTCCTGGCACTGGTGAGAGCCGCTCTTGCCTTCGCCAAGTTGCTCAGCGCGTGATATGTCTTGCTCTCTAACAACTGAACCTCCACCAGTAACTGTTTGTCGTCCAGTTTTTTGAGTTCTTTGAGGAGAGCAGATCCTAATTGCAACGCTTCGCTGAACATGCCAGTGTCGAAGTAGAGAGCTATCAGGCGAGCCTCCAACGATTGCCTCAAAAACGTTCTGCGCTCTTCCTTTGCCCATTCTATGCATTCTTTACACAATTGCACCTAAATATACAACGCATATAAGTATACTTGGTATATTCTCTGTACATAAATATCAATACATAGTTTTATCCTTTGTATTAATATTATACATATAATTTTTACACTGAAGATGATTTAAATAAGATTAAAAACTAGCTTTGGCTCCCAGCCCTTATTTTAATCTTTTATTTATTCATCTTGCGAGCCTTTTGACTCAATATAATTTTAAAATCCACATATATAGTTTTCAAAAATAAAAAGAATTAGAGCTCTGGCTTGGATTATATTCTCAATAATTCGCGTTCTTAATTTTGCATTAGCGAATAAAAAATATTCATCCGAGTTTAGGAACAGAATTTCTCGACAAGCATGATTTGACATTTTTTTTACCTGTGTTGCTGTGCACAAAATTGTCACAGGATAACCTAGTATCCGCATGAAACTAAACATCTCTCGTTTTCGGTCGAAAAGGGAAAGCATCCTTACCTCGATACCTATCCCAGCTTCCAGATCCAAGAAGAAGTCGACCAGGGATCGCACTAGCTTGGCAGCCTTCGCTTTACTGATAAGACTGAGGAACGGCCTGGTGGCTTTGATGAGCTCCGCCAGCTCCTTCGCCTTACCCTCCTTCTTGTAGAGCTCGCCTAGGTGCAGGATACCCTGCTCCTTCACCCGGATGTTGTCCTCGTCGTCGTCGGCCACGCCGATGCTCGGGTCCGAGACGATCTCGTTGAGCAACGAGATACCCTCGCTGCGGTTCGTCACCGAGACCGCCTGGGCCCGCTCGAATAACATCGCACCGGCCATCTCCGGATTGGGGGAGATCGTGCACCTTCCTCGCGGGAAGATCCTCGGCTAACCCTAACGAGAACCGTACGTTATCGTTTTCCGCGAATCTGGGAGGGAAAACAGTTTCACGAGAGAGAAGGAAATTCGGTTCGCGAACACAGAAGGCAAAAATTGTCGATGAAACCCTCGTCGCTTCCTGGACGCTCTCTCGTGCGTGGCGTCCGCGGGTGATCTGGCGCGTATCTCAAACAGAGTCTCGCTTCCTCGTGCGAGTGCACTCGCGCTCACTCACGCTTTCTTCTGGCTTGTCACTCCTCGCCGCGCTGCTCCCGAGACCGCAAAACTCGTGTCATGCTGCTACGTGAGTCAAGCGAGCCACTTCTCTACGTGCTCTCGCTTCTGCACCGTGGAATTTACAATTCACCGCGAGAAACCATGGACCATATACGCGAATATAGGCGCGAATCCAGCGTCGATGTTGGGTCTGAAGAGAGCGAGAGAAAAGGGTCTTCTTCTCTTTCTTTTGAATAAAAAGGCGGGAAACTCGGAATAAATTATTATTCAGGGATGTAATCGTTATTTCCTTTCTTTTTGTTATTTGAGTTTTATCGTAAGCATTGTTGACACTGGCAGCAGTTTGATTTCTTATTGACGAATCGTAGGATAAAATTAAATATACACCCATAATTAAAACCCATCATTTTTTTAAAATACTTATATCAAATATATATCTATAATTTAGAAAATACCTATAATTATAATAAAATAATTAGTTTTTATATAAATATATATGATATAATAATATAATAATCCTATGTTTATTTCTTTTCTGAAAATACATGTATAAATTTTAATATAAAAAATATGCTATAACAAGAGCCAAATTTTATTTGTTCAGATATAGAGAAAATAACTTTGTTGGCATGTAAAAAAAGATTTTATTTATAATTATTATTTCATGTTGTTATTTTCTCTCTGTCTGAGCAATATTTTATATAAACTATAAATACATCAATTTATTTATTTTCAGTATGCATTAATGATAATGAAGCATTTTTCAATATCATTGCTTGTAAATTGCATAGTGTTTCTTTCAATCTGAAAAATATAAATAAATACATAATATACAATCTCTTACACATATATAAGATTAATTTAAAATAAAAATAACTGTGTTATATATAATTACACACACTTACTTCTTCTCAAGATCCTCGATTTCATTTAATGTTTCAACAAAATTCTTCAAGCCATCATTAACAGCGCAATATGTTTCGCCTTTTGATCCAATTAAATTTATGATGCTCTTTAAGGTATTCGAACATTTTGTTAATATTTCTCGAGTTCTTTCCCACTCCTCTTGCGTTTTAGGAAGTATTATTCCATTACACCGCAATACATCCATAGGTTGTAAGAAAGATTGTAACTTAGATAGCAAATCTTCCACACTCTTAAATGTTTCATGTTCTGTAAAAATAAATAAAATATATTTTATGTAAATTTTAATAATTACATATGAATAAGGTTAATATAATTTTGAAGTTTAAATCTTACTGGTACACTCTTTTACTGCGGCTAATTGTGCATCTACCTCTTTTTGTGCCAAGGATAAGTTTATTATATCACGCACTCTTATTTTGAGTTTTATCAATTTTTTTGTATCTTGATCAATCTGTTGTACTATAGTAGCTAATTGTGTGACCATCAAATGCTTCTTCTCTTCAGTCCGTTTTTTTATTATAAGATCCATCATCATAGCTTGCAAATATTCATCATAAAGAAGTCCAAATTCTATGTCTTTGGATTCAGTATCTACATTCTTTGATAAATGCAATGGCATAGTTGACTGCCTGCTGTTTACTGCGATCTTCTTTTTCACTTGATCTACAAAAAATAATAGTACATAATATTATACTAATGCAGCAAAATAAAGCAATCAAACAAAATTGAACAAAATAAAATATTCATGAAACTCTTACTCATTGTCAGCGTGATGTCCCCTGGCATCATAGTTGTTCTATTACGAGAAGTTCCACTTCTTGGTACATTGGATGTGACATCTGACAGAATCCTGCCTCCAATCTCTGATACGTTTGGGTCGTTAATTCTATGGAAAAAAAAAAATAATAATTTTACAAAATTGAGATATAAACTTTACAGTATATCACAGGCAGTACTTCATATTTGACAGAAATTTCGATAAAATAATGACTTACCTTCGACGACTTGATTTTGGAGTGCCTTTTAACTCCTTCTGCATTTTTCGCACCAGGCTCTCGAGACTTATAAATAATTTGTACCTACTAAAGTCGTTTATTTTTTTCTCTCCTTTCCCTCCAATATCTTGAAGATGTTTACATCAACACAAATTTAAAGGTTGCGTTCGAAAATTTACGCGTCAGAGCAGAGTGACTTCTGATTGGTTAATTGGAAACCTCGATGGCCAATCAGCTGATAGATGACGATGATAAGGTCTGTTCATTCTACTTGCACTCTTTAGAACATTTGCACTTTTTTTTTTTATTTTAATTTCTTAATTTAGGTGAACCGAAATATATATGCAAAAATATATGCATCCAAATATAAAAAAAAATGTTATTCTAGATTTTAACGTTAAATAAAAATTAAAAATATGTATTGTAAAATTTAGGTCCCACCGAGATTTGAACTCGGATCGCTGGATTCAGAGTCCAGAGTGCTAACCATTACACCATGGGACCACGCTTGAAAATTTCTTTTCGTGTTCCTTATTTTACACAATAAACTAATGTATAATATTTATAAATAAAATAACGAGATATACACACATAATTCTAAGCAAAATTGTTAAAAAAATATAATTTATATTTAATAATTTTCACATATACAGATAGAATTACACAGTTGTATATATATATATATGTAAAAATATATTATACTAATAATTTTAATAAAATTAGTAAAGAATACAAAAATATTTTATTACATACGTAATGTTTATTTATAAATAGTTAATACATTTCTATAAAATATAAAATACATATATATACACACAGTGATTATAAATGTATTATATATTTTATACATATATCACAAGTTTATAAGTATTGATAATTTTTAAGTCTCGAGTTTAATTTGTTCTTTTTCTCCAATTTCTGTATCCAAGTTTTTGTCATCAGATTCCTCTGCTTCTTGTGCACTTGATGTAACTGTATCTAAATCCTTTTCACTTTTTGTATCTATTGATTCTGTTTTTACATCTATTGATTCTGTTTTTACATCTATTGACTCTGCTGCTTCTTTATTGGAAATTACCTAAAGATTTTATTTTTGTCAAGTATATTTTTAACAATACACATTAAAAATTGATAGTTAATAAATAATAATTAAGAATAAATCCTTATAAAAGAACAATTTAGAAACATTCTTACCTTATTTTTTGTACTATTACATATTTCAAAAAGATTATATTTCTTAAACTTGTAATAATTTGGAGCAATAGAAAACAAACAGACTCCACGTACAACTTCAACAACCACGGCTATCTCTGGATTTGTCAAGTCTGCTTTATGAGCTCGATTCTTTGTTATAATACCTGCCAAATCTTTGATAATCTCATATTTATTAATGCTGTTATTATTGCGACGGCTAAAACATAATCAGTTTATAAATAAGAGAGAAAAGCAAAGATAATTAATTTTTGTGCAAAACACCCATAATGTCTTATAACTTACTTAACTACAATGCTGAATGTTTTAGGTTCTTGAGTAAAATACTTTTTAAGTAAAGTATTCGCTTTCGTTCTTATGTCATCCATATATGCTTTGCATATAAGTTCTATTGGAAGTAATCTTAATAAGTATCTAGTACACTGTTCCTTGGTTGCATCCAACTTAGTAAGAATTTTAGTGACTAGTTCTAATGGATTTGGTAAGGTACTTGCTATAAAAATCAAATTTTTAGCACCTGTGTCTACTGCCTATAGAAAAATAGTAATACGAAATTAATAAATACATAGTATTTTCTCAGAGAAAAAAATGTTGTTAATGTTGAGCAATCTAATATTAAGAACATACTTGAAATTTTCGAGAAGATAAGGGCATTTCATGCTCTGTTCTAAGTTCATTGATCTCTTTCTCCAGAGCAGTGGATATATCTTCATTTTCATCGGTATTTTCTGAAGATTCATTAGTCTCTTTCTTAACAAGTGTATTTGTAGTACTTGATATCTCAGATTCCTTCAAATAAGAAAAATATTATATTTATATATGATATACATGTAGCAAGTTTTTAAATCTGCTATATATATATAGATTTTTTCCATTTCTATATTTATTTATAATACCTATATTTATTTATAATACCTAAATACCTTATTTGCGTCCAATTTCTCATCTGCAAATAGGTTAAGTAATTTGTAGGCGTCAGTAACGCAGCCTTTTCGTGAAAGTTGCATGTACACAAAAATCCCGTCATACCAGGTTCTAATATTAATTGTTTACGTTTTTTATAATTATTATGTTGACCAACAACATACTTCTTTCTCTTCTGTGTTTTATCCATATTCCGCTGAATTTGTTTATCTTCCGTGACTCTCTCTCTCTCTCTCTTTCTCTCACTCTTTCTCTCTCTGCGTAATGACAGATGGCGGAATATTTGTATTGTATACTGTAAAGTAAACCGTTTATTTTAACTTTTTCAAGTCAAAAGCACTCGAAAAAGAGATACTTTGTTTATTGTACATAAAAATTTTATTTTTTAATTGTGCATGTGTGTGTGTATTTTATTTATTAATTTACTTAATAATTTAAACTTTTATAACAATATTACAATATTTCTTCAAGATTATTTTTGTAAATTGTTTTAGGTTGACGGATAATAGAAATTGATAAATAATTCTGTGCTTTCTTTAGACTAATAAGTTAGAAAATATGGACAGTTTCAAGAAAATGGACTGTATGGGTGAAGATTCCAGTCAAAATCAGATATGAGCTTCGAAAATGACTCTTTCGACTCACAATCAGAGTCTGATTTGTGGTTTGATTCAAATTCATCCTCAAATTGGGACATTATAGTTAAATTTTTTCCAGAACCTTGTTTACCAAATCGATTCGAACTAGAGGATCTATTAAAAGGTCCATTTTAGCTTCCTCGACCCCAAATCTTTCACTGCAATCTTTTGATCAAACCGATGAAAATATAGAAATGGTGGATAGGCATGTTGGAGAAGAATCATGCACAAATGCCATGTTTGTCAGACAATGTTGCATAAATAATTGCATTACAGTCATATCACGTGATATTGTTGAAATATATAGAAAAACGTTTCAACAGTATAGTGAACAGGAACAAGAACTTATGATCATAGCACATCTTGTATGTTCCAGGCAAAATGTTAAATTTTCTGACTATTACAAGTCAAAAAGAATAAATAATGAAGAAACAGATATCCATGGACGTAAGACATTATTCTTACATGATTTAGAATATACAAAATATAATCAATTTGTAGCTCAATTTAATAAATATGAATTAGCACCTTATATACAGGGGCTTGCTGAAAAAGTTCCTGTTTTCCAAAATTTAACAATTTAGTAATTATTAATATTAATAGTAATTATTATAATTACTCGAAAATATAGTAATTTGTTGGATTTTAGTACTTTATAGAAGATATTTCTATTATTTTTTGTATATTTTACACTAATTTCTATATATTTTATGGAAATGTGCTACAGTTTAAGAACTTCTAAGTAATGCAATTAATGAATCTATATAAGTATACATACATATATATATACATTGCAAAAATACATAAATAGATTATCTATAAATGAGTTCTGGTCTATCCTTTGGAAAGATGAAAGCATTTAATTATATTCTTTAATCACATTCAGCTTCTATATGCATTGCAATCATAAAAATGATTTAATTAAAAAAAAAAACAAAAAAAACAAAGATATTTTCTTCAAAAGGAAGACAAGTTATAATATTCATAATTGACAGTTAAATTTACATATTTTCTGTTTTTAATTTATCAGAAGAGCTTATCCTTATTAATATTTGTTTTATTTTGCTACTCATATATATATATATATATATATATATATATATATACATATACTATAATAGATTGGAATAAATTGTTAATAATAAGAAATTTTATTAATTTATTTATTTATATCTTCAAACTTAATAAAAATTTATTGTTTTGCTGCTGCTAATAAAGAATACAATATTAATAAATACTATTATTGATAAAGTAGAAGGCTCTGATATTGAATATTTAGAAGTAGAGGAGGAATGGATTAATTAAGAGCCAAACGCGATAATAGAGGTATGCAAATTTATTCTTTATATCATATTTTTAACAGTTGCTGATAATGGTCCAAAAGAGATTAAAATAAACAATAAATAATATGAAACTTTGATATGAAGAAATAATTTGCACATCAATCGCTTGGTTCTTAATTAGTCTGTTCTTTATTTGCAAATATATAATAATTACTTTTTAATAATATAACAATGTAATATATAATTAGTAATTAATTGTATGAATTTTTGTATTGTAAAAATGTAGTGCATTTTTGTTATAATAGATTCAAAGAATATATAATAACAATGTCTTACTAATAAATTTTATACAAATGTCATTTTGTATTATTTTAATTTAAATAATAATTGGAAAGAATTTTAAAGTACATTTATAATACACATTGATAGGTATTTATATTGCAATTAGGTTTTTATATTGAAATTTGGGATGATACCCTACATAGGAACATGAATATTAAAATGGTTTTTATACAATAAAGAGAGAACGTATTTTTAATTATATCATACATATTTATATATGACATTTATAATTCTAAATTGTATAAAAACTGATTTTACATAAAAATGTGATAGTGAAAAATAAGTTTTTATTTCGAATAAAAAAAATGTGTGTTTGTGTATGGCATTTTATGTGTTTTATCTAATTACATTCATCCATTCAAGTATTGAATGTGTACAGAATATACACATTACATTTGTTTGATAAATACAATGTATTTTTTAAAGCATATCCAGTTCAAACATATATAATCTGCTACTATGTATTCAAGAGAAATATATTATCAACGATACCATATGTGTAGATAATAACAATCATCATCGATTATAATTGTTGTGCTTTTAGAGTTATCTCTATTTAAACGTCTTATCTTTCATCATTTATCATTTATCATTTTACAATGGTTAATATACAATGTACTAAAATATTACTTGTATTCGCAATGCATTGCATCTCTAATTTTTCTTTTAATAATTAAGTTTTCGCGATTATATATCTTTAGTATCGAATAAAATCAAGAAATAAAGAATATTAAAAATTATATCAGACCAAATGTCAATTAAATTTATATATTGATTTTAAAATCTACCAATATTAGAGAAAGCAGCAAATAATGGAGCTCCACTCGTCGTCGCGGTTGGTGGTTGTTGATCGCCAATATTTTTCAATAGATTACCTTGCAATAGACTGTCAAGAGCTTTCTGAACTGTCGGATCGTTTAGAAGAGGCGATGGCGAAACTCCCGTGGATGCGGTCGTCGTAGATGAAGATGTGGCTGTGTTTGATGCTATCGGCATAACGTGCATTTATGAAGTTCGTGCTTTCAACATCGTTTGAGTGAATTTTCTACAGTATTGTACGTGTTCTCATTAAATATTGTTCATGCATCTATTTGTTAAATACAGTCATGACATTTAGGCTTTTAACTTGTGAATGTTTTTAGCTTAAAAATTACATTCTCAAATATTTGTAATATGCAAATATCAATAAGCGATCAACACAATGTGTACTTTAAATTTTGCCAATTAGATTCTTTATACATATATATACAGGGTGTTTATGCAATTTTATAAAAATTTTCTATACATTTAAATTGCAGTTATCAAGTGTGTGTTTTTCTAGCATTTAATATTGATTTATTAATTAAATTTACTTAAAATTAATTTGGATAATAATAAAGTATGATACATTATCATATCTAAACGCTAAAAATATGTACAAAAATATAAAATAAAAATACAAAACAAAAATAATTTAACTCTTCTTTAAGAAATATTAATTTATTTAAATAATTTATTAAATTATTATTTATTTATTAAATAAATAGAACACTAATTTATTTAAATATTACCTATTTAAAAATTTAATAATTTTCTATGAAACTTATATAAGATGTTGATACTAAAAATAGATTGTCAATAAAAATCACAAATAAAAACTTAAATATTGCAAATAAATATTAGACATACATTTCTTAAGTTACATGCTCAAAAAGGCAATTTTTAAAAATTCCCTACATGCGAATTAAGTTCCATGAGAATTCTCTGATTTTTCAAGTTCGAAAAAAATTCTTTAAGAATACCAAGTTTTCAAGGTTCTTAGTATACACCCTGTATATGTATATTTATATATACATATATATGATCTGTTTCATCTTTACCTGTTCCCCAATTAGTTGGAGGAACTGGAGCTGGTGCCGTAGCTGGTGGCGGTACCGGACTTGGTTCCGCCGCTGCCGGCACGTTTGTTTTACTGTTATTCAGGATATTCAGTATTCTCGTCTGCAGCTCGGCTTGTTTCGGATCGCTGATCGACGTGAGCGGAGTCTTTACCGGCAAATCCTTCGCGTCGCCCAATTCAACTTGCACCTGCTCCTCGCGTTTCATCTCGAGATACTTTATGACCCGGTCGTACTGCAGGACCGTAAGCTGATGATTGTCTGCCAGCATGTTTAGTAAAACTTGTATAGCATCCGGATGACGCTCGCTCGCCAGAGGTGTATTTAGAGGAACCGAACGACCGCCCGCTTTGTAGTTCGTGAAATCTCGCGAGATTAAATTTATGGCATCTTCTACTGGCATGTTTCTGTGTTCTACAATATAAGGACAAGATATAATTAATTTGTGTTTTAATAAATTATTAATATAATTATATTATTAATATAGTTATAATTAAAAATTATATTACAATTATATATTGTTATAATTATTAATATAGTTATTATTATTATGATAAACGAATTTTAATGAACATTAATTCATAATTAACGTTTTATTGAAATTCCTTACCTTGTGGTAAACCATGTAAAATATTCAATGTCAAGGAATGGTGTTCGTGATTGATGGGTGTTACTACTACGGCGTATAGACAGCCACGACTTGCGATGTTCCCTAAAACACGACTTAAGGGAACGTCTTCATTCGGAAACAGTAGGTCCACCATTAGACCGATTTGCTTCAATCGTAATTCGATGTCTTCCGCATATTTCCTGCAATTTAATAAACAATGTTAAATAATATAAATATCTCTATGTAATTATAAACATATAAAGAATTAACATCTTACGTTAACGCTTTATTGACAACTATAATCTCACAGTCATTCTTCTCAGTTGCGAGGTAATCTACTGATGCACTGATATTTCTGTAAAATTTAATCATTTTAATATTCACATTAATCTTTTATTTATCTCTTTAACAGTCAATCTGTTAAATTAATATAAACACTGATGATAATTGCACTAAAATAAGTATAAATTAGCCAGCAAAACTTTATTGGTTACTATACTACTGAAGCAAAATATAAATATATAAGAGAGACCCAGCATGCATTATGTCCTTGGCAGAACGGACAGAAGCAAAACATAGGGGAATTTTTCCTTTTTATTATGTTTATCTTTCAGGCAAGGTTAGGCTATTGACAATTGCCAACCAATGACACTAATACATATACAAGAAAAGGACACAGATTCACCAATGTTCCCCCCCTCCCTCTCCATTTTGCTAAATCCTTATATCTTAAGAAAATATATAGCATACTGAGTTTCTTATATATCTATAGATGTAAAAATTTTCAAAAATAAAAATAAAATTTTTAATTATTATGCGTTATTAAAAATTATTTGCTCGACCATTAATGACCATTTATTCAAATAAAATGTCTTTACCCAAAACTTGCATTTGCATCTCTTGTCCCAGAAGTCTTGAAATCATCATATCGATTTCCACCATCATTAAATGAATCTCTGGTAAAATTATTGCCACGTCTATCTCCTTGTTTGTGATCCCAATTTGCTTTGTCCTCCATTCGATTACCTCTATTAATTGGACTTCGATCTCTAAAATTATTCGCGTTGTTTGGATTGTTCGGATTATTCTTGTTTCTATTTTTTCCACCCCTCGTCCCTCGTGCTCTGTGATGGGTATTACCACCAGTATTACCAGAACCAGCATTTTGATTTTGGTTATTGCCTGGATTAGTTTGATTTCGATTCTGATTTCCTCCAGGCCTATTCTGATTTCCCATCTGATTATTATTTCCAAACTGATTGTTGACACCTCTGTTTTGATTGCTCTGACCAGCGAATTGATCGTTTCCGCGATTTAGATTACCTACATTGAATTGATTGTTTCCACGATTTTGAGAGGTATTATTAAAAGGATCATTTCCATTGTTATTATTGTTATGTTTTCCATTATATTGGTCATTGTCGCTATTTCCTGTTTGATTTCCATCATCAAAGTTACTATTCCCGCTCCTATTCTGAATGTTTAAGTCCTTTTGATTATTACCAAAAGTACTGTCATTTCCAAAATTCTGATTTATCCCAACATAATTTGGTTTATTTGCACCAAAAGTGTCAGCCGTGTTATTGAATTGATTATTCATAGCATTAAATTGATTATTCAGTCCAGTCATTTGCTTTGCATTTGAATTTCCTGGATTTCCAATAGACTGATTATCCTTTTTCGCTGGTCTGACATCTATAAAAAGAAATATAAGCAAATGAGGAAATATACATCTTTTTTCTCGAAATAAATAACATTGAATAATATTAAGAAAGAAGATCCTTAATTAAATAAAAAAATAATATAATTAAATCTGAGAAAATATTACAATTGAATATGCAACTTTGTGTAATGTATTTCTATGATATACCTATACGTCTGCCTTTGAACTGTGCACCATCTTCATTTTGTATAGCTTTCTGAGCAGATTGTTCATCTTCAAATTGTACAAATCCAAAGCCTCTGTTTATTATGGACGCTATAACAGTTCCATATTTGGAGAAATGTTCTTCCAATTCTAACTTTGTGACATCGTCAGTTTGTAAATGGCCAACAAATATACGACTAGATGCAGTAGCAGGATCTTTTAAAAGTCTGGCACTCATCCTGATTTTATAATACAGAAAAGAATCTTTTTAGTATAGTTAAAATTTTAAAAGTTCTTCGTATAAATATTATAATATAAAAATGTGATTTTAGATTTAATATAATTTATTACATATCTGTGTTTATATTTTAAAGTTTACTAAAATGTTTAATTTCCTATAATATTCAGATTAAAATACAAAAAAAAACAAAACAATTTTGATTATTAGAGAATGACAACTCATTATTAGAGACTAGCATAAATGTTACAATAGTTACATAATTTTAGTTACAACGTTATTAAAATTTTAATACTTGTACACGTATAATTAGCAGATATATCGAATTGTATACTTATGTTTTGCACTTATATATAGACAAATAAAATAACTTCTCGCTTACTTTTCGATGATAGCTCGATCGCTCCGTAAAAGAGAGTCTCTAAACTTAAAACTCTCTAAATCCTAATAATTTGGAACACAATATAAACTCAGTAAATTCAATAAGTTCTGTAAATTCTGTCAAAAAAATTCGAGGACATCCTCGTGAAAACTCCTACAATTGTGTATCTGAACCCTTCGACACCATATTATTAAAATATTGAATTATGTCCGGGATTTAAACTGACTTGATTGCGCATCAATTGAATTAATTCTACGCACTATATTAAATTACAACTATATTGAAACTTCGGTCACTGTTTATTGTTTGCGTGCAAAATCGTTTGTCGATTTACGAAGGAGCCATCTTGCCGAAGCGTACATCAGTTTCCGGCATGAATTATGAATCGAACGAAGATGAGAGACTCGGGAGAGAATCGCGGATCTTCGCCTTTATGTCACATGTACGCGACAAAAATTCATCAAGCGCTCCGATTGGCTGTTGGATAAAAAATTCCTAGAGTTACAATAGGGATTTATTTAGAATTATTATAACAAAAGATATCAATAAAAAGAATTATATAAAAATCAATATATTATAATGTAAATATTAATTTTAATTTTATTATTACAATTCATATTTTTAATTATTATTCTTGATTAATATTTATAATAAAAAATTTAATATTTTAATATTTTGAGATAAATTTTGAATAATTTATCAAATAATATCTGTAATTTATTAATATTTGAAATTTACAAAGAGAATTGCAAGAATATTTTATACGGTAGAAATGATTGAATGCAATGTGAATGCTCCCTAATAATTTATTTGACCAATTCGTAATATTTTTCATTTTATCGAACGCGGAATATCTTGTTCGATGAGTTGTCAGATTTTTTGCAGTTCTTCGACACCCTTTGAACTGTTCCAGCCGTAGTTCACGTGCTCGAATCATTTCTGTCATCTGTCATCGCATCTGTCATCCTCGTTTAGAGACAGTCATATGATTTGGTTACGTGCTCTCAACACATTCAGTTCTTTGCGTGTCTCGCAAACGTATGTAAATAGTACAGCGCGTCCCATCCGATAAATCCAAGTCTGTATTTTGGTATAAAAAAGGGGGAAAAATGGGTAATAGATCCAGTCTTCTTCTGCGGGAGGATGAAATAGCGCAGATACAGAATGCAACTGGTTGTAAGTATCTCTTTGTTTCTTATCTGATAATCTCTTATCATTCTTTTTTTCACGGCAAGACTAAACAATATATGAGAAAGAAAATATAAAAATTAAAAAAAAAAATATATATAAATAAAATATAATTTTTGTGCATTTCTGCTTTTACAGTTACACCAAATCAAATAGAACGGCTGTACAGTCGTTTCACGAGTCTGGATCGTGGCGATTGTGGAACCCTCAGCCGAGAGGATTTTCTTAGGATCCCAGAACTGGCGATAAATCCGCTTGGTGAGAGAATAGTGAACGCCTTTTTCGAGGAGAGCGGAAACGACAGAGTGAATTTCTTGCAATTCATGCAAGTCCTGGCTCGTTTTAGACCAATAAAGAAGAACAGTCCTAATCGATTGAACTCCAGGCAGCAAAAGTTGAGATGTAAATATCGCATGTGAAGAAGTAATAGGATTGTGCAAAATTTTTCCTAAATCTTTTTCCTATGAAATCAAGCATAAATACTAGAAAAGTCCAATATTGATTCAATTCAATTTTTTTGTTATCTAATTAAAATGTAATAATATTCCATATTCTTTTTGAATATTAGGTATCTATACAATTCTTAATCTCTAAATCCTATTTTTCAGTTGCATTTAAAATGTATGACTTGGACAACGACGATTTGATCTCCAAGGATGAATTACTTGCTATTTTACATATGATGGTTGGCGCCAATATTAGGTAAAGATTACACATTTTCTTATTATATATCGATATTTGATCCTATACAGATACATTTTTGTAATCGTGCTCAAATATGTAACAAAAGCAAAACATTAGATGATAATTTAATATATACAATATGATATGTAATAAATGCATATATATATATATATTGCAGCGAGGAGCAATTAACCAGCATTGCGGAACGAACTATACTGGAAGCTGATGAAAATGGTGATGGAATGATATCCTTTGAAGAGTTTTGCAAAGCATTGGACCGTACAGATGTTGAGCAAAAGATGTCTATAAGATTTCTCAGTTGAATTAAATATTATATACCAAATATAATGTAAAATTTATATTATATTTATAGAAATAGGTGTTGAGAAATTATATAGTGAATTTCTATTGCAAAATTATCTATTACAAGAAAATTAATTTTCTATTACATTAATTATAAAATTATGCAAAATATTTATAGATACATCTCTTATTATGTAAATAATATGTAAATAATTCTTATATACTACTGTTTCCATCAAGATGTGGAATGTCAATATAAGTGGAAACAATTTTCCATACTTGCTTGAATATAGCATTGTTTTTATTCCTGATAATAGTCAATGCGTAATTAAAATAAAAAAAGAAAAGTGTATGACAAAATTTAGTTTCGGTGTTAAATTGTGCTAATAAAAATAGATAATTGTATAAAGTAAATGTGTTAAAAAAAATTCGTAATAAAGATTTGCGTTTAAATTGTAACTTAATATTGTTAAATAATTATAAGTAATATGTTATCTTTAAATTTATCACATATGCTTGTTTTCCATTGATTCAATACTATACAGATGGAATACAAAAAAACAATATATATGAATACAGTTTTAAAATACATGTGAATAGAAAATTAATACATTAAAAGAGAAATATCTTTTTTATAATTTGTTTTTAAATATACAAATACATTTCTAGAAATTTTCTTTTTTTACAAATATAAAAGTATGCTATAAAATAAAGAGTGAGAAAGAATATAAATAAAAAATTTTTATGATAAATACTTCAAAAATTTAATTATTTTGCAACAACCTGTCTCAAAAATATTTTCAACAATTCTAACATAAAAGTCTATATCAGAGAGAAAATATAATCAATCATATTTCGAAAAAATCGTGAAAATTGTGCAATATTTCACAATAAAAATAAATAATGATATAAATATAAAAATGTCACATTTAAAATAATTTGTACATTAAAATAATAATTGTAGCAAAAATATATATATCTAACATTATATTTTATTTATTCTCTAAATATGAGAAATAATGTGCATTTTTATAAGCATATTAAATATATTAAAAATGTTATTGTGTATTTCTCTCAGATACGAAAAATTATTATAGCATCGTATGTTTTATTCCAAAAATATAAGGAATATAAATATTTTTGTTTTACATTTCAAACCATTACTTTTTCATGTATTTTGTATTTTAAATATATCTGATAACAAATCTTATCTAAGAAAACACACACACACATATACACTCCTTTTTTCTCTCTCTTAATATATATTCATATTTTAATTCTTCTGTACATATCTAAGATTTTTGCAATACTTTTATTTTTCTAATGGAAGAGAGTTTTGTTACAGAAATATAAATGTAATGCATAACTAATATTAAAGAATATAATAAAATTTTATTTCATAATTATAATAAAATGCGCATCTATAGATATGTTGATTCTATATTCGTTACAGTAGATAAATATAAAAATTTATCTTGTAACATTATTTAAAAAATTCTACATATAATAAGAATATGTAATATAAAAAAATGTAACATTTATAATTATAAATATATAATATAAACGTTTCCTTCTTTTACAGGGCAGTAACAAATATTGGCAGAAAGATCTAACATCATCAATCTTTGTAAAAAAATTTGCAAATCATATAATTCATTGTACAAAAATGACATTGTTTTGTGCGAATTCTTTTTTTTCCACTTTTATATATTATATATCTCGAAAATTTTATACATATTATACGCAAAGAATGGTTTCTTCTCTTTTTAGGATATATTATCACAAATAAAAATATTGATTTAAAAATGAACATGTTTAATTTGTAATTGAGAATAATCCATATCTTGATTATAATAGTTGCTTTCCATTTACATCAAAATTCAGATAAATCTCACTTCTGTCTTCAACATCCATATTAAAGAAAGACAAAAGTAAGATTTATCTGAGTTTTGATGTAAATAAAAAGCAATTAATGTAAGCAATAAAATGTTTACATAAATTGCAACAAATATTTATATAACTATATTTTATCTAACCAAAAACATAACTAATTTTCGTAAAATATTAATTACATATATGATTCTGTCAAATCTAAATTTCCACATATTTCAAAGAACAAATTTTTTTATATACTTTTAATCATGTTTGATAATTGCTCCCATTTTATTTAAATATATCTCACTAAATATATCCTTGTTTCCTTTCACGATGAAATGTCATAAAACTCGATTTACATCTGATGTAATAAATAAATCTTGAGATGAATGAAATTGAGAAAAAAAAAAAAGTTAATGCTATTTAGATTAACATGTTAGTTTAAACACATGAATTATTTTTACAAATTGCAATTTAAATAATTTATGCATTTCTTGAATTGATATAAGAGATCCTTTAAAATATATAATATAAATAAAGAGTTATTTTTGTATATATACTATTGTATATTCGTCTCTTCTACTTTAAGATTCCGTTCTCTTTTATGCACGTCCTTTTGCTTTCTTTAATCTCTCTTCTATTTCAAAATAAAGTAAGAGTGGAAGATTTCTATTATATGTGAATATGATTCATCTTTGTTACGTCAATAATGCTATTTTATATTTAATGGCACGAATGAAATACATGAAAAAATAAACTAATAACAGCTAATCTCCACTCGATAAACCGGTCATTTATTGCACACTAAATATTATAAATGCCTTAACTCTTTAAATAGGCACTTTCTAACATCTAAATCGTGTCTATCTTTTTACTTAAAACAAGTATTCTTTTTTTTGTAATTTTTAAAATAATTCCCGTTTTCATAATTTTTTCAAAATAACACTTTTACTCATTGCTTGATATTCATGTTTCTTCATCATAGATTATTATAATATACGTTTTTTTCTGTAAAGAAAGTATCTAATAAATGTTAAGGCATCTATAATGCGTCGTGTTCACATACGTACAATAATAATCCGGACGTCTTTGAGAAAGATTTATCGCGCGTGTGTAAAATATATTTAATATAGTGTAACAATATCACAATATATTGTTTACCAACTTTCGCCGTACTTAGCTGCACGTACATATATTATATACGAAATATGCGTCCCATAAAAACTCAGGCAGTATAAAATCGGAAACAAGTTGCGCGCGCAAAACGCATATATACCTCCTTCTTCAGCTTCACCATAAGTACTTATCTTAAGTAATTATGACAATTCGTTGCACGAATACCTTACGTATTTCGATTTATTTGTAAGTCTTAATGCTTGAATAACGCTTCGTTCTCGGGATTGTCGTCCCTGTGCTTCTCGAGATTTCCGGATAGAGTCGGATCCGGTCGTCGTCTCTTGAAGAAGCCGAGTTTTCTCAATATTAAAGTAAGGAGAATGAACAATAACATACCCGCCACCGCGGCTACAATGTATATCCACACCGGTACGGGTTCGGCTTCTTGTTGATCCAGCAGATCTGGATAAGCGATCGTTTCGGCCTACATGACATCGAATAACAAATTTATTAACATGATTTTTATTATTATATATGGATATTTTTCTGAATTCAATCTCTCTCTAAGAAATCTAATTCTTCATAATTTATATTTTTACTGTATATAAGGCTCTGCGCGCAATAGAGGAATAAATATGAAATATTAAGAGAATATGAATTATTTTAAAATAATAAAATCGAAAAAATTCTGATATACAAATACAAATTTAAATATAAAGACTCTTACTAGCTAATTAGCCCGTACTAATCCTTCATATTATCCGAATTTGTATTTTTATATCAGTCTTTTTGAATTTATTATTTTAAAATAAAAATAAAATTCTTATTCCTAATATTTATTTTCCCTAATATTTTCTCTTGTGTACAAGGCCTAACAATAACAATACACTAAAATATATGTACTTACAATTGCATGGTCATCCTTCAAATTTTCTTGCTGTATTACAACATTCGAGGGTATTATTATCCTAGCGTTGGAGCCTATTTTAACCATATCCACTTTCGGATAATCCTCCACTAAAGTAGAATTCCAAAGCCTGAAATCAATTATTTCTTTAAAAAAAGCACAAGCTATTTCTAACTTTAAAATAGTTCAATTGTAATATATAAATATATTTTAAAATAAATTAAAAGATTATTTATTAAGATTTTATATTCTACACATAATTTAAAATGTTATAATTAATAAAAATATTTCGCACAATATAATCGATAATAATTAGTTTTTTATATTTTTGTTATATTACCTTGCTTTAACAGTTATGATGGCTTCCTGTTTCCTCTGTAGATTATATATGTAGCATATTATGTCGAAACACTTGGCTGTACCGGCTTTACAATTCTGTAATATAATCATTGTAAAGTACTCTAATATTATAGTATGAAATATCTTACATTAAACAAGAATTACTTAAAAGTATAAAAATAAATGATATTAAAAGATATTGTTCGTTATCAATTTTCTCGAAAATAAAGTCTCATAAAATAAAAAGATTTTACTTTTATCCATATATAAAACAATCATTTTTATATCAAATAACAAATTCTCTTATACATAAATTCATTAAAAATTCCGTTTTTAATTCGAAAGCTTTTACTGAATTCTGCGAACTTAATTGAATACAGTGGATAGAGTTTTTACCATTGCAACCACACGATGGCGATGTCCGTCTTTGTCGATAATCGTTCGCGTATTTACAACTTTCTCCGTGTCTCGTGTTGTTCTTATATGATTAGTATGGTTGTACAAGATTGTTGGTGAAGTTGAAGGTTGCAAAATGTTATCGGTGTCGTCAAAATTGATACTATCTTGCAGTTTTAAAGGATTAACTATATGCCCTGGTGGCAATGTACATTCACCATCTGTCAAAGCTAAATTATTTAACATACATTCATTATATATGTATATTATATAAGCATGATTAATATTTTATACATATTATATATATTATATTGTATAATATTAATATTATAATAATATATTAATATCATAGATTTTAGAATTAATTTTAATTATAATACAATAATGTTAAAATTAATACAATAATACAGTTTAATAATACAATATATGTATTATATTAATTGTTACTCTTAACTTTTAATCTTTGGTAACTAGCAGTCTTACTATGTTGAAATAAAAAAATAACTCAAAATTAAAAGTTATTTATGAGTTTTTAAATTATACAAGTTAAAATAAACTTCTAAAATATATATACGTATTCAGATATTGAAACTGCAATTTCTTGCAGGAATATCACACTCCATGTTTCACCACAAAGAAGAATTATACTTAAAATGCGATAAATCTATCACTTTCTAATTAACTGAATATTAGCAGAAATAAAATTTTATAATACCTTGGACAGTCGGCATCTCCTCCATGTATAACAACCATTTGCCGTGTGCTTTGTCGTTCGCGACTTCGTAAGGCCAAGAAATGCGCACTTCCACAGTGCTGACTTTCCATGGGCCTTCGTTGAACACTTCATAAGTATGCGATACTTTCGGTCCTACTTCGTTCAAGTACTTTATTGCGGACTCACCAACTACCGGACCACCGTAAAACGCCCACTGTGTTTTTGCACTCCTACAAATAAATGTAATGTTAGTATAATGTGTGATAGAAATAGACAAAAATTAATTTAATTAAATAATTTTGAGAATTTAATTTATATTTTTTAATACAAACATAAATTCATTAAATTATTTAATTTTTATCTTTAATGATATCTCTCTCTCTCTCTTTCCTTTAGTAAATCAATTGAACAAGTGTTCTTAGTTGTTGATATATACCAATTTTTATACAATGATAAATATATTATTAAAAGTATTGTAATTGTAGCTACATATACATATTAATATATATATATATATATATATATAAAATTACAATGCAGAATCATTTAACATTCAGTCAATGATTTATGAAAGAAATAATTATGGAAAAAAATGACGACGTTGTCGAGTCATTATATTTTAAACTAACAATTTTATATTATAATAATATATTATATATATTATTATAATAATGCATCATATATATTGTAATATATATTATTGTGATATTATATATATTATACACATATAATAATGTATAGAATATATTATAAATAATATATATTTAAATAATTACCCTTTAATTGAGAGCTCGGCACGTTTCAACACAGTAGCTTGCAATACAGTAGGTTGCTTTTCTGTGACTTCCTTCGATGTGGAGTTTACGAAAATCGTGAAACTTAATTGCGATTCGTTATCCTCGAGACCTTTGGGATCGAATCTCACTTGTATGTCTACCGTTTTATCCTTCTTGAATGGATTGCCGATAGAGCACGACACCAAAGTAGCATTATATAAATTGCAAATTATGGAGTCGTTGCTCTTGCTGGCAATGTAATTCAAGCTTTGAGAGTGAACGATAAATAATTGAGCCTCGTACGCGGATTCGCCGATGTTCGCCACGTTGAGTTCCACCACTATCTCTTCTCTCTCGCCCAAAAGCAACTCGTAGAAGTCCGGTTTTACGGAAGATGCTAATGAGAAATATATTTCGTCAATCATCGATAATTTCAAATGTGTAAAAATATTTTTTTATGAATGTTTTTTATATATTGTCAAGTTGAAAATCTCGACATTCTTAATTAATTGAAGTTACATTAATAAATGACATATGCGAATAAATATATACAATATTTATATTTTACAAATGGGTAAAACTAATATATATGTTTAATTAAAATTAAATAAAATTATATATAATAATTCCGTTTGAATATACTATGTAAGAAAAAAATATCTACCTGATAAATTCAGTTTAGCTGATAATTGTAAGTCGCTTTCGCAGATATCATTGTTTCCACAATCTTTCTGAAAAACGGCTTCGAATACGCGTGCGGCTTCTTGCTGATTGAGTATCGGATAATTCTTTATATCAGGTAAAGGAGCACCTTCCGGAGGCATGACTGGATCTTCTTGTATCAATGAATAATTCAGGCGGAATTTAATAGGCGATTGAATGTCGCGTGTGTTCTCCTATTAGAAAAAACAAATGTTATTTATTCACAAAAATAAAAATTAATGTTTTAGACAAACAAACAACAATATATTCAATATTTGTTGTAAAATTTGTTACATAAGCACATTAAAAATGCAGTGTATAAAAACTGAAGTACATTTTTAAATAAATATTTTCAATTACTTGAATATTAACGAGCGATATTTTTTCATTTTAAGTGATTAATAAATTTTTCTTTTTCAAGGTATCACACATATAAAGATTTAAGCTTTTGCTTATTAAAAAGATATAATATTTACCGAAAATAAAATATATGTTGGAAATTATATAGACTATTAATAATAAAGTAATAAAAAATGTGTTGAGTAATAATTGTGTTGCATTAATATGCAAATATAAAATGTTAATAGAGCGTACAAGTTTGACTTTACCTTCAAATAGACAATTTCCTTTTGACAGTGTACCAATTTTGTGGTATCTAAGGTAACTGTTCGATTAACGTAATGTAGGCGAGCATTATTTCCACTAGCGCCGAACCAAACCTTGAGAATTTTTTAGCTCCTGTATAAGTTTCCGCTTCGATATAATAATTTAATCTCAGATTTTGCATAGATTCCTCCTTCACTAACGATTCCGTTTTGCAACAAGCCTCAAACGTAAAACTGCAAAGTTTCACAAGTATAGTCACATTTCATATATTTATTTGACGATTCGTATTTGTTTCGCAGAATTATTTTCGTTTAGGATGACTATGTTACCATGTGTGATTTGTCTCTAGATCGGCCGAACATCCAATTCGATTAGGATCGATAGGTTCTATCGTATCCTGATATATTCCATCTTTCTTTGCATAACGTATATAAGTGGAAATATCAATGATTTCTTCGCACGAAGAAGCGCGATTGCGTCATTTTCATATGCTCCAATCAAGAGATCCGAATAGCCATTGTGATCCATATCGATGCCTCCGCTTAACGAATAACCAAATGTTTTCAATGGCGTGGGCATATCCTCAGCGTGAATTATCTGTTAAACAATATATAATGAACATGAAGCAAAATTGTACATATGGATGAAATAAGTAAATAAATCATAAAAAAATAAATTCATAAAATTGTATAGATTTAATAGAATAAAATTTAAGTAACGATGAATTTTCGAGAATGTCCATTTTACCTGTGATGGTGTTTTAATTATACCATTCTTCGAACCTAAATAGATATAGACTGCGCCCTTCCCTTCGTATGGAGCACCAATTGCAATATCTTCGTATCCGTCCTTATTCAAATCACCCAAGTTTGTCAACGCGAATCCAAACCTATTAATTTAACATAACTATATTTAATATCAACTCAAAAGAAGATTATAGAGCACAAGAACATCATAACATACCTCGATTCCTCGTGACCGACGAGTTTGACAGGCAAACATTTCTCGGGATCTCTGATATTTTTACATATATCTAGCGATGTATAAATGTATACAGCTCCACCTTCCGCTTTATTGAAATAGAACGGCGCTGCTACGATCAAATCAGTTACTCTAAAATAACAAATATTGAAATGTATAAATAAATTGGCCATTATGCAATAAACTTAAAAAGTTATAATTTTTTAAAAATAAACTAGAACAACACAAGCGCGCACTATTCCTTGATCTTATTTATTAAGAAGATTAATATTTAATATTAAAAAAAAGTAATATAAAGTTTATTTAAACTCCATTAATTTCTTTTAGCAGAAAACAGTTGATCAAAGAGTTACTTTGCTATAATTAAATTTTAAAATAATATTTAAATTTAATTAATATATTATGATAGAGATAAGATAACAAAAGCTCTTGTAGAAATCTACAAAACAAGTCCAAAGTGAATGTCCTAGGACTTATAGAAGCCTCAATTTTTGAATTCAAAGTTAGCATTTTCGCGAAAATTAAGCAAACTATAAGTTAGAACAACGAGCTCTCTATCTTTCTTCTAGGATTTATATTTTGCGCTGTGAAATCAAATTATGTTCTTATATTTATCCACCAATGTCAACACAAAAATAATTTGATTTCTGTATAGAACTATTCTAAAAATCCTAAGTTTTTAATATATTTTAAAATTATTGAAATTTTACTATATATATATATATATATATATATAATTTTAATAAAATTAATCAAACATTATATCTTACTGTGACATATATTAATATTTTTTATTGTGGTGTAAAAATATTAATCAGAGAAACTCTTAAAAAATTCTTTCAATATCATATTATCCCACGATTACCATGAATTTCAGGCTAAATTCTAAGAGAAAATTCTCTCTGTGAATGCAAATATGCCTTACTTGTCTCCATTTACATCTGCCGATGTGATTTCGTATCCATAGCTGGATGCGAATTGTTCGCCGTCCAGAACAAGAGCGACATCCATGTCCGGCTTGAAATCACGTCTGGTAAACAAAACACTTGGCCAGTGCCGTTAGAACGAGGTGCGCCCGCGGCGTAAGCTAAACCCTTGCCGAAGAAGTTTCCAGCAGCCACAGACATTCCTGCAATTTAAATGTTGATTAGAACATTAATTTAAACGATATTTGCATGGCGTAATCGCATTATTGGCTGGGAAAAAAAGAATTGATGATTTAGCAATGATGTAAATTCATAAAAACGCGGACGAATAACAACAAATTCTCTTCTCAGCCAGAGGAAAATGTGTTTCTAATAAAAAGAGTATATGTACCGAGATAGCTGTATTTATTTACGGGCGAGATATCTTGCATCGGTGCGTTGTAGACTGTATTATCTCTAGTTAGAAACTCATCGGACACTGTGAATAGATACAGAGTCCCTCGCCAAGTATGCGGCCCGGGGTGCCGATCACCACGCGATCTTCTGCAGTTAATAAACCGCTGACTCCGGCCTGACAATAACCGAACTGTTCGTTGGGTCTGAAAAAAATCGAGAAAGTCTGTATATACAATACTTGAAATTTAAACAAAACGCAGTAGATGTATACAAAGATATGCCTATACAGGATGTCTGATATAGTGTCACACCGAAAATATACAAGTAGATCTCGTTATTTGGGAACAATTTATCTCCAGCAAAAATGTCGAGAAAGGTTCATCATTTTTTGCATGTTCTCAATTTTTTGCCTATGTATCGTTATAACTAAACCTTAAATTAAAATTTTATTAAAGTAACTCTACTTTAAAATTAATTGCAGAATTTGGTTTTGTTAATATTTTATTTCCACAAAGCTTAGTTTGCGAGAAAACCTTTATTTTCAATCGCTTATAACTCGAAAATTATTGATGCCTCAATATATTTTGCTGAGGAAAAGTTTGTCTCAAATAACAAGATTTACTTGTATATTTTTCGGTTGTGATATCTTATGTCAGGACCCCTGTATAAATATTTTGAAATAATTACGATTACTTTTTGTAGGTTTCCCGGAACACGGTTTTTTCAAATCGTCGTATTTCAAATCTTGGGATAATATGTAGCATTGACCCTGACCCCATTGCGAGTCGGCTGTTCACGATATGACGATGCGCGCATACCGGAAGTATGATGTGACGAATTATAAATAATCTGTACATGTATATGTATCATCTCTCTGAGAGGCAATATTCTTGTGTCTGTTGACTCACCATAACTTTACCTCCCACTCCCTGACTGCGTACTAGTCACTCCTAACCATTGATTATCTTTTATCTCATCATTTCCTGGTGGTATTAAATCATCGGATTCCAAATCTGGAAAAAATACAGTTTTGACAGGGCTGGAGTTTGAGAGATGAGTTCAAATGCACCTGTTTTCAAGAGAATTAAATTACGAATTTTATATCAACCATTCATTATAACTTGCAGCATTATTTATAACATATGTGACAAATAAAAGTCTATTATTATGATTGTTACATTTAAATTTTAAATGTAATAATAGTTTAAAAGAATTAATAAATAAAATAAAAATTATAAAAAATATATATAATTAAATTAATATTAATAAATATTTTTATCTCGAGATTGAGAGGGCCATAAAACAGCAGTAATAACTGACAAATAATTAACAAAAAATTTCTAGTAATGAAATTAGTAGATTACAAATATCTAATAATAAAATGATAGACATTAATAAATAAATAATGAATTAGTGATATATAAATAAATAGTATGAATATATATAAATAACAATTTTCAAACTAATTATTTAATTATTAAAATTTTTGTTTTTAAAAAAGCAAATTATATTTTAGCAATTACATTATGTATTGAATATAGCCATGCATATCAAAAAAATTAAATGAAGTACTGTATGATTATTACGAGATATAATAAATATATAAAAATAAATAAGCAATATTGTTAGTAAAAGCAAAAATGTTAATTTGCATAAAAATGCTAACCAGTTTTATATATAGCTATTATAGCGTTGTCACAAAATTCTGTTTCTATTCCTATGTTATTTTGAACAAGAGCAAGCTTTGATATATAAGAATTATAAAATAGATGATTGAGATTAATTATTTTTAATTGCATGCTCTCGTACTTTAATTTGTGATATTTTATCCAAAAAAGATATATGCAATCTCGATGGCAAAACCGTTGATAAAAAACTTTCAAACTCTTCATTCAATTCATTCTGCAGACTGCTGAAGTTTATACACTTACTTGAATCGTATGATTCGTATTCATATGGTCTCTTTAATAGATTATCGCCCACTGGTTTACCGAAACATGATTCAACAAAAAAGCATCTTATTATACATAATATGAAATTAAATATTAAATAATAAATAAATAAATATACATTAAATAAAGATTAATTAAAGATTTACCGACCATTTATTAGCAAAACATAAAGGCGTGTGCAACCCAAAACCCTGACATTCAAATATTACACAGAATTTAATATAAGGTAGCATAATAATAATTGATTTATACTATTGTATAAATTCATTATTATCGATAAGTACATCTTCAATTATCACAATAATAATGATTAGAAATAAATGTATGAAACATACGCAGACGTCCATCAGTAATAACTTGAACACAATCTCTGGAGTATGTTGACATCGGACATTGCCATAACGCCCCTGATTTCTTTGTTCTTGGTTGTCGATTCTGATCCAAAGGTGCACCAACACAGCATCCTACACAAAGAAATCATTAAAATTAGACTAATTGAATTCTTAATAAATGAGTTATTTTTAAATAAAAAATCTTACGCAAACAAAAATATACAGATATATATATATATATATATATATATATTCTTTAACAAAAAAGTATTAATATATGACAAGAAAATATTCATTCTCATTCTTTTGTACTAATTTAAAATTGAATTAAATTGATTTTAAATCACAATATTTTATGTATTCTAATAAGCTTTATTTTTTATAATACTATTATAGCAATCTTTTTATGGAAAAAAATGTATAAATATAAAGATTTATAAAAGAAATTACAATATATATATAATTATTAACAATTATTATATTATAGTTATAATTAATATTCATTAATTTTATGTTGCCACAGATTATTATTCTTACATTCAGTTATTATTTACAGTAAAAATCTATAAGAATCAATAACAATTAATATGTAGTAAAAGTAATAAAGATATTGTAGAAAAATTAATAAAAACTTATTGATGATACATTGAAGAGATTATTATTCTTACATTTAGTTATTATTCAGAGTAACAATCTTTATACTATAAAATCCATAAGAAATTATAACAATTATTAGTAAAATTAGTAAAATAGAAAAATTAATAAAAACTTGTGACGATTATTCTTACATTCAGTTGTTATTCACAGTAATAATCTATATGCTATAAAATCTATAAGAAATTAATAACAATTAGTAAAATCAAATTAATAAATATATCAAAATTAACTGTTGACGGATGAAGTACTCATGTCCCGTACAAGTTACTTACCAACTTGTGGATCTCGACGAGTGATTCTCGCCTCTATGTGCTCGGCCACCGAGTAGCCGAAGTAGGAGCCCTCCAGGCCGCGTTTGATAACAGGTATTCGCGGTTCGAGATTAAACGCGTACGTGACGCAGGCACTCAGAGCGAGCCACAGCAATGCGTTCATCTTTGTTGTCGCTATTTTTATTTACCACGGGTTGTATTATTCGATCAGGCGATCCCTCGTGTCTCGGTTTCCTCGCGATTTCGCTCTCCCTATCCCTTTGTCATCAACGTCATCGGTCACGTACAAGCCAGGTATACACGTACAACACCCTTTTACATACTCTTTCTACATTTTTGAAAACACATTACATACCCACCCTATCCCACCCACGCGCGTCGGGCGTACTTTCACGGGGCTCGCGTGACAGGGCTGGCAACGCGTCGCGTGACGTCACGTCGTACGTAATCCAAATGTCCCTAGAGCGGCCACGTGCTCGCGAAGCTGTCAAGATTTGCGGACTCGCGTGAGATATTCTTCGCACGGACGTCGACCAATCGGAGCAGAGGTCTCTCCGCCCCGATTGGCTGATGGAATCTCCATGCGATGTCATTCTTTCGAATGTATATTCTATGAATTAAGAAAGAGAAACGTCATCTGGAGTCACCTTATGGAACCTCATATAAGAGTTTGCATGCAAATTGTGTTCTGTTTTAATTGGCTGCATGTGTTGTAAGTATATATGAATAGAAGAATATATCCAAATATTATAAATATACATATATATATTTTTTTAATATGTCACAGTGACAAACATATATATTAATTATTAACATAATATAACCATTTTTTTATTATAAAATTTTTCATTCATGCATAGTTCAGTATAATTAAAACATTATTTAAATTAGGTTCTAAACATCTGAAAATAGTGTGTATATAGGCTAATTGCTCAATATATGCGAGCGTTTATTGCTTCATTTAATTTGCATTCTTTTGAAATTGTTCACTCTATAAAGCTAACATGACGAGAGAGTGTATTAATTCTTCTTATTCACAGAATTAAAGCATCAGATATATATATAGAATAACACATATATATATATATCTATTATATGTATATATAGCAGATGAGAGAGGAAAGATTCTTATATAAAAAAAGTAGAATTAAAAAATTATTTATATTAAAAAGTATAAATTATAGTATATAAATTTGCTTTTACATGAAGAAAAAAAATATATAACAATTAATAAGAAAGCGCACATAATTCTTTAGCTGAGAAAGAAGCCACGACGGGGCACAGTTAATACAATTCATTAATCCATTAGTAATCAATCGGGGTAACAGCTTGGATGTCGTCTTATTGACGCGCGTAACGCAAATGCATGAACGTTGAACACAGCAGGAAACAGCCGACTCTGTTCAATAACTAAGCAGATTTTCGATCAGTAGCATCGCCGTTCGCCGGACAGAAACATCGATCTCAATCTCAATCGCGCGTGGTTAAACTTTTCAATCACAACGACATATATACATATATATATATATTCGCCGAGATAAGATTTTATTAATTTTTTTTATGAAATTTGATATATATAAAATTAATTTTAAATATACATCCTCTTCGAAGATCATCATTTGAAAAGTCAAATTTAATGATATAAAAAATTATTAGCGTTAATTATTAAAATATTCTGCATATAGTAATAAAAAAATTATTAATTTCGATCACATGCGTATCAAAATAAATAATGTTAAAATAAATAAATGTTGAATAAAATAGAATAGAGAGTAAAAAGTTATAATAAATGCAAATAATCAAAGTGAATAAATACGACGAACGGCGAAAAACTGACGATAAATAATACAATAATAATAAAGTAATTATTAATAATTGTCAAAGATTGATTAGCAACAATAAATTGTAATGAAAATTGTGAGAGAAATTAGAGCACAGGTGATTTATAAATAAAATCGATTTCACAAATTGAACGTAAAATTGCGCTTTCAAGAATGGATCAACTTTTTTGTTTTTAAATAGGATTGAAATTTTATTATTATGTGCAGAAAAAGTAAGTAAAACGATCAAAGATTCTAATAAAATGTTGTCACAATAATAAGAACAAATTATATGTAAGAAATAACTATAAAATCAATTTCTCTCTAATTTTAATGATTACAGAATCGAATAATTATTGAATCATGAAATAAATTGTTCTTTCTTCCAATTTGCTTACTCTTTCGTAAAATAAATTAGATCTGTACAATAAAAGTGAGATATCGACTTTCAGGGCACTTTTAAGGGGATGTTATATGACAAATATTACTCCATTATGGTATCTGGCTATGAAATCATTATTTTACTAATTGCTTTTATTGATTAATGGATGCTTACACATTTTTTATGTTATCTATATATTTCACTGGAAAATATAGCGAGTATATGCTTTCACTGAAGTACTAGCAGTACTTGATCATAAAACCGATTATTGTTTTGCGTTTAAAGGAATGAAATATTATTTTTTATATTATTTATTATACAAATTATTTTTAAAATATATTTTCTTTATTAATGATAAAGTTCTATTGTTTAAAATTTGATTTCTATATATACAGGAGGAAATAATTATTTGTGAAACTGTTGAAATATATATAATTTTTGAACTTTTAGAAATTTATTTTAAAAATAATTTATTGCAATTGCAAGTAATAATAATCACGTGCGCAACATTTTTCCAGAGTTATCATGATATTTGAGAGAGATACGCGATCGGGGAAAGACATATGCGGTAAAATTACAAAACTTTCTATATATCCTGACGCTTCTTTTCTTGGCGACAAAAAGTTTGTCCAATATAGAAGATTAATATTTTTATGTAATATTAAAATGATATGTGTGTGTGTGTATATATATATATATTATAGGATAAATTCTAAAAGAAAATTCTCTCATCTGTGATCGAATGACGTACGTGCAAATTAAATTTTATTTTTAAAAATTAAATAAAAGTAGCATTATTTATTCGAATAGCAATCTTTACACGGAGAGAATTTTCTCTTAGAATTTACTCTGAAAATCATTGTAATCGTGGGACAATATATGTATAGTAAAATTAGAAGAATTTTATAAAAAAAAGTTTCTCTGATTAATATTAATAGTAAATGTTTACTATGTACATAAGTAAAATTAATCGAACATATTTTATATCTTATTGTGATAGATATTAATATTTTTATTGTGGTAAAAATATCAATTAATCAGAGAGACTCATAAAATTCTTCCAACACCATATTGTCTCACGATGATCATGATTTTCATCTAAAATTCTAAGAGAAAAAGGTAAAGAGAAGGTAAATTCTACGAGAAAATTTCCTCTGTGTATCTTTCAATTAGTACTTGAAAGCCCCGTTCGATTCTGTCATCTGCCACCCCCTAAAGCCCTAGAGGGAGAAAAACCGCGCGCATACTCACGATTGGTACTCGCGCACGTGCTTCCTCGTTTGCAGATTGATCCCGAGTGTCTCTCGCACACACACAGTACATCCGTGCCGAGTCAATGTGAGAAACGCGTGTTGTAGAACCGTATGTGTCGTGATTCCATCATCTGTTAACACCTGCTGCATCCTCCGAAGCTTCGCTCATCCCTCGTCTTTTCCTCGGCGGAGCGAATGGAGGATGAGGGAGGCTTATTATCACGGTATTAATTTTCCTGTAACATATACAGAGATCAATGATCGAAATTGACATGATAGTGATATCGCGAATTGCCTCGTGTTTTACTTCTTTTTTTCACGCTCTAATAGATTGGTCGACAGATCGATTAAAGTTCGAATTCTTATTCAGTCTTATCGGTTGCTTTCGTAAATTGTCTTTATGATATATTTTCTCTCGCAGTTAAAGTTTATTACGTAAGTAATTAAATATATAGAACAAAAGATTTGTCTTAGATTAAAAAAAAACTTACTTTTAATTAAATTCAAAATATTGTCTTCAATTTTAATTATAAAAAGGAAATTAATTAGAAAAATATGATGCTGAATTTATTGATTATATATAAATGATGAATTTATATGGCACCGAAAATGCAATATTAATTTTAAAAGGTAGCTGCTGAAGATTGCGAGAGCAAAGAAATTGCCGACGAAGGCCGAGGGACGAGTTTAAATTGTATCTCTCGATTAAACGCAATATCAATTTGTGAGCACAAAAGCACTGCCTCAATCTAATTAACTGGAATAGCTAGCAGGCAGAACAATTATAACCGTATTCCATAATGGAGCCGCACGAAACAGTGTCTTTAAAAGGATCTTATTAGCTAACAGCTATGAGAAGATGAAATAGATTGCAAACAGGATCGGACCTCGATATTAATTATTTACACTTATATATATAAGCATTCTATATATTATTTTTTTCTTAATGACAGATGTTTGATTTAAATTGATGAATTATTTGATATTTTTCCGCAAAAGTTGTTTTTTTACAAAAAAAATCTGCTATTAAAAAATAAATATAAATTAATAAAATTAAAAAAAACACGAAGAATTAAATAATAATTAGAAAAATGTATAATTGTGCGGATAATTTTTATATCCATTTTACTTGTACAAAATTTATAATATGATATATAAATTTATATACGATAGATTAACAAAAAATTAATCCTGTCTAGAACTTCTGCATTTCCTATATTTTAATTATTGTCATATCTTATCATAGATCTCGCGTATTTCGAGGTGTCCTTATAAGTGCTTGATATAAAACCGGCCCTGATCAAGGAGAAGGGGGTGGCAATAAGGGGTGAAAAGAGATCGCCTGTACAACGGTGGCCTAAATAGACCGAGCAAAGAAGATGGAACGAAGAAAGAGGAAGGCAGAAATGAGTGGGGAGGAAGACGAGATTGAAAAGTCGCGGAAAGCGGTGGGAGATCCGCATTGAATCCATCTGATTATTCCGTACACGGCACTGTGTTGCGGGACACGTGATTCTGCGTTTGTGCGCCAAATTGTGCAATGTGCTGCTACCCACCGGTGACCCGTAATCCGCCCCTTCTTCCGCCGTTGCATCTCTGAAGTTCCGCCGCAGCTTCCGCAAAGGAAAAGCTTGGAAGAGTGCGTTTGTTGTTTCGAGAGAAGCCAACGAAGATATCGGGGTGTGTTAACTGCAACAGGTAAAAATATTTTAAAATATATACTGGATAATTCAATAATTTTCATAATGATATGTGAGACAAAAATAGAGACTATAGAAAATAGTGATAAAATTGTACGAAGAAAACATATAGATTTCGCTAATTATTATAATTAATTGTATTTCAAAGCAAAATCTAATTTAAAAAATTAATCTATTTAAAATAAAATAGCTCTTATAGTATCTTGCATGAAATTATCTCTAATTGTGGGACAAGAATTATAGATTATTATTATAGCGAGATAATTTATTCTAAATGAAACTGTTTTTAGCAAATGAAATAAAATATTATATAACAATAAGGCTCTCTTTACTATAATAAGCAAATATATATATATATATAAGCATAAAAATATTATAAAACAATAAAATACGCTGTGATGCAGATTTTTTATTTCTCTATATTTTAATGTTGTAATATACGCATCTTATATTATATGTATATATAGCTAAGATGCGTTTTTATTAGCGCGAAAAATAACTGATATATTTGAAAGTGCTTTAGATAGAGTAGATGCGTAAAATAAATAAGACTCGCGGATGCATTTATTTCAGGATATTTTTTTAATGGCATGGTGCTCCTTCAAAAGAGCTTCATATAAATAGAAGAGCAAATGCCGCCATGCGAAATCCATACGATATTATATATTGAAATATATATTGATTTAATTTCTGATTTTCTAATATTTTTCAATTTTTCAATTCGGTTAAAAAATTCATAAAAAACAAGATATCTCAAGAATATTAATAAACGAGATAATTTTCACAATATGTCGTCAGAATATAAATATGTGTGAAATATAAATTTTTTTTTTATAACTTCTCGATTTTATTAATGGAATATTCATAGTTAAGAATCTGTAGATCATATTTGTATTATAATTAGCGCGAGAGAGATCGAAGTTACATTTTTCACATCAGAGACATATCATAAGATCGTTAAAAGGAAGGTCTCTATCCTAAATTATTTTATCGTGTCGCCTCTTTTATACTGCGCGAGCAATTAAAAAATTTATCTTCAAATATGTTAATTTATTTTCATGACTCTTCAAGATCAGAAAAGTTATTGCGATTCTTATAGTTCATTTTGTCACATCAAAAAATAATTATCATTTTTTTATTTGTAATTATTAAAGTTTATTAGATCGTATGTCGAGAAGATTTTAATGCCGGAGGATGCGTTTTCGGTCCGCGAAGGCCGAGGCTTGAACCTTATTGATGTCGTTGAAACGTTTTAAATAAATCAGCGGCGCGAGATCGTCATCGTGAGCCGACATACGTGAGCGAAATTATGAACGATCTAATAATAACCGCACTCTTACCCATATGGGAAGTTGATTTTAATTCAGAGGGCTAAACGGACATATGCGCACACACACATATGCGTATCAGGTCCCGTCCTTTTAATAAGCAAGGTCAGTAATCATCGATGATCGAGACTCGCGATGAGCATCCTCAAAGTATCGTTAAAAATGAAGGAGATTGTGCACATTTAACGTTTGCGTAATGCAGATTATACAAAGGTACCCTCTTGAAAAGGATCCGCCATCATCTCATATAAAAGCGTCACCTGAAGAAAGAGTTATCATTTAAAAAATGCATGTATTGTATAATAAATGGGAATTTAGTACATTTTAAAAAGTACAGACGTGAGAGATCGTGTTGGTAAAAATTTACGTGTTTCCAGTATAGAATTTGTTCAAAGAGAACCATGTACGGTCTAATCTTGGAAAATCTGGCCGAATATATAAGGCAGGTTTACGGCGAGGACAGATGGGAGGAAATTCGCAGACAGGCGTCCGTGGACCAGCCGAGCTTCAGCGTTCACCAAGTTTATCCGGAGAACCTGATACCAAGATTGGCAAAGAAAGCGATTCAGGTGAGCGATGTAATTCCTTAATCGTTCTCTCTCGACGTATCCCGTACATTTAGGCATTAAACAAAAATTACATACTTTACGAACTCTGAATATATTTTTCGTCGTGTAAAAATTATTTGCATATTGAAATACGAATTTTTAATTCTATTCTATTCTTTTTTTCAAACCTTCAAATTTACAACGTGTATATAATTGATATTGAAGAGATAATCCAAATAGCAAACTGACGTCATTAAACGTAAAAATGATATCATTTTGACATTTAATGACGTCAGTTGTTGAGGAGAGAACCCAAATAGCAACTGACGTCATCAAACGTCAAAATTATGTCATTTTTACGTTTAATGACGTCAGTTTGCTATTTGGGTTCTCTCTTCAATATCAATTATATACACGTTGTAAATTTAAAGGCTTGAAAAAAAAGAATAGAATAGAATTAAAAATTCGTATTTTAATATGCAAATAATTTTTACAGATGTAAAATATATTCAGAGTTCGTAATGTATATAATTTTTTTCAAGCCTTTAAATTTACAACGTGTATATAATTAATTTGAAGAGAGAACCCAAATAGCAAACTCACGTCATTAAACGTAAAAGTGACATCATTTTGACGTTTAATGACGTCAGTTTGCTACTTGGGATACGAAGTCCCTCGCAAAACGTTCGATCTTTTGCGCATTTATTTCCGTAAAAATTGTTGACAAAATTCGAATGAACCTCAGGTACTTGGCGTGACGGAGAAGGAGTTCTTCGATCAGATGGGCGTGCACTTCGTAGGATTCGTCGGTCAGTACGGTTACGATCGCGTGCTCTCGGTCTTAGGACGACACGTGAGGGATTTCCTCAATGGCCTGGACAATCTCCACGAGTACCTCAAGTTCTCCTACCCGAGGATGCGAGCGCCGTCGTTCATCTGTGAAAACGAAACGCGTCAAGGTGAATGTTTAAAGAATCAGCTTGCGCTTTAACGAGAGAATTTTTTTGTCGTTAATAATTTAGACGTCGCTAATAACATGGACGTTCGCAGGGGGTGGGGCAAGAGAGGGTATTTACCCCCCTTTGGAATGAAGAAAAATATTAAGCATTTGCTCTCTTTGTGAATATAAACACTGGAATTTATTTGCAATTTTATTAATATAAAAGTATTAAAATAACAAAATAATAAAAAATTAAATTTAAAAAATTGACAGAGAATAATAATAAGAAACAAAAAAATTAAATCATGCTCCTCCCTGGAAAAAATCCTGCGGACGCCTATGCGTTTGATTATGAATAATAATAAAGAAAATAAGATAATAAAATAGACATGTTGTCTTTCTTGCACTATAATATTTTGGAGTCTAATTTTTAGCTAAAGGACTAGGAGCTAAATTTTTAAATAAAGACTGATGAACGTGCAGGTTTGACCCTTCATTATCGGAGCAAACGTCGGGGCTTCGTCTATTACACAATGGGCCAGATAAGGGAAGTGGCACGGCACTTCTATCACAAGGAGCTGCAAATCGAGCTGGTGCGCGAGGAGGTGCTCTTCGACACCGTGCATGTGACCTTTCAGCTTACCTTCGATAATCGCGCCTTCACCCTCGCCTCGCTGGCGATGACTCGCGAGGAGAAGCACCTGCCGATCGGGGCGTGCGTGCTCTTCGAGATATTTCCCTTCTGCATCGTCTTCGGGTGCGTGTACTACCTATAACATTTCAATTGTTTTGTTAGAAACAATTTGAATTTTTTTATTTTTAATTTAAATTTAATTCAAATTCTGGTCATAGTTCGATAAATAATTATTAGGGATTCAAATAGAAAAAAATTTACGCGGAATTAGTTAAAAATAAAGTATGTATGCAAATTGATTTTTAAATAAAAAAGAAATCTGTATAGTCAATCGACGTTTAAATTTCAGCTCGGATATGGTAGTTAGAAATATTGGCAATTCGTTAATGGTCATATTGCCAGATCTGGTTGGCAAAAAGATCACGTACTTCTTCGACTTGGTTCGACCGCTTATCGCGTTCAAATTTCAATCGGTAAGTGTAACAAGTAAGAAAATTTGAATCTACATAATCACTTTTCAACTCAAATAAATAATATTAATAATATTTAATTTTAATATTTTGCCTGATTTAGATATTGAATCGAACGAATAACATTTTCGAGTTGGTCACTGTCGAACCGGTGCTTACAGATCGATTGAATGATCGGCACAGAAACGAAGTTCTCTTGAGTGACGAGCTTGAAACCATAGAAGATAAGACTTTACGATTGAAAGGTACATTCATCGTTCTCTTAATTATAAATTAAATTAAAAGTTAGAATATAGAATTAAAAATTAGTGTTATTAAAGTAAAGTGATATATTTTATTTTTTACTCACTGAAATTGAGACTTATACTTTTTATCTATCTTCATTTTCATTATACGCAGAAATAATCAATTTACGTCAAAAAATAAAATATAGAATATGAATGCAAAAGTGCAAAAATTTTAGTTGCATATCATTAATAGCACATTTTTCAGGTCAAATGATATACATGGACAATTGGAAAATGATGATGTATCTCGGTACACCAGTCATGCCGGATCTGAACGCTTTAATAGCGACTGGCCTCTACATAAATGATCTCTCGATGCATGATTTTAGCCGGTAAAAAAATCATCACACAAAGCTGCTTATACAAAAGAAATAGAATTCTGCTAAATTGTTTAGACATGATTATATAAATCTTAATAATTTTAATAATCTTAATAAAAAATCATTATATCGTAACATTTGTGTTAAAAATAATTAAACTGTAGTAATTTGCGATCCAATTATCTACTTGACGATTTTGCAGAGATCTCATGCTAGCTGGGACTCAACAATCCGTGGAGTTGAAACTGGCGTTAGATCAAGAACAACTTAAGAGTAAAAAGTTAGAGGAATCCATGAGAAAACTGGACGAGGAGATGAAGCGTACCGACGAATTGTTGTACCAGATGATTCCCAAACAGGTCGCGGATCGCTTGAGGAATGGCGAAAGTCCGATTGATACTTGCGAGGTACGATTAATTAGAGTGGAGGGAAATTTTTCCTCTTTCTGTTTGTCCATATTATTTAATTATCACTGTAAGAAGCAAGATGGAAAATTCCTCAAAAGCAACGCCAGAATCTTGAAGTCGTGTATTATCTGAAATATAAAAAGAATAAGAATTAGAAAAGAAAAGGATAATTTTTATATTTTTCTCCTCTTTTTTAATACAAAAAAGGAGGTAACGAAGAATCGAAATAAACAATTAATCATCTCTTTTTAATATCAGAATTACAGCATTCAAATAAATTCGTTTTCTTGTTAAATTTATAGATTATTAATTATTAAATTTATAAAAGAATCTATATATTGTGACTTCTGATAATGAATTATTTTTAAACATCCGTATTTTTTATTTCTTTACAGATGTTTGACACAGTATCGATATTGTTCTCGGACGTGGTGACCTTCACCGAGATCTGCAGCAGAATCTCGCCGATGGAAGTGGTGTCCATGTTAAATGCCATGTATTCGCTGTTTGACACTTTGACAGAGAGAAACCGAGTGTACAAGGTATTCCTTAGGTACTCCAAGAAAGAATATCGATTGTAATTTTTGAAAAAAAAACTTCGTTCAATCTTGCTACGCGCGCGTCCGATTCTCGAATCTTATCCATTGCTGATTCTGAGACAATGAATATGCACTAATATAAAATTCAATTTACTTTTAATTTAATTTTTAATCCAATTTAATCCAAATCGTTCTAAAATAATTTTACATTCGAAAAAAAGTACTTTTATATAAAATAAAAAGCAATACTATTTGTATAACTTCTTATTCAAGGTTGAAACTATCGGTGACGCTTACATGGTGGTTTCTGGTGCACCAGTGAAAGAAAACGACCATGCGGATCGCGTATGCGACATGGCTCTCGACATGGTTGAGGCGATAACCGATCTCAAGGATCGTTCGACAGGTAAAAAGAAGAAAGAAAAAATCGATCTTTTTCTACTTTTTTCAAGTCCACAATTTTGTCGAAATATATATTCTTATCGATTTTCTAATTCTATATAATAAAAATATTTATTTTTTAATCTTTCTCTTCATTAATTATACTAGACGTTTTTCGTCGTTATTTGATTATTTTACATTTCTTATTTATCGTGAGACTCTACTGGAGAGTTAACGCTATACTAGGACAAGGACATGAATTTTTACATTTTTAGGCAATCATCTTCAAATACGAGTTGGTATTCATAGCGGCGCAGTCGTAGCTGGTATCGTTGGCTTGAAGATGCCACGATACTGTCTCTTCGGTGATTCCGTCAACACGGCGGCCCGGATGGAAGCGACCAGCCAGGCTATGCAGATACATATATCCCAGTCCACTAAGGAACTGCTATCACCCTCGTACAAAGTTAAGGAACGCGGAGAAATCGAAGTCAAAGGAAAAGGTAAATCATCTTCTCATTTTGCCTGAAATGCTTTTAATCCTCGCGTTATATATTTGGGCTAATTCTTCAATCCTGACCTTGATGCCAGGCACGATGAAGACCTATTGGCTGGAGAAACGAGAGAAGCGTTCCGTCTCCACTAAGGGTATCACTATACAGGAATCTCATCAATGGCATACAAGAAGTTTCGAGAAGAGAGTTTCACAACAGTCCGCAGTAGGCGTGATAGGTATGATAAATCCGGGCATATTTGACAAACCGACTTCGGCAGAAGCGCCGTCGAGACGAGGCTCGTCGAAGATGTCATCCCCGACGCCACTGGGACTCTCCGGATTTTTTTCCGAGGAGAGAAGGATATATTCGCCCATTACTTTTCACGATGTCGCGCGACGATCGGTCGCAAATTCGCCGACAAGGAATGTGGAAATTCGAGGTAGAAGAAATTTGTCTCTTTTCTTCGCAATTTTTCATTAATTAACCCTTCTGTCAATGAACGAATATAAAGGTCTTTTGCATTTTGATCACCCGAGTACCCAAAATTAATATTTTATTGATGCAATATAAATATATTTATTTAACGCTTATTAAATATTTATTTTATTAATATTATAGTTATTATATTATTAATAAAATAAATATTTTTAGTAAAACATTAAGTAAATATTTATATTTTACATTAATAAAATATTAATTTTAATAAATAAAAAGGGACTTAACTATTAATTATTTTAACATTTTTAAGTATATCTTTTAAGCATATTTTGGGTACATTAATAAAAAATGAAAAAAATGCTTTGATAAAAGGATGAAAAAGGGATGTCTCATTTTTCATCGAGTGATAAATATATTTTTTGGAATTGGCAGAATGTCGATCGAATTCTATGGGCGCGATGGGTGGCAGGAACGTCTCCGATATGTTTAATTCCCTTCTGAGCGATACGGAGGAGCACTTCCGGCAGCATCGGGACAGTTTGTCGCCACGCGCGGAAAATCGGTCAGCCGGCGTAAAACCGGAAGTGAAGATAGACGCCATATCCTCGTCTTCACAGAGTGACACCGAGGACGAGTCGAATCCGTCATTGGATTTGTCTTCGCAAACGCGAAAGGGCAACGTGGATGTAACACCTGGTGACAACAGCGAATGCGCGGCAATTAGTAGCGATCTCAGCAATTCCCAGTTGCTGATGCAGCAGGATCAATGCTGCCCGGGATTCACCATGCCGAAGAGCAGTAAAATGCGTCATCAGGGAAACGGCTGCATTATTTTCTAATGCAGAAATTGATGAAGACCGATCAGATTTAATTAAGCCACAAATTAGTTCTTATTTAAATATTTTTGACGTTAAATCGTTTCACAATATATCATCATCATTTTCTCGCGTTGTTATTTATATCTCATTTTCAATACACGAAAAGGAAAAATGTCTTATTTTCTTTAAAAAATCAGTTCTCGAAATCATATTTAGAAATTCTGGAATGAAAAAAAAGAATAAATGATCACAACACATCTTGTATAACATATATATACAGATAAATATTGTTGTTTTGAAAGCAATCTTATAATTAAAAGATTTTGTGTTAATGATTGACTCTTCGATATAAAAGTAATAACAACATTTACAACATATTACAACAGTGTTTTTGTATGTTGCTTTGTAAGACAATTGAATTATTAACGATAGCATGATTATATTTAAATGTATTCAGCATATTTAATAAATTGTATATATATATCAACGAATATAAAACTGAAAAGTATTGAAGTAGCATTAGTCATCTCTTGACGATATCATATTTTTAACCCTTACTCGAGTCTTTATCTAATCAGACGGAATTGCAATTTCCGTTAATATAATTTTTAAAATAAAAATATTAATCAAGTTTCAAACGGCGAATTATAAGGAAAATTTTAATAATATATAATTTATTTATTATCGATCTTATAATAAAACTTACATTTTTGTATAATTAATTTATTATATTTTTATATTTCATTTATTTATTTATTTTTATTTAAATTTATCAATTTTTATTTTAACCAGATAAAATAAAATTAATTAACATACTTATATGTTTTTTTAGAATAATTTTTGGAAGACAAAGGAAAGGAAATAAAAAATGTTTATATTAAAAATTTTTAATATTATTTTTAAAATAAAATTTTGCATGCATGCATACGTTTTTATATATAATAATAGTATAAGAAAATCAATCAAATTGATCAATAAAAAGTTTTTTTGTAAAGCATTTTATGTTTAAGAAAAAACAATTTATATATATTTTACACTTCTTAATTTAAATATATATATATAACTTCAAACTTCTACAATTCTATATTTTTGCAAAGAAAAAAAGTATTATTGTGCGGATACAAAAATACATCTTCAATGAAGTTTTATGGTTAGGTCGCAAAAACAAACTACAAAATTCTCATATCGCTCAATCATCATCTTATATATGTATATATATTCACGAAAAATCTTGAAATCATATTTTCCTCTGCACGTAGATTCAAAAATTAATTTACAAATAAAGTTTGACTTACCGAAACACAAAAAAGAAAGCCTCCAAATGCAATCTTCCTAAATCCTATTTTCCAGATTTTACATAATATATAATTCGCACAATTATTCAAATTATAAATATACTTTCCTAACGCAACCCTCTAATCGCACGGCGGACGCAGACTGTCGCGAATTTGTCGGCGAGCGAGATTAAATTAAAGACGCGCCCGTTCGACGCTACATTCACTTCGAGGCGTGAGACTCTTCGCGCTGATTGGTCCCACGTTTTCTGCCGCGTGACGCAGGCGTCGAACGAAGCGCGCTTCATGAAACAGCGCACAAACGCGTCCGCCAATCGCGAGGTGTCCACGTCGCGATGACAGCTCCGCGAGAACGAACCTAGAGGTTCGGGTTTATCGCGAATCGTGACAGCGAAGAAGGCGCCTTCTCCTCGCACATACTCTACACTGAGAACGTCTAATCATTTATTAGTATGCCATTGATGTTGTGACGTGTTATATATATTTTTTTAGACAATATATTCGGCGAGACGCGTGCGCTGCAAAAAATACGGCAAATATCGCAGGTAAACGATCGCGCGACGTCAAATTTTCCCCGAAAAGTCGCCCCGATTCATCGCTCATCGGCGCAACTCTCGGGAAGTTAGGTTAGATTTTTAGCCTACCATGTTGCGCCAGAATGAACGATGTAATATTAGCGCTTTTTCCCTCGCACGATCGTAGAAATGGTTGAATTCCACGTCGGTGATGAGTCTTCTTTGACAGTTTTTTTTTCACGCAATTACATCAAATATTTCGCCTGCAATGTCGCGATGAATTTGAATTCGCATCAGCTATGATAATGAAACTCTTTCTATTTCTTGTGTGTCTCTCGTGGCTGAATTAATTATTATTAATTATTGATTAGAGACGGCACGATAAGCTTTTGATCGTAAATAATTAATTTATGATATTGTTTCTCTTCATGATGGATTTTGAACAATTAGCATTGTTAATGTACGAGCTTGGTGACCTTTGGAAAATTGTATTCAAACGTTGTATGACTCACATATACTTAGATGTAACGTTTTTTAAAATTATTTTAAATGACTACATGCTTTTACAAGTTGAGGAATTTTTTTTCAGCTAAATTAAAAAAAAATAAGACAGATTATTTATATAACATTGATTGTAACAATTTATATTAATTTGTATACGATTATTTCTTTATACATTACATAATATCTAATTAAAGTAGAGATTTTATAATTTACTAATCACCTTTAATCTGTATAATCTAAAGTCTAATAAAATTGTTTGTGCTTATAGTAAGAAAACATGATGCAGGATGAAGACTTGGGTGGTTCTGGAAGACGGAATGTTGTCAGTCAAGGAATAACAAGAATATCGCAGGTTAATATAACACAGCTTATTATAATACTTTATATACTTACCTTTATCTCTCTTATATTTTATTTTATTTTAAAGTATATAATCCTCTATTATAAATTACTATAAACTATAATAAAACGAAATTAGAGATGCTGATAAAGATTTATGAGATCCTTTTGAATTGTTTTCTACAATTTGTTATTGATCTATGCAGCTATTGCATTTACTAATTGCATTATATCACATATGACTTTCTGTATACTTGTGTGTATTATATAATCATCACAGCAAAACATCTTTATTATTGCAGATATATCAAAGATACTTAGATCTATGGACACCCCATGTAATATCAAGATGGTTATTTGCCCTATTTCTATTAGTACTTTTTATTCTACGTGTATTTATCTCTCAAGTATGATATTTTTTATTATAAATTATGAGTTCCATTCCTTACAACTGTATTATAATACACAGAAACTTTGATGTTTGCAGGGATGGTATATCGTTACATATGCATTAGGAATTTATCACCTCAATTTATTCATAGCATTCCTTACTCCAAAAATTGATCCTGCCATGGATTTTGATGGTAAATAATCCATATAATTACTTCACAAATTTATAGAATTTAATTAAATCCAATTTGATTAAGTAAAATCACATATTGACATTAAAACTCTTAGAAATTATATAAAATAAGAGATATAAAATAAAATTAAAGCTAATCTGATCAAGTTTTACTTTAATTTGATGATTTAATTGAATTTAATTTTATTTTGAATGAATTTGTAGATGGAGATGGCCCAGAGTTACCTACAAGATCGAATGAGGAATTTAGGCCATTTATCAGAAGATTACCTGAATTTAAATTTTGGTACTCAGTAACAAAGTCTACAGTTGTTGCCATGATATGTACGCTATTTGATTGCTTTAACATCCCAGTATTCTGGCCGATACTTGTTATGTATTTCATAACGTTATTCTGTATTACAATGAAGCGGCAAATAAAGGTAAGGAAACGATAATTTATAGTCTTGTTAGAAGAGTTATAAAATTTTTATTATTTTTAATTTTATTTATTTTTTATTATTTAAATATAGCAATTATTGAAAGACTATATATATAAATTTTTACATTTGAAAATTACGAAATAAAAAAATTTTGTACATATATATATATATATATATATATATATAATAAAGATTTGTGAAAAGACTCACATTTTAAGTTGAAAATAAATAATGAAATTGAATTAAGTTGAAAGTAAATAATCTTTTGCAAAATAATTTCCATTTCTGCAAAATAGTGAATGAATTCTCTTTTATTTCATTAAATTTATTTGATCTTTATTTATTTTTTATACACAAATATGATTTTAATTAATACAGCTTTTTTTTCTATTTGCAGCACATGATTAAATATAGATACTTGCCTTTCACTCATGGCAAACCAAAATATCAGAATCATGAAGATACCTCACGGTTAACAGCGTCAAAATGAATAGAATAAAAATGTTTTGTGCCTGTGCAGGCGCGTGAGCGTGTAGATTTCAATTTCTTCTAGTACAGCGCAAGGAATATTAATAAGAAAAGAGAAAGAACTGCAAAAGGAAAGTTCTTTTTAACGCTATTAAAGAGGAAGGATATTGCCTTGTACGAAAAATCGAGGAAGCGCATAACTCTTGATTATATAATACACGGTATAATAATTGAATTAATTATATCTTAATATATTTGTATAATAAAACTTGTACAAAGTATTGTTAGCTCTTATCTCATTAAAAAACAAAAACGACAGAAAAAGCATAGCAATTAATATTGAATGCAGTTGTCAATGTAATACACTGTGAATGAATGTAAAATTCTTATACATATAAGATTTTAATTTATATTTAAATCGTTTCTAACTTGTTTTCTAACTTCAGGGAGTATCGTTTCCTGACGTGTACACATTCCAAGTGATTTTTTTATATCTTTAAGATAAGCAGCTTTTTTTCTCAAGTTTTGTTTAGATATCTAATCTGTATTGTCATCTTAGTTGAGAAGCATTAGAACACAAAATATCCTGCCGTCCATTTCAAAGTTAATATTGCATCATGAAGGAGAATTGAAATCATAAAATGCAAAATGTAAGTTTAATTTTTTACTCTCATAAATTAACTAATTTTAATTTGGTACTAAAATTAGTCTATTATCAGTTGTATAAATATTTAAATGTGCAAAAAATTAGCATATTTAGTGCTATCAAACAGATTTATCTTGATATTAATTTCCAGAAGTCCATTTTTTTTAATTTTAAGAGACTGTCTAGTTTTGTCTGTGGAATATTACATTACATACAATCAAAAGTTTTAAAACAAAAATTAAAAAAAAAAACAATCTTGTTTCTAAATGTTAATCAAATTAGATATATATTTTGGATGTTAATATTAATAGAATCAAATTAATTATAATTATTTATATTACTTATGTGTAAAAAAATTGTCTTGATAAGTTTGATACACGTTTAAGAAAGTTTTATATTAATATTAAATAAAATCAGATTGAATATTTTTGATATTATTAGGAGAGGTTATGTGGAGATTGACTTAAAAATAAGACTAAAACTATTACACTATTACTATGTATAAATTAACTATTATAATTATAGTATAATATCATAATAAATATAATATATTTTTATTATATTTATATGTATAAATTAACTATTATAATTATAATATGAATTATAATTATATATAAATATAATAAATATAATAAATTAATATAATTATATTTATTATATATATATATATATATATATATATTATATTTAATATATGAATTATTTAAATTTACATAGAAGAATTTTATTATCGCAAGATTTTTCTTATTGGATTCGTATTGTTTTGTATTTTGTGGCTTCAGAATCTCCTATGTCTTTATATAATTTAATAGTGTAACATAAAAATATATTTATATAATTTTTAAAATTTTCTTTTAAACGTTTACACAATAGAGTATAATTATACAAGCAAATATACAGTCAAACAATAATGTGACGGCACGAAAAGCTCTGTTTATTAAGATACATAGTTACTTTATCCTAGCATACTAATTATAACTTGTTCAAACCGAATGTAGAAAACATGCATTTATCCGAAAAGATAACGGCATTTAAATGGAAATTTTCGTTTTTATTAATCAATTTAAATTGTTTTTGAATTTATTCTGTAATAATTTTAATATCTCTTTAAAATCATGTCTCCAGAAAAATATTTAAAAATATATGCTTTATTAGATTTTCTTAAAGTAAAAATATTATTATTAAGTTAATGCAATATTTAAAATTATTATTCCCACGTTTCTAATTTAATGCGTTAATATTTGCATTATATTTTATTCATACTTTAGTATTCTGGGATTAAAAACGGGGGTTCGAATAATTATATGTTTATACACTGGTGCAATTTATGCTATAACAATTATGCGCTTTACACACTGTGAGAGAAACGATGCTCGTAAAACTAAGGTTTATGCAAAAAAAATTTTGGTACGAGAATATATATATATATATATATATATATATATATATATATATATATATAAAGCGATCGGATTCATTTTATTGTATATAGCGGAATACTTATACGCAAACTACTTGTTTTCAGACAACAATTACACACATTGCAACTGCTAATGTACATGTGTAAAACTTCAGAATCAAGCACGTTCTTAAAAATTGAATTTTATATATCAACATTTAAATATTACACTGTCCAAAGATATGTAGCGAAATGTGTAATTGTATGAACGATAAGCCTTTTATTTTCGCAAATTTTTTATTTATGTATGACTATATATATTACTTATGTATGACTATATATATATATATATATATATATATATATATATATATATATATATATATATATATATATATATATATATATATATACACGTATATGTATGTACATTTTTGGCAAATGTTCTGTGGAGCTTTACCAAAATGTGTGTGTTGGCTTATTCTATATTTTATTGTATGAAAAATATTGTATGAAAATTTGATTGATTTAAAATATGTCCAAAAAAAGAATAAAATTCTTAATGATGACCAGGTACAGTTTTTCGCACACATTTCACACTTCATAGAGTATGTCTATACTACAATCTTCTTTTGTTTTATTATATATCATGTTTTACATATTATAATCAGTTATATTATGTATATAAAATGTAGAGAAATAATTATTTTTATATACATAGTATAAAAGAAATTTAATATTTTGTTTTTTTTGTTTTAATGCAAATTGTATATGTGTGTATACCTTTTTTCTTTACAATATATTATATTTAAATGTAGGATATTTTATGACGAAAAAGATATTTAGGACATTTACTATTAGAAAGCGTGTAATATATTCATCATAAAACATTTCATTCTATTTAATGAATATTACAAAGCCTCCAATTTTTTTAATTACGTTTTTTAACATCCTTGTATGGAACATAAACATATAGTATTTTATACAGACATTTTTTTCACGATATAAACATACACACATATATATATGCAATTTTAATTTTTTAATGTAACAAATATAGAAAATTTTATTCTTTAAAGTTAAAAATATGAAACATAATCAACAACAAAATTTTCGTAACTCTTTTGCAATGTAATTTTGTAAATATTACATATAACAACATTGAACAATAATATTTATATAGCTATCTATGACAATATATACAATTGTACGTATTTGTACATTTGAGAAAAACACAGATAAATGTGTTATAGACATACATTTTGATTTCCATTTTTTATAATCTTATAGATCTTTCTATATCTTATGAATTTACAAATTTTTACAGATCTTTATTAGATCTATAAATCTTATATAACTTATACATTCATTATTGTATAAATATTCTTTATAGTAAAACGCCAAATTATTCATAAGCGATTATCAATAACAGATGTATTCTCTTTCACTTGTTCGGATAATCGATATTTAAATAACTTAATGATAATATACATATACATTAATATTACCTTATCTATACTGCTTATAAATTTACTTTAATATGTAATGTTTCTTTTTTTAACGGTCTTCATTTTTCTATAATGAGAAATTTTGTTTTTTCGCAAATTAAAGAAAGAAAGATAATTGATTTCTACTGATATGAGTACTATTGCCTATTGTGGAGTCTACACGTCTCTTAATTTTATAAAATATTAGAAAACATATCTTACGTATAATTGCAACCCGGATGAATGTTAATGATATGTTTTAGTGAGAGATAGAGATAAAGAAATAATGAGCATCTTGACTGTGAGTAGAATGACTTCGATTAAATTCCAATTAAATTTAACGACGATCAAGTGATATCCGATAAAGTATTTCGCTAACAGATAGAATTATTAATTTTTTTCTCTTTGATATATATGGAAGAGAAATTCGATTCGAAACCACGAATCATACATACATATAGATAGTTTTGCCGATTGAATTAAAATGGTCGATTAAATTAATTGAAATTCGATCAAGATAGTTTTTAACCTTATTTTTTATTTCTACTGTGTTCGCTTTTGTGTTCAGTGGCATGAAAACATTAATTCATCTTTATTTACAATTACGATAATATGAATTATTGTGTAATAATAATATAATATATGGTAATATGATGATTGCAATAGTATAGATATATAATATTTATTATTTAAAATTAAATTATATAAAATAAATTTCTGTCGCCTCTTCTTAATGCATCTATTTTTTCGTAATTATATAATTTGAGATTCTCTCTGGGAGATTATGTATATATCTGTACAATTTCTTTTCTGCAGCCGCTTTGCACGTGTATTATATATTGTGATGTAAGAAGTTGAGTAATTTTTTTGTACTATATATATATATATCAAAATAAATTAGTTTTTATACGTAATCATTCGATATATTATATGTATATAGATTATTAAATATATTTGGAACTTTTTCTTTTTAATTTTTTAAATAAATTTTAAAGATAAAATTTAATTTAAATATATATTCTGCATTTCTAGTTGCAAATGGTCTTAATTTGATAAATGAAATATTTTTATTTATTTATTAACTTTTGAATAGAAAATTAATGTTTTTACATTTCATAAATCTATTCTATATATATTATCGTCGAATAATAGTAAATATACGAGAAAACTAATTTTATTTTAATTTATAAGACAAATATAAAATTCACACAACTTCTCTCGCTTTCGTCCAAAATTACGGCTGCAATGAAAAGCTAGAAGTCTTATATAATAATAATACGAAAATATTGTGGATCTTTTTTGTAAACAGATTCAGTATCATTGCCGATGAATAATGTATTATATCGTTATTACTACATTCCTCATCTTGGAATGAGCCTGTGCTTGAAAATCTCAAAGAAAATGCGGCTATTTTTGCACAAATACAGCATATTAGTCTTCGCACAATTGCGCGCTATTCGTCAAAAATATAATCTACAATTTGCTGCGATGTAACGCGACGAGACTCGTCCCACATTGCGTGGAATTCCTCTCGCGAATCTCTCTTGTCTCATTCGTTGAGGTCCTCCGAAATAACATTCTTGGACTTATCGAGGAACGTCGTGGTGGAATTCGGGCCTATCACTGTCGTAGTGGTGGTTTCGCTTACCGTGGATTCCCGCTTTTGGTAAGGATTCGACGGTTGACAGTACAACCTGCGCCGTGGATAAAAAAAGAACTGTGTCGTGTAAAAATCTAATCCCCCATTATACAAAATAAAGCGAATCATCGGCAAACTGGTAGGATTTTATATTTCTTTTCCTATCAGTTTGAAGAGATTTGTAATTTATTTTTTCTTTTTTTTTCGAAATTAAATTGCGCTATTACTGTGTCCATATATAGCGATTATCGCAAATTGCATGTCAAAGAAAAAAGATCAGTCTCATTAATCCTTTCTGAAACGGATTACGTTTCTCGTCGAGATACGTGAAACGAGTACCTTATGCTCTCCGTTCTTGAGCGCGGCGACCAATTGTTATAGTATCTCCGGTGATTGCCGAGATTTCGCGCGGTGCTCCATCGTGAAAAATGATGCCTGACTGCGTTCTGTACTTCCGTATTCAGGAAACAGTAAAACAACGCGACAAAGAATCCCTAAAAATAAATTAATACATTATTCAAAATCCAGTTTTTAAAAAATTAATAACATTATCCCAAGTAGCAAACTAACGTCATTAAACGTCCAAATGACATTTGCTATACCTGAGATATCAATATCATAATTAAAGGCAAATTTTTTGTTTAATAAATAGAATCGAAAAAATGCTTGACGTAAATTAATTTTTCAAATTGTATATATCTGTATAATTTCAAACAATAGAATTTTAAACGTATACAAAAAAAATTAATAATATCATCCCAAGTAACAAAAATAATCAATTCATTAAATATCGAATGACGTTCTTTGACTTCCAATAACATATACTTGCTATCTGAAATATCATACAATATTATAATCAATTAAAAGCAAATTTTTAAAAAATAAATAAAATCAAATATCGAAAAAATGCTTGACTTGCATAATATAATGTAATTTTTTCAAATTGTATATCTGCATAATTTGAAAAATTAATTTAAGTCAAGCATTCCTCGATTCTATTTAAAAAAATGTACCTTTAATTGATTATGATTGATATTCCAGATTAACAAGCATATACGTCATTGAATGTCAAAATCACGTTATTTTGACGTTTAATGACGTCATTTGCTACTCGGAACGATGGCGTTATTAATTTTTCTTTTATATGCGCTTAAAATTCTATTGTTACCGGTTCTTTACCTGCGAAGAAAGCAGCACCGCTCGTGCATAGGAGAATACATTTGCCACCTGACCTTCGGTGGGTCCCGCTATGACCAGCACGTACGTCACTCCTAGAAGTGGTATTAACACCAAGAGAGCTTTACTGGCTTTCCGATATTGCTGGGTCTCCACGTTATTGGCGGACCATAGCTTCGTTATCAACACCTGTACATTAGACGGATATTTGTATTCGCAGAAGTACAACAAGAGGATCAGCAGCATTTGCTCGAATATAAATTTTTCCATTCCCGTTTTATCATTTGAATAAAAAATGCGCCTCTCTCGCTTGCATTTACGCTTTACGGGCCAAAGTTACGACTGAAAGCTTCAATGCGCGTCGGATGAAAGGAGAGACAATTTATCGCCGGATACACGTGTACGAACACATTGGCCACTTTATCGTGCTTCTCGGTGAGAAATCACCGATTGCATTAAATTGGAATCGTTATCCTATACGCCATTTTATTCGCCCGTAATCGAATGATATTTGTGAAAGTTTCGTTTAATCGAAAATAATTTCGAAACAGTAGTCAAAGTAGTTTTCAATAACTATACTTCCTAATTAAATTTCGATTAAATAACATTTCTCTACACTACACTGAAAAAAAGTTTATTGAATACGAATAAATATATTTATTTCACACAATACTGCTTTATAAATCATTTATTTGAAACTAATAATAATGATTTGATGTAAAAAAAGATTTAAGAGATATAAGAAAATCCTTTTCAAACAAATAAATATTTATTTGTTTCAAATAAATGATTTATATAAGGCAATATTAAAATTAATATTTTAGTTTATTAGTTTTTTTTTACTGGAATTTAACTACAAAAAGGCACGGTTTATTATGATGAAAAAATTCTTGTATTTTATAGAACTATATAAATTTGATTTTGAGTGTAAAATAAAATGTAAAACAAATTATAAATATTACGTAAATAATGCATAATAGAATAATTTGTTCTAAGTAATGATTGTTAAATAAATAGCACTTCAGGGATAGTTTTCGCGACGAGATGTACTCACCCTCATAATCATGAAAAGAAACACCATATTCACCGCGAGAACTGTTACAGCGGGAGCTTGATAAAACCAGTCGTAGGGATGCGGTATCATCCAGGGACAATGTCTCCAAAGCGCGACTTCCTGTCAAAAAGGATTATCGTCCTGATTAATTAACGCTGAGTGTTACAACATCAATGGATGTTCCCACAACTAGGGATCAATGCATACGCTAAGCTTTATATATATACATATATATACACTGCATCGTGTTTGAATATTACATATTGCATATATACATATATTATATACATTGTATATATTAATTAATATATTATATAATATATTGCTCAATGTAAACTATATATTTATTTTTCATAGATTTAGTAAATGTAACAATTAAAAAGAATTTTCTAATATTACTTATATATTAAATACTTTTATAATTAATTTTTTAATTACAATTAATATATTGATCAATGTATATTATATATATATATTTTTCATAGATTTAGTAGCAATTTACAAGAATTTTCTAATATTATTTATATATTAAATACTTTTATAATTAATTTTTAATTACAACTAATATATAAAATATTGATCAATGTATATTATATGAATGTATATTATATGTAAAAAATGTTTTCATAAATTTAGTAAATTTAGCAATTTACAAGAATTTTCTATTATATTTATATGTTAAATATTTTTATAATTAATGTTTTAATTACAAACCTTTGTTAAAATAAATTTTACTTTAAATTAAAGATTCAAATATTTATTTTCGAAATTTAAATGCGGACAAAAATCCTCAATTTTTTAATCACTTTGTAATTTACACCCCCTCTGTGACATTGGAAAAAAATTACACGCGATCCAATAAGAATTTTCTCGGTCGCGACGAGAGATAAAAAAATAAACGACCTTGTCGAAACATACGTGCTCAATGATGTATATATCGACGTGAAATCATCCCGGCCACGTGGATGTTATACCCTTTCCCTTCCCCACGTGTCTCATCCTTGTCACGTACTTGGACGTGGCGTTAATAGGCAACGTGGTTGAAATTTTGATCGGTACTTATTTCGGCGCTATCCGTTATCGGTTCACGTCGCTTATCGGGAAATGAAAGATTTCGACACGCAACGAGACGGAAATTCGCTGTCGGAGAAGTCCTGATTTATATTCATACCTGATTAGGCTGATTCGCCACGTGGTGCATGACTTTTTGATTCAACGATTTGGCAATTCCCCACATCGCTATTACGAGGATTGGAATACCTGAAAAATTATATAATTATATTATTAAAATTATATAATTATATTATGTATAATTTATTTATTATCTGCTTATTAGAATAAGTTGTGCAGGATAAATCACGGCAAAGGTATATAGGAAAAATATCCCATTTTTTGCAACTCTTCTCTTTGTCCAATTAAAATAATAAATTATATAAGCTATATTTGAATGACAAATAAATGGTCTCTGTAATTTAAAAATGCAAACAGAATTAAGTGGCTTCTTTTTGAGCCAAAAAAAAGTCGGAAAGTCTGACACGTGTCAAATATGCTGCTTTCCAGCAGAATTGTGATGGTTTCGGCTAAATATTGTCCTTCATAATCGATTCTTGTTTATTTGCCTGTCGGAGTAGCCATCTGTAGAGGATTGTAACACTTAATTAATTTACTTTTAGGACTTAGCCTGCCCATTGCAATTTAGCAGAGAGAAAGTATAACATTGTTTTTAATCGTTAATGTATTATTAATAATATATTAAGTCCATTTATTTATTATAATTTCAAACAAAATTTTAATTGTTACTTTAATAATTCCTATGTCGATATACATATAACTATAATTGTACGTCAGAATTAAAGTCCGTTTTTGTCAGATACAATTTTATTCGACCGAGGTATTAAATTTTAAACTGATAAAAAATGATACACTTTAGCTCTGATGTACAGATATATAATACATAAAAATCGAGAAATGTAGTATTAAAAGAAATATGCAAAATATCTATTACAAATGTAATACATTTTATGTATTTATATAAAGTTTTTATATTTATAAGCTACACATCTATATTTTCATATTTTTATCAAATAAAATTTTGCAATAAAATTTTGTTTGCTCGTAAAAATCTTATCGTGCAATTAATGCCGATCAAACGCAAATTTGAAATTATAATTATACTTAATCACTCACCCCAGCCGATCACCAGGCAGAGTCTCAGCTTGATGTTGTCGCCGGTGAATGTTTTCACGACTAACAGATACAGATACAGACCTGTACAGAACGTAAAGTACACTAGTTGAAAAAATATATATCGCGTTATTTCTCTTGTTTATATATTTTTTCAAGCTTTTTTTTTTTTTTTTTTTTTTTTAGATACATGCAAATAATACCTACTCTTGCAATATTTTGTTTTCTATGTTTAATCAGAATAATAAATATAAAATATTGAACTCTGTTCTACATCAAATATAACTGTATAATATTAATGTATAATAATTGCAAATTTTTTTACACTCACCCTCGACGAACATCCAGAAGAAGTTCGTCAACTGAAAGTAGTGAAGAAGCGAGAAGAACGTCACGCAAGTTGGTATATCCGTTTGCATGGATACCTAAAAGTAAAAATTGTAAAATAAAATAGAATAACAAATGCTTGAACAGATTATTGTATAAATGTTTATTCTATAAATTTTAAATTACTAGTCAACGAGGGAATTGTTTCGAAAATAGCATCTTTCCATTTTTCATCAATTTTTGCTCTTCATGTACCTGCCAGCCTCTTCTTTAAATAATTTTTGATAATGCAATAATAAAACTCGCGAAAACTGTGCACTTAATTATAAATTGTAATAATGTTCGAGGTTTACAATATTGACGCTGCTTCGCTGCTCTTAATTATTCACGTAACCTCGCGTAATTTTTTTCTGTGGACGTTTAAAAAAATTAAAGTTTTCTAATTTAATTATATAATTTTTCACATTACATATACTTTTCCACCAAATTAAATTAAATTACCTGACATTTTTTAATCATTTTAATCGAAAATAGAAGTAAAGGGCGTTTAATTATTTTTCTTCCTCTCCCTTCTCTTTCTTTGAATATAATAATTCTCAAAGCTGCATTGAAAGTCTATATATATACATGTAAAAGTCAATGAAAATCTGTTGTTATAATTTTTATGTGTATTCAAAGGTTACCGGAAATGCTGGTCGACATAATTAATTTTCCCGGCGTTTGTTCCGGCTCGCAAAAAAATTTCGCGAGATGGGAGCGGAAACGCATTACAGAATTCAACCCGCAGCTGTTGGATGTCACATAAAGAAGAGGGGATATTAACTGCAACATTTGTCAGTGACACACGCAGAGGAATGATCCGACAGGTGAGAAAAAAATTCTTTTGTCATCTCTTTCAACTAATCGTTAATAAGAAATAAAAGGACGACACCTTTCCTTTTCGTTTCCGCTTTCTTTTCCATTCCCATTGTTAATGTCGAAAGATCAAACTGATTGTTACGAAGAGATAAATGTAGAAAGAAGAGAGTGCACAAAGGTATTTAGTGAGATAAATCAAAATGGTGAATCAGGAAATTGTTAAAAATTTGTAAATACATATATGACACGTTAAATTAATTTTTTGTTATTTTATCGCATATTTCTGCGCCAAAATATTCGAGAAAAGTAAACAATTTTTACCACACAATGCTCGAGAATAATTTTTATAACGTTTATCTTTCCCTCTCTCTTTCCCTTCTTCTCCCTCGCTGTTCGCTATCGCTCTTTATGATAAACTAATTTTGGCAGTCAAAGCACGTAATGGAATTATATTACAACATGATTGATCAGAAGCAGCGCTTCATTAAATTTAAAATAATTTTGTACAACACAACCGTCATATAATGTACTAAAATTAACATCAATGAAAATGTAAATGAGAAAAGATACATTTAAAAATCGAAGTTGATGTAGCATATTAAATCCGTTCTATTTATGATTCGAGAACTCGTGAAGAGCGTTCGTTTAATTAACATTTTACATCGAATAAACAAAGATTTGCAATGGAAACGGATTTAATAATAAAATTCCGTTAATAATGTATTAAAGTACATATGTTTACGATATTGAGCATTTTAACAAAGATATACATAAAATGATATTTTATATACATGCATGAAGATTTGTGTAATATAGCAAAATATTAAAGCATATTTATAATTTATATAAAAGGTTGCAAATGTATTATGGAAAATTAATAAATATTTCATAACATATATATATATATATATATATATATACATATATATATGTAATTTTTTAAAAATATAACTCGTTGACATAATAAAAATGATTAAAAAATATTGTTCCTTTACCTGCATCACAGTAGTTAGAATCCACGTCAAGTCAGCCATGATATATGTGAACATTAGATTTGTGTGTATGTTGTTTCTAAGACACCGTAACTCTCTGCAAGAAGAGAAAAATATAAATAAAAAAACTCAAAAGTTAATTTTCATCAATCAAACAGTTTTTGAATAAATCTTGAAAATAATATTTTACGCTCACAGAAAATTATCTTTACAGATCTACCTATATTCATGAATTCATCGAATTTGATTTTTACTTAACGTAACTTTTACATTCGATTTTTATTCAACATTACTTTTTATAACATAATTTATCATCTTTTTAATGCATTTTCTTTTCTACACGGTTCAATTTTTCAAAATTTATTCTTGAAATGATGTTATCGTAAAATTGTATTTAAATAAAATTTAAATTTAATAATAATTTTGATAGTATAAAATTTGAATAAAAAATAAAAATGTATCATACATTATATGTATGTAAATTTTGTATAGATTTCGTTCTTTCGTTTCTATTATTTAAAAAAATCAAAGAACATTTTTGAAACAAATAATTTTTGGACAAAAATTATTTTTATTTAAATAATTATCATGTTTGTTTAATAGATTTTATAATAATACAATAATAAATTATGTCGATATAGTAGTGTATAGTTTGAATTACTTCAAACATATAATTAAAAATTTCAAAGGAAATATTAATTAAAGATTTTTTAGAAACTTTATTTCAAATTTTTTCAAGACTTTTATAACTATTTTAAGAAGTTTTGAATTCACATAATAATTGAAAAACAATTCTAAATTTTTATTATATATTTATTATATTTATTATATTTGAAATTTGAAATAATTAGACTGTATGCGCTTTAACTTCATCACTAATTAAATTTAATAATAATTGGATAGATATAATTTTTATATAATATATAAAATTCGATTTAGTCTATTTGAAGACTTCATCAAGCAATTCTTTTGTTCGATAAGAAACTTCTTTCTTAAGGTTGTCTCTGATATTGCTGACTATCGGAAAAGTTAAATCAGTTTAACTTTATATATTTAAACTTATATCATCTTTGGCGCAGCAATTTTTAACGTATGTCATGTTGAGCTCGATTAAATAGAAGAGAGAGGAGTTAAATAGAAGAATACAAGATAAAATTGAAGCGATACACCATAAAATGCTGATACATTAAAATATGGGTGCTCTTAATAGTTTACACAGAAAATATTTGTAATAACTTTTTAAAATTTATAATAACTTTGTATTCGCACTTCAATTATGCACAACGTTTGAACATTAATGAAATTAGAGATTCTGTTTGGAATATTTTCGTGATGTGTGCAGCTAACATCTAGATTACTACGCAATGGTGCCCGGAGCGATCTCAATTCTGAAACAAACCGAACCAACCGAGAATTCCACCATTTCAGCAGAATTAGAATTGCCGGTAGCAAAATTCTGCTTCCGCCATTCGCTCCGAGATCTCGCATCATAAGCATCCCATTGGAAGCAACGAGGTGCAACAAGTCGAAAATCCAAAGTGCAGAAATGTCTGTTTAAAACCACGACTACCTCTATAAGGAAAATTGCAACACCTAATATTGACACATAATATGTATTCTTTATATTTTTCTCTCGGTCCAGTTTTCTCTTATTCATTATTCGAAATAAAAATTATAAATATATGAAAAGAATTCTGTCAAAAATATTTATAACCGCTTATATTATTTATATAATTATTTATTTATATTGTTACCAATTATTTATATTATTATAAATTTATTATATATTATATATTTATTATATTTTTATGTATTTTTATATAAATTTATAATATATATTATATATTTTAAAATATATATTATAAATTTATTACATATTTATTATTAAAAATTTCAACAATAATAAATTAAAAAATGAAGATAAATTTTCTCGTCACCTCAGAAAAATCTGCAAGGAGAAAAATCCGAAAATTCGAGGTTGAGATTTCTTACTTGTAATAGATGAATATGCAGACCGCAACTACTAAAGTGAATAAGGACAAGCCGTAGCCGATGAAATATAGCCTGGTCGTTATTTCTACCCCGAGCTCCATCGCCGGTGGTCGCACGTCGCGGCACAGAGAGTAGTTGGAGTAACTGTCCCATGTCCCGTTGGGCCAACACCAACGACTGGCGTTTTCTGTGGAAAAACGTAAGGTTTCCCTCAGTAAGTAAGATGTATCAAAAATAAAATAAAATATTTTATCAGGCAAAGAATTATAGTGTTTTATAGGCATTCATTTCTTTCAAATATATTCATTTTTTTCTTATTTGAATTTTACCTGTCTACAATATTGATTAGCATGATTATTCGTGATATAAACCTACAATTATATACATGCACGTCTGCAGGATTTTTTCCAGAGAAGGCATGATTACAATTTTTTGTTTCTTATATTTTCTTTTTTAATTTTTAAATTTAATTTTTTTATTAAATATGCAAATAAATTTCCTTCCCCATAATTATAAGCCCGTTAAGAAATATTCTTTATTTAAAAAAATAACTTAATGACACGAAATAGAAAAAAACAAATATATTCTTTTGAAAAAGATATTTTAATTTATTCATCCGTCACCAATGTTAGAATGAATGAAGCGATATTCTATATTTGCGACATTTAATTATTCTCTCAGATATACACCTTGCAAAATACGAAAATATCCATCGAGCTTTAAGAATAAAATGAATCGCACGATCGAATCAATGTCGAAAAAGCAATATTTTTTTAATCTCAAAATTCGATACTATTTTTTTAATAGATTTGATACACCACGAGCCGTGTATATTATCTAAATACAAATATTCGGATGTACGTGCACGCTCGCAAGATTTCATCCCACGATTTCCAACATTCCCGGCAATTTTTCACGCAGCACCGCTGGACCGAGATGCGGATATCGCTTGCGTTGCATTATTCACGACCACAAAGAAAAACGTTGAACAAATCGATACGCGGAGAGGTCGTCCGGATGCTGCGGAAACAGCAGCAGCAGTTGTATAGTAACGTTAATGTGTATTAATAGCTTTCTTTTGCTGGCTACAATTAGAAGTCGACACTAAACCGCTATATAATGATGTTTTTGTGATTGAGAAGATTACCGAAAAATTGATTGCTAATTAAAACCTACAAAAATATCTGGATATCATTCTGTGTAAGTACAGAATGTTTTCAGAGAGAATTTTCCAATTTTAATTAATGTAGGTAATTATTAATTATCAACTCTAACATGCCCCATTTTTCCCTTTTAATAACAATATTGTGTGAATATTTATTTTAATGTAATTTTAAATCTTATACCTATTTGATTATTTCTTTTTATTACAAAAAGGTATAAAAATTAATTCTTCTGTTTTGTAAAAAGAGCTATATCTTTCTACAAACATTTTTAATTTACTTTATAGCATGTCTTTAACATAATTATTGATACATGTAGCATGTCATGATATTCAAATGGATACATATAGTAAATTTTGCGTGCACGTAAATAATAAAAAATTAGATTTGTGACCGCGATTGTGAGATTGTAATCATAAGGTAATCGTATATATGTAAAGTAGTAAAAGATGTTAATTAAGAAAGATTTCAGATCCTTTTTCACCCACGCGTGCAAATTGATCGGTTAGGCAATTGATTATCGAGCAACGCGATGGTGTGATGAGATAAACGAATTATCTGGCTCCATTTATTCGTGATCGGTTATTGGAGAGTTCCTCGCCTGTTTTATGATCTTTTTCTTACCAACCATAATAACTTACAGAACATTGATTTAAACGAAACATACATTGAATGCAAATGAAACGTAACGCGCGCGTATAAACCCGACCGACATCTTTTTAGAACAATAATTGTATTTTTTTAGACAATTTTAATATATTTCAGAAAGTGTTATCTGTCCGTATACTGAAAAAAAATTTATTGAATTTGAATAAATATTTATTTTAATATTGCGTAATAAATTATTTATTTGAAACTAATGATTTGATGTGAAAAATATTTATTTGACATAAGAAAATTCTTTTCTTAAAATAGATAAATATTTATTTGTTTCAAATAAATGATTTATTAGGCAGTATTGAAATAAATATTTATTAATTTAATAATTTTCTTTTTTAATGTACGTGCGTGTGTGAGTGAGATAGAAAGCAAAATAATTGTAAAAAAATTATTTATCGTGATAAAACTGATTTATTCATAAAATTTTTGTTTTAAAATTTGGGAACGATGCTGTTCAAATTTAAATAAAGCAAAGATATATTGTATATATATTATGGATGAAGCCATATAATGGGATTCTAAATTCAAAGCACGACCTTTGATTATGTGATCTCTTCATCATTATTAATGACAGGTCGGCGCTGTGTTTCCTCAAAATAATGATCGACATTTCGTAACGACGCTTTGTTTTAAGAAAGTTAAGCAAAACTTGTTAGCGCGCTTATTTATTGCGTAAAGTTGCTCAAACAATAACGAATGACGCGACATCTAAAATGCGTCAGGAAGTTTCGTAATTATTCTTGGAAATTAACGATACACACTTCACTGGAAATCCTCATAATGAGAACTATTAATTCGCAATAAGAGAGAACTACGTCCATTATGGTTTTAATTAATATGATCATCTTATAATATTAATTTTGCCTGTACAAAGTATAGTAAAGAAAATAATGTGTTGTTTCTCAATGTACATATTATTACTGTATTATATTATTATATAATATTATCATTTTAATTAATATTATCATTGTTAGGTAGATTTTGAAAATAATTTTATTTTTATTAAACATATAAAAAAAGTAGTTTAAAGATTTTCATTTTGAGATTGACTCTCATCCAGAACTAATGCCATGTAATTTATGGAAGTAAATTGCATCTTCTCTCTCTGCGGATGCATTTGTACGAGTGCAACGCATATATATCAATATTATACCCTACATATTTTGAATATCATCCTTATTAAGGATAAGATTAATAAAATACATGTTTCTTTAATTATTATTTTAATATATAATTTACAAGTGATATCGTTTAAAGCGTCATATCTGTAAAAAAAATCATTAAACAATATTAGACAAATCAATTGTTAATAATTAATGTAATATTTATTAAAATTTAATTCTTTTTTATATTTGAAAAATAAAACAAAAATATATATGAACTACAAAAATCATATTCATTCATTCCTTTTGTGACACTGTGTTAAAACGACACGATCTTGAAAGCTTTTTCAACAGAACAAAAAAAATTCCGAATTTTTTCGATGCGCTCTATATTTGCTGAAAAGTCCATTGTAATCGAAATAACCATCGAGATTTCATTTCAATCTAGAGCACGTGCACGTGTACTCGTATTTCACGATCATATTTGTCATATAATTTCGTTCTATATTCAAGTATCGTATTCAGAATATAAGAGCATCGAACAAAATCTAACAATATATAATTTACATATTTTTTTAGCAAATATAAGGAAGACATTATCTTATTTTTCCCTCATAAGATTTGATTAATAATTATATAGACATAATGTATCATAAATTAATATAGCTATATTTTATAATGAGACATATATACTTTCTCTCTCCTCTTCTCCTATTTCTCTCTAATTCTCTCTTAATCTTTCGATATATTTTCCATTCAAGTTTTAATATGGTTTAATTAATGTAAATATTTTTAAAAATTCTTATTTATTATAAACAAACTTCTGCAGAAACAAAACTTGATAACTTGAATAAATAGCAAGCACATCGGTAAATATATATGCAATAGAGCGAGAATAAACCTGGTGTAATAATTAGACGTTGTACCGGAAATAGCTGTAATCACTGTTAATACCCTAAGGATATACAAAAGAGAAACTCTCTATATATTGTGAATAATAACAGTGATTGTTTTGCAGTAATTGAATATGTGCCTGCATATTCATCGATATTGGGTGGTCGACTCACGTAGCTGAACACGAGATGGAATTATTTACAATTTATAAAGTTTAAAAACAGAGAAAGATAGCGCAAACATTTTAATGTATATTTATAGACGTAAGTACCAAATAAATACGCGAATCACATTTGCTTACTTATATAAGAGCAATTTCTCATACAAAATTATTTTTAAGAAAAAAATATTATCTATAAATAAATTATTTAACCGTAATAATTATTAAAATAATTATGGATTATAATTTTGTAATTGCAAAGATCTTATTAATATTTCTGTCCGTGAACAATTTTTTATATTGTATATAACAATATAAAATTATATAGAAATATATAAAATTATACATATAATCGCCAAATTATACATGAAATTATATGTCCATATATAATTAGATAAAAGTGCTTTTTATATATAATTATATAAATTTATATATATATATATATATATATATAATAGATAAGTATTTTTTCATATACATAAATATGTATGTTTCATATATAATATGACATGATTATATATATGAACCCTTATAATTTATATATATAAATTTATATAATTATGTATAAAAATGGACATATTTTACATATAATTATATATAAAAAAAGGTTTTCACGGGGGCTAAATTAAATATGCAAGAATAATTACACTCGAAGATAAGGGTATATATCACGAATGCAGTCACGTCTATTTTTAATTAATCTATTCGCGAATGGATAGTCGTTAATTTTTCTTCGGAAATAAAAAACCTACTAATGTAAACACATATGTATATACATGACGTCACGACGTCCTTTACTATTTTTAAACGACTTTCTTTCTCGGCGTATTTCCTGCTTATTTCCCAGGAGCGCGTGTATGAACTTGCCAATTTATTTTGCATTTATAATCGACAGCATCTATTCTAACATGTTCACATATGCACTGGAATACACTTGTGAAAGATACTTAACTGATGTTGATTCAATAATCAATAATTCACATCATACACGATGAGTGAAGCAGACGCTGTCGCTCGTCTTTATTCAAGTATATAAATGCTTTAAAAGGATGTTCGATAAATCAACGGGGAGATGATTGCACGTCAGAAAAACGAATAAAAAATTTAATTAAATTTAGTTTAATCAAAAGTAAATTCTTTTTATCATACATCGTATAATTTAAAAAAAAATTTTGTTTTAATATAAAAATAATTTCCATATATTTAT